CATCTGCGTAATGACCATATCATCTTGTCTACACAATCTATATATTTATTATACTAAATATTAAAGTATTTAATCCAAAAGTATTAAAAAATACGCTCATTCAAGTGTATATTAGATTTTACTCATTTCACGTGCACGCACGTGCATACATGAGCATGGTGACCATACCTTCTTGTAGAAGTCCATTACATCTATCTATGTTCTAAATCCCACCCCGTTTGGTTGAAAACCAAGTGAGCTATAGCTATTTAAAGTTTCAGCCAATCAGATTGCAGCGCACATACACGCACGTGTACGCATGTGCATGGTGACCATACTGTTTTGTAGAAGTTCATTATATCTATCTATGTTCCAAATCCCATCCTGTTTGGTTGAAAACCACGGGAGTTATAGCTATTTAAAGTTTAAGCCAATCAGATTGCAGCGCACGTGCATGCACGTGTTTTCATGATAATTGCTATATATCATGTTGTAGGATATCCTAATGCATGGCTATGTTTAAAATTTCAAAGGATTTCGTCAAAAAACAAGAGAGATATTGAGACTTTAGTTTCAGCCAATCAGAGCGAAGCGCACGTGCATGCGCGTGAGATATTGCTACTTTGATCATGTCATCATGTGTATGATACTTTTATATATTTATATAATGAGTTTCAAAGCATATAATCAAAAAATAGAAAAGTTACGGCCATATCTATTATATTAGTCATTTTACGTGTTGCACGTGCGCGCTCTTGCAAGCACGTGCGCGCAAAATGACCTTGATTCCGCAAATCTACATAACATGTCTACTAACCCTAAAAAGGTTTTACCTACTTCGGGTGAACAGTTTACAAGATCACTTATAGACAGAGAAAAGGAAGAGGAAACAGATTCTACTATGGAGAGCGACATACTACATTTTCACAACCCCAGGAGAAGGACTATCATGATTGGATGGATGGCTACATGTCACGGCGCAGACGACGAAGAAGAGGAAACTGGACATCCTGGTATTCATCAGGCAGTGGTCGGGCCCAAGAAAGAACACCAAACCCTCAACCGCAAGTTGGAAAACTCTGGTTCAAACAAGCCAAATACGACTTGATCGCAGCACTCAAGCAAAAAGAGAGATGCGCCGACGACGAGGCGATTGCACATACATTGAACTGGATATGCTACAAGTGTCAGCAGGTACTAGTATGTTATTTTTTTTTATAACAGGATAAAAGAAAAATAAGAACTTTTTTAACACATGTTATAATCTTTCGCTTTTGTTAAGATTCAGAGATTGGCCCTACACGGTATATAAGTATTTTTATATACCGTATAGGGTCAATCTCTAAATCTTAACAAAAGCGGAAAATGATATCAGATATCGAAATATAAGAATGATAGATTAGGAAATAATGTACTTTTGATAAGTTTTGGCGTCTAATAAAAATTCTCAGAATCTGGGGGAGGTGGGAGATGGGTTTAAACCATCCATTTCGTCAGGAGTTGTTGTGCATGTTAAAAACAGTTGGTATTTGCAATTACTTGTATTTGAAAGGCCATTTTCATAAATTTCAGGCCATTGAAAAGTGCATCAAGAGTTTTATGTATCGGGATGATGCTAATAAAGCAGGGGATAACCAGAAGAATCATGACCTAGTTTCCCTGTCATACCACGTGACTGTTCCTGGACTGACTGACCTTTGTAGACGGTTTGGTGACGAAGTCAGCCGTTATCCAGACAGCATGGTGTACCCTATGTCCAGTGCTGTACCTGGCGAAGTGTTCACTTCTGCTCAGGCAGAAAACGCCTGTAGTATTGCAGAAAGCATTGTAGAAATGTGCGATGAGCAGTGGAACTCGTGATAGCATTAAATGTTGTATATAAATCGCATTCTCTTATATAGACACTTATTGTTCTGCACTTTTTTTGTTCACAATTGGATTTATCGTTATATATCGTGTATTTTGAGGCTTATATCCATTGCATTGTAATTAGGTACGATATGTACATGTTTTGTTATTTTAAATTTTAATTCTCACATTTGAATTTATAAAAACATATTTTATGTATTTTTGAATATAAAAACATGTTTGTTTTGTATAGAGTCAATCATTCTTTTTAAATAGGTATAAAATATGTTTTAAAAAATGAAAGGATTTGAAAAGAATTTGAAATTATCTGACTTGATTTTAAAGATGTATTCTATTTTGCTACAGTATTTATAAATGATTTTAGTGTAAAAATGTTGTACCCATATTTTTGAAAAGATTTTTTTTTTCATTTTTAAGATCAATACATTTGTAATAGTTTAGATATCAACCAGGTAGGTAAGATAGAGCACTGTCAAGTAATGCAGGGATCCAGGGCTTAGTTACAGTCCAGCCAAAGTGTATCAAAAATTAACCTGACTGCAATTGTCTTTTTATATTACTTTAAATGTAATGTTTTAGTGGTAATCATATTTGAGTGTATTTCATGCTACGGGGGTATTTGTTTCCACTCATGTTTTAGTTTACATTACCACATAAGAGAAGCGTGGCACCAATACATAAGTGATGCACAGGTGCCGTTAACATACTGCATTTGATTTAACATCATCACTATATATTAGGAATTCTTTTTTGTATAAAAAGTGTCTCTGATTACGTAAAATTAAATAGAGCATGTTACTGGCCCATGTGTAATATTATCAGCTGTTGAGGAAGGTTGCACTAAATTTTGAGTAAATTAATTTATGTACAGTACCGTATAAACCTGCATATAAGTCAGATTTTTGGGAGTTAAACTTTGGTCCAAAACTCGATGTCAAACTTATAGGTGAGATATAAAAAGATTGGTATTTTAGAAGGTCAATCTTTTTAACATAAGCTTAAAAAATACAACCAACTTATAGGCAGACCGACTTATAAGCGAGTTTATACGGTAATTATCATATATACCAGAGTTTTATCCTGATGTTATAGCAGATCTTGGTACATGTACATGTAAATGTAAATAATTCAAAATAATTTCAAATCAATCATAGATACTGGTATCATGTCTGTGTTTTTTAACGCATTCACTAAGCTATGGAAGAATCTTTAGAAGTGTACATTAAATTGGTTATACTTGGAAATAAACTCACACATATAGCGTTTAAAGGATTTTTTTTATTCTTCTTCTTACTCATGTAGAATACAAATATTCACTTAAACAACTGATAACAACAGATCTGTCTCACAAACTGCCAAAAAAAATTTCACTGTATGTAACCCTAATTTTAAAAATTACAGGCAATATCAGTAAAAAATTAACTGTAATATGTATCTTATAACTTTATACTTGTCATTAATTTGTTAGTATGACAAACTTTGGTGTTGTTTATAAATTTAACAACCTCTTAAATACACGAAAGACATTAGAATTCAGCATGGCTAATATTTAGCTCTAGCCACTTTTCTGCTTCATTGAGGCTGGAGTATTGCATGAAACTAACACTGTCACTATCCTCCATTACATCATGTACATAAAAACAACACTATACTTTCAAATTAAATACATATTGCAGAAATTCATTGCAAATAATTTCTTGAACTGTTATCCATAATTTATCACAAATACAAACTTATCAACAACTCAGATATGAGATCAAATAAAACTTATGTGGGTCCCATAAATTTAAATATTACAATTTACAAAAATATTGAACAAGTCTATAAACAATATCTCAGACAAAAAAACAAAACAAATCATGGGACTTGTAAAGCAGATGAATACACAGAAATACAAATGAGCTCATAATTACAACAGAATTTCTAATGCAGATGATCTATATGTACCTTGTGTTTTATAGAAATCCTAATTAAAGATTTAAAACAATCCCTCAATATTTAATTCTGTGGTAAAATATCAATAAATACTTCCTAGTCCTCAGTCTTCGTCTACTCTATCTCCTGCACCTTTCTACAGATTTCTCCTGTGAACTCGGAACACTTAGAAGATCCCCCCAAATCACCAGTCAAATACTGAAATAAAATGATTGAAAATAATAAATAATGGTATAGCATGTTTCCAAAACAAAATTTCTGTCTGACATACTCTGCATCTTATGATAGAATTTCTATTATAATCAGAGATGATTTTTTTATTATTATAATAATATGTAATAATTATCTATTACCGTAATTTTCGGATTATAGGTCGGTACTTTTTTTCTCAGAGCCGCTGAGGTCGACTAATATACGATTTCGACCTGTCTAAGGCTCAAGTTTACGAAAAATGCCCCCAAATCAATAAAATTTACGTCAATTTCAAAGCAAATCTGTGCCACTTTCATAACTTTTTTCATTATTTTACGCAGAAAAATTAATGCCCAGGTAAACAATAAAATATTTATTCTATAGCTTTCTTACAAAATAAATTCCATTACAGATCCGTTGATGACAAAGGAAAAAACTGTGCTTCATCAAAAAAAATAATTCCTCAGCGTGTTATCCATTGCCATCATGCGGTAGCCATCTTGTGAAGTTAGGAAGTCGCTACCGTTTACTAAAAGTAAAACCCCAACCGTATCAAAATTTAAAATACGGAAAAAATTTCAAGGTTTTACCATTTATTAGTAGATAAATTGAAATAGTATTAATTTTATTTATTGTGACAGTCTTATATTTATTTAAGTGTAAAATGAGTGAAATAAATATTTGCCAGTCAGTTCCTAAATTTAATTACCAAATAAACCGATAGTCATTACTATATATTTTTTTATTTTATTTAATTATAATACCGGTCAAACGAATTAGCGCTATACAAAGATTGGCTTCTAACAGAATTTTAATTGTCTCACAGATAAAAGGATTTACACTGTGTGTACACGCAAAGGTTATAACACCTGTGTTGGTTTAATACCCGCAGGGCATGATTAGCAAATCCACGTGCCGTTATAGGGTATTAGTGTTACACATCATTGAACAAACAAAGCCATGAAATTCATAATGACAGTCAAATTGTGAATGTACCGGTACTCTCAATTAAATATATAATTAAACTTATAGCGTGGTAATATTATTTCAATTCTTTACTGTTGTTTAATATATACATTCAATGGTCGTTTGCGGGTTTTAGCAAATCCCTGAAGAACAAAACTGAAAATGGCGGACATCGAAGCGATTGTCGTCCACCGGTAAATAATGTCTGAATAAAATATATTAGGAATGTGTCCAAGTTGTTCTGAAATCAGACTGATTATTCTTTGTTCTCGGGTATTTCCCGAATTATAGCTGTAAAATAACATATTTATGTGTTATTTATGCCTCTGGTTTAACAACAGTATGAAACTACGCAGGCATTGAACAGGCAAGTTGGAGAAAAATAAGTAGTAACACAATTCAATGAAGTTTTAACTACATTTTTAAAAAAATTTTATTTAAATGCTGTACTCATTAAAATACCTGTTTGTTTTCTTGATACGTTCATGTCACGGAATAACCCCGGTAATTCTAGAAGTTTACCTGTTCTGATACGTTGTATCTGCGTAAGAATCTTTAGAAAACGGGAAACAAAGCCTCGTCCTATATAGTAAGTTCGTCCTATCTTAGAATTTTTCAAAAATTAAGGCTGAAAATGAGCCTTTCGACCTATATACCCCATCGACCTATGACCCGAAAATTACGGTATATATTGGTTATAAAATTTCTATTATAATCCACAAAAAAATTTTTTTAACAATGGGACCAGTTTTTACTGCCTAATTAAGAGCTACGCACCCTTCCCTCTCTGATGACGTCAAAACAGGAAGTCTCTATACGTCGAGCGTACTGTCCCAGACCCATGTATCGTAACATCATGACAGCGCTGAGAAGTAGAGCCGTGGGATTAGCCTTGTCTTCTCCAGCGATATCAGGGGCCGTCCCATGTACCTGCAATCAGGGTAAAAACAATTAACTGAGAGCGTACATATAGATGTTGGTAGTCCTCTAAACAACTGACACATGAAGTCCATTAAATCAATTAAACCACAAGTACATGTTCTCTCAAATTCCTACGGATTTGGAGGCATCTGAAATTTGCTGTGAAAAAAACTCCCTGCCTTACTGTGACTAAATGGTAGGAACAACATACTTTTCTAGGTTTAATTACTTTGACTCAATTATAAACAATGATAAATAAAGATATTTATACTTACGGATTCAAAAATAGCACCATCTTGTCCAATGTTACCACTAGGTGTCACCCCAAGTCCTCCGATAAGTCCCGCACACAGGTCACTGTCAATCAGAAATATACTACAATTAATAGATAGAGACAGGAAAAAAGGTTATTGTGAGAATCAGAGATATACACTCATTAAATTATAAATAAAGACAGGAAAAAAAAGGACATGGATCACAAAACTAAGAGCTGCAAGGAGGAGCATCTCCAATCTCTAATACTAATTAATACCTCAAGATATCCCCATAGAGATTGGGCATCACCAACACATCAAACTGTGTGGGATCCTGGACCATCTGCAAGGAGAAGACAGAGGAGTCAGGAATTTTATTGACAGGAAAAGAATTTTCCTTAACAAACTACTTAAGTGTTATACATTTTTCGAATATACCACATCAGACAGTATAAGGATCATACAAAAATTTAAATGTACACTTTGCTTGCTCCTCTTAACTTCTAACATGATTTACATATAAGGCTACACTTCCCTACTGTGACACAGACTTACATTTAAGCAGACTGTATCCAGGTACATCTCTTTAAATTTAATATCTTTGTTCTGTTCAGCTACGTGTCTACAGCACTTTAAAAACAATCCATCGGTCATCTTCCTGTAAGAGAGATGAAATATACTGAAATATCAAAGTAAAATACATAAATTTATAGACATAATATGTTATTGGATTAAATCGACTTTATCCTAACAACTGAGTTTCTTACAATATTTTTGCCTTTTGACCTATTAACGAGTTTCATACATTTTGTAACATTAAGCCTGGTAGCCAATGCAAAAGTCTCTTGCGTTATGTTCAGTTTTTAACCAATGGACAGGTTTCTTTCATTATTTTAGCCTCGTACCCTATAGATAGGTTTCTAAATCTGTTTGCCTTTTAACCAATGGACAAGTTTATTCAATGGCCTAGAATGTTTATGTTTATTGTTGGTCTAGAAGTCAATTGTCAGGCCTCTTAAATTATGTAAGCCTTGTAGCCAATGGACAGGTTTCTTACATTATGTTCGCCTTGTGGACGGCCATGACTGTGTCCCTGTTGTTGTCACGAGCGTAAGAGAAGGCGTACTCCGCGACCCTCATTGACGCTTCCTCTGTGATCTTCTTAATACTCTGTACCACACCGTCAACAATCTGCAGAAATACGCTGATGTGTTTACAGTCTTTAAAACAAATCTTCTATAAACAGATGAATCTCTGTTACATATATGAAAAGGATTTTACATGGAGAAGACTTAAATTCTGTTTCACACAAGCATTTACAGGTTACAATTTAAAGCTGAAACATACACCACAAAACTCATAAAATGCTCTGTACCAATCATAAACTCACCACATGTTCTATTCCACTGTATTCCCCCTCTGTATTCTCTCTAATGGTGACCAGATCTACATCTGTGTAGGCCGTTTTGTAGCCTTCTATTGATTTGCAGGGGCGCACATTTGCATACAGACTAAAAGCTCTATACAGTAAAAAAAAATTCACCTTATAGCATCAGTTTAGTTTATAAAATGTTGCACTAAAGAATATATTAAGATTTATTCACAACAAGTGTTTTGGGTCACATTGAGTACTACAAATCATGCAAATCACCCAAATTTCCATGATACTTTATTCATGAATATAAGAATATCAAATAGCAAAAAGTTTCAAACTTTAATTGCAAGGATAGAGTCTTGTATTAGTTTTGTAAAAATAAAATGAAAGTTTGGTCTTACTTTCTTAAGGCTAGATTTAGAGACTGATGTCCTTTTCCTATGGGTGTGGCTAATGGGCCTTTAAGACCGACTTTTGTTCTATCCATGGATTCAAAAATCTTTGGAGGGAGTCGAAAATTTCCATCTGGGCCTTTAACAGGAGTGACATCGACATCTTCCCAGTCGACCGGGGCCTGTCAAAAAAGACATACATGTAGTAACTATCTTTAAATTACAAGTTAAGGCTGTAATTTAATTCATTTCTCACCACTCTGTCTCCTAAGTTCAAGGAAGTTACTTTTAAGTCAGTAGCCTTTTAAAGTTTCTAGAGTCAATGAATATATAGGTATTATCTTCAGATGTTAGATAAGAAAAGTCACAAAACATATTGGTATCAATGCAATTTTCAGAAGTGAATCTAATTCTTGATTAATGTAAATAACTAAAAGTAATTAATATTACACCACTTTAAGTTAAATGTATGAAAAATTAAATCATCAAGACAAAACCCACATAATATCAGTAAATTTATCTATATATAATTGTTTAAATGCGAAAATGTTAAAATTCCTGAGTCTGCAATACAGTATTTGACCTAAGAATACAAGTGCTTTAACATGTTTAAAGAATGAAATCAAAAAAAATATGTGTTTTTTGCAACTGATGTCCCCATATGGCAGCTTAATTTAAATGGCGAAGGTTAAATTTTCTCAACCTCCAAGGTCAACGGATCATAAATGTTAAATTAGGACTTAAGTCAACAAATATACCTGGTAAACATGAAAACATAAAGAGTCCAACCATTCGGAGGTTATGGTTAAGGTTACTGTTTTCTAAAAGTGGGTCAAACTCCAACAAAGCTCAAAGGTTATGTAGGAAATTAGGCTGGACTGAGGACATCGGCCTGGATAGCTCAGTGGTTAGAGCACCTGACTAGAAATACAGGGGTCCCGGGTTCGATTCCCGGTCCAGCCATATGTTTTCAATATATATGTATTTATGAATTTTCAATGTATGTTTACTCATTCCTCCTTTCCATACTACAGATGGTGCCGTGGCCTACCTTGTTCAGGCAATGTATAATTATTAATGTTAAGTCCTGACAAGGTGAACTTGAGTTGTGTCTTCGGGGTCGAAGACTATATTTAAGGAAGGGGGAATGTAGGAAATTAGGCTGGACTGAGGACATCGGCCTGGATAGCTCAGTGGTTAGAGCACCTGACTAGAAATACAGGGGTCCCGGGTTCGATTCCCGGTCCAGCCATATGTTTTCAATATATATGTATTTATGAATTTTCAATGTATGTTTACTCATTCCTCCTTTCCATATATACTACAGTTATAACTTTTTCGGTCAAACAGATGGATGTAGACAGGGCAAAATGTATATATATCCCAAAATTTTCCACTACCCGGGCAATAAAATTTTTTGTGTATGTAAATCACAATCCACTCCATCATGCTCCATTGCCTTGTAAGTGTTGGAATAGAAAACTTTTACTCTTACCCCTGCAGCACTGAATATGTCCTTGACGGCCTGTGAAATCTCTGGACCGATTCCGTCCCCCGGAATCATAGTAACCAGCTGTCTGCCTTCTGTGGCATAGCTTCGGGAGTTCTAAAATAATACAGTTAATACACAAGTTCATCTACAGATATATACATCCATGATCTGACAAAAAATGTTATTCTATGAGGCCCAAAAGTTCAGAAAATCTTTGATAGATGTTTAATTAATCAATCAAATTTCAACACCAATAAGTGTTAATTAACATTGCTAATACCAAGAAACATCTTTGCCATCATTGATGAAGTAGCAGGACTAGGTCAGATGAAACGAAACTAAATTTCTAAATCTCAAGACAAAACGTCGTCTGCAAATTCCCACGTGGGCTGTCAAAAAGTCCCTCTTAGAGAACTTCCAGTATACAGCTAATGGTAATTCAAACGGAAGGTTTTTAATCAAATGTGTTTCATACATGATTTATCTTACCTGATTGGGAATCTCCTGTAGCAACCTTTTCAACGTTCGCCGAAAAGCCATCGTTGTGACCTTCAAAATGGAAAGTTCCAATATTTCGATTTCCGTTGATAATCAAGGTGTTTTAAGCGCTTTAATTATTTTTGGGGAAGATCTCAAAGTTAAAACAAGATCCGATCCTTAGTTTTTAATAGGGAAAAATACTTGAAAGTGATTATAAATGATTAAACACATTAATTGAACAATCAAGATTTGTATTTTTTCTGAAAGACGTCCCTTTAGGGATCACACGAATATGACCCAGGACCCCTGGCTTGCGACAATGATCTATTTTAGAGATAAACACCTTTACATCTAGTTTAGAGATAGACTCCCATTAAGAGATTCAGAAAAATACCTTTACATCTAGTTTAAAGATAGATATCTTAACATTTAGTTAAAAAAAACCACATTTACATCTAATTAATAGATTAGACACCTTTACATCTAGTTTAGAGATGGACACCTTTACTTAATTCTAGTACTGTTATAGAGATAGACATCTATACATCTAGTTAGAGATAGACACCTTTACGAGTACATCAAGTTAGAGATAGTCACCTTTACATCTGGTGAGAAATATAAGCCTTTACTTAAAGAAAGAGAGAGAGAGAGAGAGAGCTTTACTTATAGTAAGACGAAGACACCTTTACATCTAGTTAGAGATCGATACCTTTACATCTAATTAGAGATAGACAGCTTTACACCTAGTTAGAGATAGACACCTTTACTTCTAGTCAGAGATAGACATCTTTACATCTAGTTAGAGATAGACACCTTTACTTCTAGTAAGAGATAGACACCTTTACATCTAGTTAGAGATAGACACCTTTACATCTAGTTAGAGATAGACACCTTTACATCTAGTTAGAGATAGACACCTTTACATCTAGTTAGAGATAGACACCTTTACATCTAGTTAGAGATAGACACCTTTACATCTAGTTAGAGATAGACACCTTTACATCTTGTTAGAGATAGACATCTTTACATCTATTCAGAGAGAGACACTTTTACATCTAGTTAGAGATGGACACCTTTACATCTAGTTAGAGACAAACACCTTTACATCTAGTTTAGAGATAGACACTTTTACATCTAGTTAGAGATAGATACCTTTACATCTTGTTTGAGATAGGCACCTTTACATCTAGTTAGAGACAGACCCATTTACATCTAGTTAGAGATAGACACCTTTACTTCTAGTAAGAGATAGACACCTTTACATCTAGCTAGAGATAGACACCTTTACATTTAGTTAGAGACACACCTTTACATCTAGTTAGAGATAGACATCTTTACATCTAGTTAGAGATAGACACTTTACATCTAGTTAGAGATAGACACCTTTTCTTATAGTTTAAAGACAGCTTAAGTGTGGATTAAGATCTTTACTTCTTTTAAGTTTTTTTTTAAGTCTTTAACTTTTAAATTTTTACATTCAGTCATGAATAGAAAACTTGATATTTTGTTTAGGGATAGATAACTTTTACTGATGCTGCTGTAGAACCAGCAAGTTTTAAACAAAACAAAACAGTACTGTTAAATTAAAGTTACGGTGTCTATTAACAACAGATCCAAAAAAGGCTTACTCATGAAAATTAATCATCACAAACTACTTTACCCCCTATTGCAAAATAAATCGTCACAAATAAAAGTTGGTTTACAGTAACTAAAACTCATTGAACATGTTGAAGTACCCTATCTAAGTATACACTTTATTCATAAAATCTGAAGAATGGAGTGTAATATAAATAACTGTAGAGGAATAATATTATTGTTAATTTACTTTAATATCATACACAAATGCACACAAACCTTATATCATTATGATATATCATTAAATAAAATGAAAATGCAGTTAAAAGGCAATTAACAATTGCTGTTATAGTATTTCTTTTAGTGCTTCTGTTTTAACTATGTCTGTTAAATGGCACAATCAACCTTGTCATATTGTTCTGCTGCATAATGAATTAATTAAATACTATCAATGCATATAATTTTCATGATATGAAGTTAATATTTCAGTGTTCGGATCTTCGCGGGAAATCGGTGATGAAGTTGGAGTCGGTTTCCGAGCTGCCACTGCTGCTCCTACTTCGGTGTTCCCCCATCAGGGCGGGGATGTCTTCCTGAGAGTCCCCTGACCCCGGGGACGAGGGGTGACACCCCCCCATCGCTCCTATACACCTGTCCTTCTCTAGTTCCGCGAGCTTCAGCTGCGAGTTTCTCTGTTCGTGTATTCTCAGCTGCGACTCCACGCGATTAGATAACCGATCGTCATTCCGCCGAGCTCGCCGATGTAATAAATGTTCTGTTGGCAACCTATACATGGAATCAAAATCCTGCGACCTTTCGGAACTCTCACGATTTTTATCAATCTTATTTCTCTTCATTTTCTCTTCTTTCCAGCTCTCTCCCTTGGGTTTGTGCCTGGTCTTGGATTTACCATCTGTGTACTTATCTGTGTCAGCTCTCGGTCGATTTTTCTCAACTTTTTGAAGGATTTCGCGTGGTGATTCAGCACGCCTCTCCTCATTAAGTCGGTCTTTCTGTCTTTGATTGGCTGATTTCTTTTTAGATACTAGATTTTTGGATATTTTTTGCTGCACTTCATCTGCTTTTTCATCTCTTGACAAATCTGCATTCAAATAGTTTGATGCATTTTCACAGTAAAAGTTTGATGAAGTATATCTATCTACATGGGAATCGTTGTCCTTTGACTCAAAGATCTGGAATTTTGGAAGGTCCTTTTTCACTGCGATATGAGAGTTGGGCTGCTTTATAGGTAGCAGGCTAATACTGCTCTCAGATGGTTTCCCATCATCTCTTGGTTGCAGAGACGTCAAGTGGGGGCTATTTTTAGTAACAGGATGATGCCCGTTTTTCTCCTCTTTGGGAGATAGCTGCTCTTTTTTATTTTCCTCGTCAGGAAGGTTCACAATTACCTGGAGAGAAAGCTCCTTCTGTGAATGGGAAGAATTTTCCAGAAGATTAAGTTTCTCCGATATTTGTAGGAGCTGAGTGATGTCGCTGTATTTGTTATCTACAATGTCTGACAAACTCTCTGATGATGAAGATCTGGATACGTTCTCCAGATTTTTGGCAGCGACTCGGTTTGTTGCGATGGAATCTGTAATTTTGTTATTATCACAGGTTTGACCACAAGGAATGATGGGTTCTGATACCTCACTCCCGAGCATCCGTCTCAAGGTTTTAGGTGATAGTTCGTCCACCTGTAATCAAATACATATCCTGTATATAAACACAGTCCTAATTATGCCTAAAAAATCTATTTGATATTCACACTTTTTATCCTTAAAATAATTACGTTAAGTTCACTCCTAGCATAGATAATAAAATTTACAGCATCACTATTCACAACAAATACTCTTATTGTGAGACACACAGAATGACAGCTGATGTGTCAACTGACCTCGTTCTCCACGTGGAATGACCTGAGTACACTGGGTTCATCCTCAGGACACCTGTACTCAGACAGGTACACATGATCCAGGGCGTCCTCCGCGGAGATCCGGGCGTCTGGACTGAACAGGAGCAGGTTCTCCAGCAGATCCAGGGCTGTTAACAAAAACAAACAAAACTACATTGTACCTGTAGCCTGTAGTCACTAGTATCTGGATAATAGATCCAGGGCTGGTAAAGAATTAAAATCAGTCTGTAGTCAAAAGTACAGTGTATATGGTCATAATCTGGATAAGTTTGAAGTTTCTCATACAATATTTATGCAAAACTATATTTCCAAGACAGAACACTAAATTAACTAGGGCTAATTGTAACGGGAACCGTTACAGATGTTCCCCAAACGCTCCCCAACTCCCTTTGGGTGCCTTATTCCCTGTAAGCTTCATTAAATAAGACAAACGCGATACATTTAAGACTTTAACAAAGTTTTACCAGAAGTATTCAATTTCAGCATTGCACGCATGCGCATTTGAATGCATGTGCGTAATGACCATATCATCTTGTCTACACTATTGATATATTCTAATATACTAAATATTAAAGCGTTTAATCCAAAAATATGTTTAATCTAGTGTATTTGGAATTTTACTCATTTCACGTGCACGCACGTGCATACATGTGCATGATGACCATTCCCTGTTGTAGGAGTCTATAATATCTATCTATGTTCTGAATCCCATCCTGTTTGGTTGAAAACCAAGGGAGTTATAGCCTTTTAAAGTTTCAGCCAATCAGATTGCAGCGCACGTTTATGCGCGTGATTTGATGAAAATTATTATATATCATATTGTAGGATATCCCAAAGCATGCCTATGTTTTAAATTTCAAAGCATTTCGTCAAAAAACAAAAAAGATATTGAAATTTTTGTTTCAGCCAATCAGAGTGAAGCGCACGTTCATGCACGTGCAAACATGTTCATGATGACCATACTTTCTTCTAGGAGTCCATTTTGTTTGTCTATATTCTAAATCCCATGCTGTTAGGTTGAAAAACAAGGGAGTTATAGCCATTTAAAGTTTCAGCCAATCAGATTGCAGCGCACGTGCATGCGCGTGATTTGATGAAAATTCTTATATACCATATTGTAGGATATCCTAAAGTATGCCTATGTTTTAAATTTCAAAGCATTTCGTCAAAAAACAGAGAAGATATTGAGATTTTTGTTTCAGCCAATCAGATCAAAGCGCACGTGCATGCGCGTGAGTTCGTGCTAATTTGACAGTGTCACATTATCTACATTATTAATATATCTTTATATAACGAGTTTCAAATCATTTCATTAAAAAATGTAAAAGTTATAGCTATATTAAGTATATCAGTCATTTCACTCATATCACGCGCACGCACGTGCATGCGTATGCGCGCAAAATGACCTTCGTTCCGCACACCTACACTACACACCTATTAACCCTAAAAAGGTTTTAGCTTAGTTGGGTGAACAGTTTCTGAGAACACTCGCGGACAAAAAAGTACCGGAGAACAAAGAAGAAAAAAAAGAATAATAACTAGAGCCGAGCTCGTTGCAAAGCAACGAGTAGGTCTTCCGTCCGGTTTTGACCGGATGTGCCGGAAGTGACGTGAACAAAAGAAAGCAATGAGCTAAGTAGTCTCCAGTGACTTTATAATTTCAATTTTGCATCAAAACCTTCGAAATAAGCCATTTTGGCTACTTCCGGTTTGACCGGAAGTGACGTCAACGGACGGAAAATTCAGATTTAAGCTTCCAGTGACATATGCTACCCGAAAACCTGTCAAGAACAGCAAAAATTTGCAATTTTTGACTACTTCCGGTTTGACCGGAAGTGACGTTGCCGGACGTATTTTGACGACACCATTCGATAAAGCTTGATATCTAGAACAACTTTGCTTCTTTGACGTATTACAAATTCTCAATACTTTTTGAGATATAAAGGAAAAACTTTCGGCCCCTTTCGGCCCTTTATTTTAGGAGCCAGCCCCTTTTCGTTGATATCTTTCGAAAGATCGTGACATTCTTCACAACTTTAATTCTATATGTCTTTACAAAATATTTACGTGTAAAAAGATATTGCAAAAAATGTGTTAAAAATTCCTAAATTCCCAATAGGTCTTTTTTCGAGCCATAGCGAGCGCCGACGTGCGGCACTTCTGGAGAAAAAGAGTGGTGTGTGACAAAAGAGCACACATTGCTCTATCATCGCTGAAAATCTCATGCTTCTGTCTTAAGGCATTTTGGAGAAAAATGATGGACAATGAGACCCCCTGAAAATCACTAAATCGCTGAAATTTCAAAACCGGAAGTGACGTCATCAAAACAAAAAATTATATATCAGGTTTGTTTGATGTTCTATCAGTCCTGAAAGTTTCATGAAAATTTATCCAGCCGTTTTCGAGAAATCGCGTGCACAAAATCGGTAAGAAAAAAAAACAATAATAATAATAATAATACTAGAGCAAAGCTCGTTGCAAAGCAACGAGTAGGTCTTCCGTCCTGTTTTGACCGGAAGTGACGTCAACAAATGAAAGCAAATGAGCTAAGTGGTCTCCATTGACTTTATAATTTTTATTTTGCATTTAAACCTTCAAAAATAAGCTATTTTTGGCTTCTTCCGGTCATTTCCGGTTTGTTCGGAAGTGATTTCAACGGACAGAAAATTATGTTTTATGCTTCCAGATACATCTATTACCCAAAAATATGTCAAGAAAGGCAAAAATATGCATATTCTGACGACTTCCGGTATGACGGAAGTGACGTCGCCGGACGCATTTTGTCGACTCCAATAGATTAAGCTTGACATTTTGAACAACTTTGCTTTTTAAACGTATTACAAATTCTCAATACTTTTTGAGATATAAATGAAAAACTTTCGGCCCCTCTAGGCCCTTTATTTTAGGGGCCAGCCCTTTTTTCGAGATATCATTTGAAAGATCATGTTATTCTACACTTCTTTTGTTCTACATGTCTTTACAAAATATTTGTATGTGAAAAGATATCGAAGAAAAGGTGTTAGAAATTTTAAAATTCTCGACATGCCCTTTTTTGGATCATAGCGAGCGTCGTCGTGCAGCACTTCCGGTAAAAATGAAATGCGTATGTCACATCTACAGACATTGCTCTATCATTGCTCAAAAACTCAAGTTTCTATCTTAAGCTGTTTTTGAGAAAACTCGCGGACAAACTGACCCCCTGAAAATCACTAAATCGCAAAAATCTCAAAACCGGAAGTGACGTCATCAAAACAAAAAATTATATATCAGCTTTGTTTGATGTTCTATCAGTCCTGAAAGTTTCATGAAAATCGAACGAGCCGTTTCTGAGAAATCGTGTACACAAAATCGGTAAGAAAAAAAACAATAAAAATAATAAAAATAGTGGAAAAGAAACCTAAGAATAACAAGAAGGTCTTCCGCTGAAGACGGAAGACCTTAATAATAATAATAATAAGAAACCGAGTAAAAACAATATGTTCCCAAACTCCGTTTGGGGAACATAAAAATAGGTCTCTTTTAAAACTAGTGACAAAATAAATGATTTTCGAAACTATGAAAGACAATCCTTGTCTTGATTAATATACCTTAAAATTGAGTTTTATCAGTGTACATGTATAATACTCATACTAAAATCCTGCTAGCCCTGAAGTCCAGAGTTTCTGCTCTTAGACTATTTTCAAGTGTTAACAAAAAATTGAATCACAGCTAAGAAATCATTTATACAGTGTAGTTAAACGGTGATTGGGAAGGTCAGAAAGGTCAATGGGACTATGGCGCAACTATCAACATTTCTGATGGGCCATTTTGAAAATGAATAGGCCAACAATGTAATCTGAAGGGCCTTTTCAAGAAATAACCAAGTGAAAAACAAATATGAAATATAAGAGACAACACGTTTTTAATTAACCAAATCCAATTTGAATGCATGAAATGCAGCAAATTTAAAGGAACTTGCTTAGAATATAACTAACCCCTATTTTGTGTTAAAATTACGAGAGTTTTGGAAAGAGAACAGCCCTACATACAAATGAACGAAACTTTGTTTAACCGGAAGTATTTTTTGACAGGTTTCAACCAGTGGGATTTGTTGTTTTAAATTGACTGCATTTAAAATGAAAGTAAAATAAGAAAGTCATATACAAAATATTTCCAAATAACATCACTAAAAATTGAATGCGCACCTTGGCGCCATGATTGATTGATTTAATGCACCATTTTTCACTTCAATGCGACTATGGCGCATGGCGCAAGCCCTTCCCAATCACTGGTTAAACATGTTTAATACTAAACTGTAATAATTTTTAACAAATATGAAGGAACAGATATCAAGTTGTACTGTAATCTAATTTGTGGAAAAACCTAACGACTACATATATTATTTATCACAATATGCTTACCATCTTCTGTCAGTTCCTTGAACTTTGACTTCAGTGCTGTCTTGGGTGGCCTTGACCTACTTCTAAGGACACTGATTGGTAACACTTGAGTCAAGGTATTCCATTCATTGTCACTCAGGTGAGTCACGTCCAAGATTTTCCCGATCTGGTCCATTTCATTTCCTCCCGCAAAAAGTGATTTTCCCGTCAGCATCTCAGCAAAAATACAGCCGACGCTCCACATATCTATAGCCTTGGTGTAGTCTCGAGGGGAGATAATCAGCTCCGGGGAACGGTACCAACAAGTCCCCACACCATCTGTCAAATAACCCTACAAATAAAAAGATAAACTTAAATTTACTGACTTGTTATTAGGATACATATACCAAGTAATCAAAGATATGAACAACTTTTAATTAGAAGGCAACATAATATAATCACACACTACTTCTCAAAATCAGTTTTATTTTCCTGACATCAAGAAATATTTCTGAATTACATCAAGACAACATCTTTCACCACAACATGGTCACCTAGGTACCTTGTGTGAGTATTCCATGTCCACGATTCTGGCGAGTCCAAAGTCCCCGATCTTCAGCGTGAGATCCTCGATGTTAATGAGGAGATTGGAGGGTTTGAGATCGCGATGGACGACGTTAGCAGAGTGGATGTACTTAAGTCCCCTGATGAGCTGATACAGGAAGAGGCGGACGTGTTCCTCCGTTAGCACCTGACACTGAATCAGTTGCTGAAGGTCAGTGTCCAGTAGCTCCTGAACTAAGTACAGTGACGTCAGTTCGTTCAGTGGGATGTTGTTAGAGTGACCAGACAGCTGGTGCCCATTTGGTCCCAGGATCTCGTACACCGTCACAACATTCTCATGCTTGAGTCGCCTCATTATCTTGATCTCACGTAATGCATATTTGCAGCTTTTTTTGTCATGGAAGGCAAGTTTTTTGATGGCCACAGCTTTGTCGCAGTCACTGTCAGTTGCTGAGAAGACCACCCCACTCCCTCCAAACCCCAGCGGTTTAAGATCCACGAAGCGCGAGTCCACAGTGAAACCCGAGTTGGCATTGTTAAGGCCCTGGGATGAAGGACTCCTTCTCTCCATTTCTTTGCACCTCAAACCTAATATACATGTTTATGTACATATAAAAGAATTGAGGAGTAAACATGTGATTTTTCAATAGATAATCATGCACTGATCATTTTTAGTTCATTGTGCCTAGCTTGCTGTAGTAGAGTTATTTGAGTGAAGACACAGGGATTTTCCTTAACCAGTATCAAAATTAAATGCGTTTAAAGAGAAGTATATGTAATATAAAGTTTACCATGGCTGATGGAACTTTCATAAATTTGTCAACAAAATAAATCATCAGAGAAGGTGGTAACAAAAAGCGCATGGTAATTCTCTCCATGACTATGTCGTAGAAGATTTACTGTATTGTTTAAGGACCATAAATATTATTTCTATAATCTAGAGAAAATAAAATAAAAATGTATTTCATATTTCAACCTGAGATAATGTTAATAGTTATATCATTTATCAGTAAATAGCGATTTCGATCTTTAAAACTATGTACGACTTATTTATTTTTCTGAAATAATATATTTTGAGAAAATCCCTAAAGATAAACAAAGCGTTTGACTTGCACTGATTTGAACACTCTTTCCTGTGTGACGTCATACGATTGGGAAGGAGATAGGCCCAAAACCTCATCATGGCCAGCGCTGTTCAACAGAACGTGGAGACTTGGAAGGCTAAACTAGATAAGATATTGCACGAGAAGAATGGCTTCACAGACCTTCTTGAGAAGGTGGAGCAGAAGACGGGCGTGCGCAGACTTTACCTTGCTATCGGTATTTTTTTTCCAACATCATATACTTGATCCTTGTGACGTGATCTGTGTTCACTTCAACAGCTGTTCTGTTAATTACAATCCCTGTTTTTCTTTGTAATTTTCTAATTTAGCATCTCGAGTATAGTTTAGAATATGTTTTGTTTTAACCGATTCAGCCTCTAGGGGTATTTTTGTTAAAGATGTTAATTTTGCAATGATAAAAGAATTTGAAATCTGCACGCCTTTAAAACGTGATCACAATTCATATTAACAGGACACTATCACATGGGATCTTTTACACCCATTTCAAAGTAAATGCATACAGCACTGGAAAGGTGACAGTTTAAAATGGACCGCTACAAATAGTATTTTAAAACAAATGAAAAGAAAAATCATGTTCATAATCTGGAAAACCAAAATTAAGTATAATCCCATACTTCTCTTTCTCTCTTGTTTGATGCAAGTTTCACAGTAAATTCAGCTGAACCAATCTCAGTCAGAAAAATCTAATTCTAAATGGGTTTCAGGACAGGCTCTTGTCACAATTGTTTAAATTTGGTCTGTAGGACATTTTATCCTTATTAAAGAAATTCCATCTATATTAATCCGGGAGTTCATAATTTTTAGTATCAATCGAATACACATGTATAAATACCTGTCCAAGAAAAATTATGTTAAATGTTAAGAATTAAAGGATAATGATGATCATTTTACCAGTATTTTAAAGAACATAAAATTTTAGAAAATAAAATTTTAGGTGGTAGTTCTCCCTAGTTTGACAATTAATTCTTTTTTCCCAAGAAAAAGGTAAAATATGAGAGAGAGAAAATAGAAATAAAAAAAATTCAGATTTCATGCTGTGTAGGATTTCCCAGTTCGGTTTTTAAAGAAAAATATTTGATGTGTTGCCATGATAAAGAAATAATTCCCAACCTTTAGAATGATGTGTTGCTATATACATTAATTGAGATAAAGATATATAACAGAATTCCCTCTCTCCTTTTAACCTTTAGAATTTTATGATTCTTATGCATGAAAAAGTACCATATTTTATGAAACTTAATTTAAAAATATATACATTAATTGAGATGGAAGCTACCTTGACAATCTTATATATTTTCACACAGAATTTTGTTTAAAACCTTATATTTTTCTCTCCTTTTTCTTTACGTTTTTTCTAGCCATGTTTGCATTCGCCTGTAAATTTAATGTACTGAGTTCGAGTTATTGCCCATGTTTATTTTGCTACATAGTGAATATACTGTGTATTTATAAACGATAGAACGTTCTCTCTAAATTGGCACTTGTATTAATCGAGAAGCCATTGCAAGATGCAGAAAAGCTTTTGAAAGATTACGATCGCTCGATTTAGTAAGATTTTCGCAAGTTCCTCTGTCAACACCGTCCGGTCAGCTTATGCATCGTAAGTAAATACACCATCAATAGCATACATTGTCAAGCTGTTGTAGAAACAATGGAGATAAAAAATCAATATTACAGACTTACTGTCATAGATATCAGTTTATATGTAATATTTTTTTAAGGTCTTCAACTATGAATTGTTGTCATTACACATTTTGTTAGGATTGTATTTTATCATGACAAATATGTCAAATAAACAGCTAACATGTATGACATAAGTATGCATAACTTTTAGATTTAAGGCCGTAGAAAGCACAAACAAAGATGATGACACCGTGTGGCTGATATACTGGGTCGTCTACAGTTTTTTCGCTCTCCTAGAATTCTTCACAGACATCTTTTTATTCTGGATCCCATTTTACTGGCTTCTAAAGGTGAGCTTTTAATCTAGAACTTAGGGAATAAAATCAAAGGTTTGAATGAGAACTCACAGATTTAGGAAATAACTGTCATTACATGTGTTATTTTGGATTGTTAATACTGTACTGATTCTACAGTTGCAAACAGTTTTACAGGTAATGTTTAACGAAGTCAGTAAAACAGATGTTTGAGACTGTTCAACCAGCATTAAGGGTCAGAAATAATAAAAGAGAAGAAAGTTATTCCCATTATAAAGGAATGGAGATATCTGATCTTCAGTTTGACTCCAGTGTTTCTTCTTGGTCTGTACAATGTGTATCTACCTCCCTTTGTATGTTTTTATATTTCAGTGTATCTTCCTGGTGTGGTGTATGGCTCCCTCATCATACAACGGCTCCCAGGTGCTCTACTTTAGATTTATCAGACCGTTTATCCTCCGCTATGAGAAGAGAATCGACAGCGCCCTCGACCGCGCCTCCGATGCCGCCAAGGAAGGTAAGTGGAGACAACTCTCAAATTTTGTTTAATTTTGCAACTACCTTTATGCATACATAAATGTATAAATTATATATTTTATTTTTGTAATGTATTGCCTTTACATTGTTATTTGTCAATTTTTACTGCTGTTGAATATATGGCTGCAATAGATATAAAACTAATCAATTCAGTGTTTTCAATATATGGCTGCATTAAGATTTTGCTGGGGCTGAGATATAAAACTATTTCCATGATTTAGAGTAGCAATTTGATAATCGATTTTAACTTCCCTTGAGTTCTTTTTTCAAGGAAGTTTGATTAGATCGATCGTGTCATGCAATGGCGGCGCGGACAACGACTATTTGAGCGAAGTTGTGGAGAAACGTGCTGCTGCTGCTGTAACAAATGCGTTTGAGATCACATACATTAAGAGGCATAAAGAATGGTCCCTTCCAAAAAGATTTTTTTGTGTTTTATAATTTTGATTGAAAATTGATTATGCGGCAGCCTTAATATCAAGTGAGGGGTTCCCCGGTGATAAAAAACCAGCAAATAAATATAATTTTAAGACCTTACGAAAAATGTTGATTTCTTACAGAATTTCCTCAAACTGAAAATCTCAAGTGTTATGCCAAGACGTAATAAATAATTAGGAATAAAAGTCTTATTATTTTGATCGTGACTCAGACGTACATGTAGAAATTCTTGCAGAATTTTCTCAAACTGAAAATGTAAAATTTTATTCTCATTTATTCGTGTAAAGATATCTTGAAATACAGGAACAGTATCATTTTCACATTTGGGAAGGTTTTAATGTACTAGTATTTTGTATCAAATTCCATTTTCTTAATTATTTTGTTATGACAATCTGTACCAAATGAAAATGCCAAAGTAAATAAGTTTTAAAATTAATTTATGAAACGTCTAAGATTGCAGAATATTTCAATTTTTGGAGGGTACTATACATCACAAAAAAATTTAAAAAATTGTTAAAAAAAATTACATTTTTAACTAAATAATTTTTTTTTGAATTTTGAATAAAAGACCTGACTAATTTATGTGAAAGGGACAAATATGTAGAATTTTCAGTATAATATTCTACCACAGACAATTGTCTGTACTAGAATTTCATACTTAAGTTGTCTATATGTTTGTATAGACACTTAGTTTTCAGAAGAAAAAAAAACTCAGTCTGTCAAAAACTGCCAAACAAATCTGTGAAAAGGTAAAAAATGTTTTCTAATTGGCTTTTTAAGGTAAAATTTGATAATTGATAGTGACAGGAATGTGAAAAAATGGTACTTTTTTAATAGCCTGACAGGTAAGAAAATGAGTCAAAAATGCTGATTTTCGTTTTCGGCCGGGGGGCTTCGCCCCCCTGGGCCCCCTACCAGGGCTCTGCCCTGGACCCGCTGGGGGCCTAAGGCGGCCCCCAGACCCCTCGCCGAGACTGGTTTCCTGCTATTCCATCTATTTTTCCTTGTATTGAAAATCTTATTGAAAACACTGCAATTTTAAAAACATTCTATTGAGTTTTGAATTGTACTCATAGATTATTATATCTTTTTTGAATAATATACAATTAAAGTGATTATCCAGAAATGACATACAGTCAAACCTGCGTGTCTCGAACTCAATCTGACTGAGAAAAATTCAAGATAACTAATAATCATTATTTTGGTCATAAATAATACACTCTATTTTGTTTAAATTTCAATAGCAAAAAAGAAGCTTAAATAAGGCAGGTATTGTTATAATTAACCTAAGCTAGCCAAACCTAGTGTTGCACTTACTTAGGAGAAAGATGGTGTCATTTTGTAAATCCGGAAAATTAAATAAGAATCAGATTCTGCTTGTCCAGATAAAGATAACCTCCTGTATACACGGAGACTGGCCTGTCATTAATGTGTTGTTTTTCTGTGCTTAAGTGTTTGGCATAGCTTTCAAAGCAACGAAACAGGGTGAGTCCACGAAAAGTTTAACCTCATTATTCCCTTCAAAACGTATCCAATGGATTGATCGAATCTTCTCTGCATCAATTAATGTTCTAAATTCACAAGAGGACTGAAGCATTTATAATTATTAGTCTCTGCAGAAAATCGTAACTTATGTAGTACTACTAAGAATGATGAATGATACAATATATTCATCAGCTGATTCGTGTAAATACAAAATATTCAACCATTGGATTTTTCCATATACTTTCCATGGGGCCATTTTGTTTTAAGTGCACGCTTTTGTTTGCATGCTTCTAGTTGCTGATTTCTTTGTTGATCGTTTGTACATTAAGTTATTAATTGATTAAATTTTTAGATTTTTCTTATGTTCCAATAATGTGGAATCATTTTAATTTGTGGGGTCAAAGTTTGTGGTTAAGCACAACTGTTTTATGGGTTTGTAATTTCATGGTTGACTTATTTAAAGAGAATAACGTATATTGACAGAACAGCGTGTTTAGGGGATGTAAATTCATTAGTAAAGGTACCTTATGAGATCCATGAACATTGGTCCACCACAAAAAATGATGATTCTGTGGAATTCTAAACACTGTTTTGTATTTCAAATTTTCAATAAAAAGACATCAGAGGAAATGTAATGCATAAACAATTCAATATTTTGTGAAAAAATCCTGTCCTACTTGTGAAATCATCTTAATATATTATCATTATCAGGCCTATACTTTTGAAATTTTTCATTACGAGTTTTTCACTTAAATGAAGTCTTTCTCATTTACACTAAATTACAAACAGAAATCCTACAGCCCTTGGTAAATAGATAAAATACAATGTATATTATAAAGTCCTTAAAATGTCTCTGAAATTAACATGTACATTTATAAATAGAAAACAAGATGACTGACTGTTAATTAAATAACCTGAATATTTTGTTTGTTACAGCGGGAGAAGTGGCACAAGACATGGCTAACGAAGCAGCCACAGATGCCCTGAAGAAACAGTACATGGATAACTCAGCAAAGACTGACTAAACGGAACTATATAATTACCTTCCCTCCCAGCAGTATCCCCCGAATACTATCACCCTCCACCTGATTTCAAAACATAAAGCAGAACTTTTACCTCCCTCACAGTGAAAAATTTCAACTCGCAAGGAGTCCTCGACCATTACATTACCCCTGAACCAATCTGCATCACCCCTGAACCAATCTGCATTACCTCCAAACCAATCTGCATGCTTTATTTGAGACTCTTATGTGCAATACACGATTTACGAAATTTGAAAAGTGATGGACCTGTTGTTTTGTTTAATTGGTTACTTTTTTGATGTGTTCACTCCCCCATTGTTACATTGTTGATTTAGAATCTCCCGCGGTTCACTTGTCCGAGTTTTTGTTCCCCAGGGTATCCGTGAATTGTTAAAATCTGGAGTATTAGTCATCAAGTGTTTGCAAAGCAGATATCTTGAATTTTGCTCAATATAACTATGTCTACATGTATGATAATTTTTGCCTCACATATCTCTATTAGCAGTTTAATAGAAAAAAAGCACACTTAATTGTATCCATATCAAACCTGCTTTGTATTAGCAGATAATTGAGGAGTTAAATGACGGTGTTTCTTGTATAACTAGTTCCTGAAGTATGTAAATATTACACGAAACTTTGATTTAGTTCCCTGGGAATGTAAATATAATTCAAAATTTTGATGTTGTACAAATATATGTAATAAAAATACTCCCATTATTATGACTTTTCTCTATTTTAAAATTTTCTACATAATCAATGTTCTTCTCAGATAAAACATCATCTACGGCAAAATGTACATAGCTTAATAATTTTTCTATTATACAAATTTTTATCATATTTGATAATGATTCTTGTTACTTATTAGATATTTATTAAACTTGCTGTGAATTTAATTATTAAATTTTTATTTAAATATTTATAAAGCTTCATATTGCATGAAATATTTGTGTATGCTTCTACAGAAACGTAGGAACTGTACATATTAATATTTATTTATTTTCTACATTCCTAAACCATCTGTATCTATTTTTAAACTGAAATGAATTAGATTGAAATTTTTATCTGTCTGTATATGAATAAATGACATAACAGTAAAATCTTAGATCCACCACAAAGAAGTGTGACCTATTTATCCTTTGTACTAGATTGTTACTGTGTAATTTCTTTTGTCATGTATCAAATCTGCTAGCATTTACTAAATCAATAAAATTCTCAAAACCCAAGAGTAGCTTCTCACTCAGATACTAGTACAGTGTGTTACATCATTGGAAATAACATTATAAGCTTTCTGTGGAAATGAAATGTGAGGGTAGTATGATTAGCATTGCTTGCTGAAATCCGATGAATTCACAAAAGTATTCATCTCTTTGAAACATTACAATGTAGCGTACTGTGTTGGTCTGAGAAGTCCAATCACTGCTGACCAGCTCATTTGGTAGAGCACCTGCTGAAGATTCAGGTGTCTGAGTTCGAATACCATTCCGGTCTGTTTTTCTCCCCTCGTGTTACACTTGGAGCCATGCTTTGGAAGTGACGGGTGTAAGACTTGCCAGGGAAGAGTCTCTGTTTCTGTCTTCAGGAGTAGTAGACCTTTAAGAGGGATAAATGTGGTGATCATATAGATTCAATGCCCAGTGATGGTGCGATGACGATGGAGCTATGGTGCGATAGGGATGATGTGACAATGCGATAACACGATGTAATAGCATGATGAATCAATAGTGAATATTGCTTCATTGTCATTGCACCATCGTGTCATGGCTATCTCAACATCTGCATCGCGTTGTCCTCCATTGCATCATTGTCATTGCACTATCGTTCCATTGCTTCATCATTATCACACCATCTTTATAATACTATCGACATAAGCCTTGATGATGCAATAGAGAATTACATGGCCCTATCTGGATTCCATAGGATACAATTAAATACAGAGTACATGTATATGATAGACTGTAATTTAAGGGACAAGAATTTATTTGTAATGGGGAGAGACCTTCTTAAAATTCTCCATTGAGCATTCAATTTGATTAAATGGGTTACCTTCATTTCCTTGTAGATTATGTAACATGTACTTGAAATTCTAGCTACAAATACAAAGAGTTTTAAATTGTTAAGTAAAAAAAAGGGTTCACATCAAGATGTTTAAAATATGCATCCTTCACAATCTCGGTATAACAATAGACTTCCTCTTGTTTTCCTGTTTTTGACTTCCTGTTTACTAGAGCAGGTTTTTCTTCCTTGTTAAGATACATGTACTGTAGCTGTCCCGATATTCTGGGGGCATGGTGCGAGTAGAAATCCTTTAATTATAAGGACCCCCCTTTGCCTCTTGCCTAAGTCTGAGGCTGCATTGGGTGAAACATATGCAGTGATCTAGAAGCAAATTTATGTGAAAAGAAAAGTTTGAAACAATCTTGCATTAAAAAAAAATACAAAACATTTTGCCAGAGAGTACTTACTTCCTACTTTGGACAAGCTTGCCTCTCACCTCAATCAAAAAGTACACGTACCATAAATCAAAGGTGTGCATCACTTGAACCAACTCACAAAGGTCAGAGGTTGGACTATCTCCAGATGTGTTATCATCTGCAGTCACATAACTCCCATAGTCAATGAAACAAATTCTAATGGGGACAAAATCTTTATCTATTCAATTTTTCAAAGAAGAAGTTTCTCTTTTATTGTCAGTTAAATATCCCTTTATCCTTAAAATCGCTTTAAATTAAGCATTCACATTCAGATGTACAGTCAAATTTCATTATTTTAAACTTGAGACCATGAAAAAAATTTCATATACCCGGTATATCCAAGTGTTCAAGATACTAGAGTAATAATTTGTCAAGAAAAATATGGCTTAGGACTTCCATCCCACTTTAAAGTATTCAAGATATCAACACTCAACTGCATTTCAACAAAAAATAAAATACGAGAGCAAACCGTGTTTTCTCCATTTATTTGACAAGGTGATATTCCTCTCATACATAATGTTCACACAATGCCATCATTTAGTAAATAAACATTGAAATCAAATTGTAATTTTATTGTATCTCTATTGATTTTTCCCTCTATAAATTAGAATGTGATTAATTCCCTAGAAATTGCTGTAAATGGACTATAGTCCCTGTTTAGCCATGTTAGTCAAGTGAGCTAATCCCTGCTTTGAAATTTGAACCTGTACAAGAAATTCCAATTCCCATTGACCAGGACTATCTCCCTCGACTTCACCTCGGGAAATAGTTCTGGTCTCGGGAAACTGGAATCCTATTAACTCCCTCTAATCTTGCAAAGCTAAAACATCTGTGAAATTTTTACCACAAATTATATTTAGACATTTTTTTTAAATTAACATGATTAAAGTAAATGTTAAATCATTCCAGCAGTTCTATTCAGGCATATTTTTGATACATGCTTGTATAGTTACAAGACTTTCTCTGAATCAACTTCTCTTATATACAACATATTCCCTTCACAAAACAATAATTTGAGAAAAACTGAGCAGGATACACTACTTACATACAAAGTATACTTTCATTCATGGATTTAAAATTGTGATTGTAGTTCTTTGACCTGATTTATGAATCAGGACTTTACTATTTACATTCATCTCATACATGTGTGTGAATTTGTATTTTGGAAGATTATAAAATCTGACCACAGTGAGCAGGAAGATTCCACAGTGTGAGTCCTGTTACAATAAGTGTACAGTTATATATGTATTCCTACTCTCCCCCACACAGCAGCACCTCTGTACTGCTTATGTAAAATAATGTCAGGGAAATATAAACTTAATTGTTCAATCAAAGTTATATAGAAAACAAAATCTATAAAAATTTTAATTCAAGTTCAAATCTGAATGGGAAAACAGTTATAATTAATAAGCTTCAGTTTATTTTTTTCATAGTTTAATTGATTTAACAGCCTTGTTAAAATTAATTATTTCGTATTTTAGTGATCAAATTTTATTTACATTCAGAGAAGAGCAAGGCCATGCAGATATTTAGAAGAGAAAGCATGCTGCAAAGTCCTGTGATGATCAAGTACAGTGTAATTCTTGGTCTTTTCACTGGTATTTAAAATATATCTGTACACAAAATTAAAATGAGAAAAAAATACCAACATTTACTCAACCTCTCCAAATATCATTTTAAATATTTCCTTATCCTGCAATACATACACAACATGATAACAATTTGATATAAATAAACATATTTGTTGGCACAAAGAAATGACACAAGATACAGATATTGGTAATTAAGGATATTGTTTGTGCATTCAAGGGAGACAGTCATGGAATGACTACTGCAGCTAAGTCCACTGGCATAAATAATAAAATATTTTACATTTTTAACATGAAAGACATGGGTTCCAAACTTGACTGAGATATCAAAGATTTGTCTAGATGTATGTTTCATGCATGGCACTATAAATTACAATTCTAAAACAACTTTTCATACACCTGTAGACTATTCCTCCTGATAACCATAACCAGGACTCTGTCACCAGTCACCAAAGAACGTCCATTTTAAGGTGACCTCTTGACCCGTCCATTTGAAGGTGACCTCTTGACCCTTTGCTCTAATTACACTCTCCACAATGGATCTCCTCCAAGTCAAACGTCTCACAGCAACCGGCTGCCATTTCAGCTGCCACTGTGTCTCTCTCTTTCATTTTTTAATATATCACACATAAAATCCAGCCTGAACTTTCCTTGAAAACAAACATTCACCATTTTGTAACACTGCTCTACATCCTGAGAATTCCAGCACATAATTTACTCTACGCCCTGCACCAAGTGGCCCATGAATGGCTGCATCCTTCTACACCACTATATCTAGTTTTCTGCCATCACTAGCTTTTTTCTAGCTCCTCTAGACATTTTTTCATGTAACCCTGTGAGTCCGACATGTCTGTGACGGCATTATAAACCATTTCATGGAATATTAGTGGCCATTGTTTCAGAAATTCATTTTTCTTTCTGTCTGTAAACACAGTTTCTTTTGTGATTTCACTGATATAGTTTTTGGCAAACTGTTTTTTATTTGAAGAATCCTGCAAGGAAGAAAAAAATTATATTACCTCTGAAATAAATCAATATAATTTCCGATAGTCATGATAAAAAGTTAAATAAAAGATTTCATTTTTCCTTAACAAAAGCTTAAAAATACTACTTGGATTATGTTCTTAAAACATAAAAAAGCAAAATATGTACTGTATTTTCATTTAAAATCTATAATGGAAAAATACACCCAGTGGTAATTTTCCTTTTTCTGAGTAAATGATAAACATACACAGATGTAATAACAAGTAGATTACATTATGCTTTTTTCCCCAGATTTAACAAAACTCTCTATAGGTAATAAACCTGTCTTATTCTGTATAGATAACTTAAAATATTTCCATTTCTAATTTTTTTCTCTGTGATAACTCTTTGAAAGTTAGTGGAGTTGATTTCTTGATAATTTTACAAAATTCAATGTAAATTAGGCATGTGGATAGGTCAGTGGCTAAGGAGGAGGCCAAATATGCATGCAAATCTTGTGCGCATCTGTCTCTGTGTCTGACACTAAGGAGGCCAAATATGCATGTAAATCTCGTGCGGCTGCCTTTGAGTTTGATGTCAGTGGCTGAGGACTATTGAAATTGGCATGGGAGTCCTCGTGATTTAAATCTATGTCTACATTTTTAAAATCTAAATCTACAATTTTATTTTACAGTGAAATGGAAATGTAAGGAATCACTGTCTAGTTAGTATAGTATGCCGGGGACATTAACGAAAGTGGGATACATGGGATAATTTATGCATAACGGGCTTTTTATGCAAATTATCCCATGTTTCCCACTATCGTTGATGCCCTGGCATACTATACTAACTAGACAGTGATTTCTTAAATGACTCCTATTAGTATAGGTTAAAGACTTTTGTAGACTACCATATTTTGTTTTCATGTAACAGTCTTGTTAAGCAGCTAAGCTGAATACTCTGTTTCTCTGATTCTAACCTGGTTTTTAGAGGCAGCAGACTCTTGTGTTTGGTATGTTAGACCTGACCGCCCAACAAATTCGCCCTGAGATTTGTCAAGTTTTCCCTCCAAAATTTTCTTAGACTTGTCTTCACTCATAGACAGGAGCTGCTTTCTCCTGGAAAAAAAATAACAGAAAAGTCAGCAAAACTTCATATAAAATACAACAAACTCATTAGAACTTTATATAAATTATTTAACAAAGTTATTTAAACATAATTTTATTTATAAGCAAGCACACAAGAATTTTTTCATGCTTGATCCTAAAAATAAAATGATAAAATACCAAAATCCCTTGGGGTAAGATTACAAGTATATACATGGTCAAATGAACCACAATATATAAAGCATTGTGAAAATTTTAAATCTGAGTATAAAAAAAGACAACTGGTTTAAGTACTTCATTTTACAAACAAGTTTATTGTATCAATTCAGTGGATTGTTTTGGTAGAATTTGTACCCTGTAGACCTATCTACCAGGCTTAATATTAAATAAATAACGAAAAAAAAGTATAAACTCTTAACATCTAATTTCAGCAGATTAGGGATTTTTAGGGAAAGAAAAACTGATGTTGTCAACTTAAAGGAGATCTGTCAGAATGAATTAATTGTAGTGCATCTATTGCTGGAGGAGTCGTGACTGAATGAACAAGAGACTCATCTTCTTTGAGAATGTAGTTTCAGTTGTATATAATGAAACACAAGAAACATATTGACGCAAGCGTCAAAAATCGGCCGCAAACCAATTAATTCTTCCTTTGATAGAAGTAATTCGAAACTGAAATTTGCGTGATCTGTTTTTAAAATGTCTTATATTTATCTGTTAAAATATCCTTGTGACATAAAATACTTGCATGCGACATTGCCGATTTTCTTCATGCATAATGCATGTACAATATTATATGTGTAAGCAAACTGCCCATAGACCTCTGCGTCTCTGCACGCAGTTTCGTACAAATGAACTCTGGTGGAAGTTTGATGTTTAAGTAATTGTTACATAAAAGTACAAAACAAAAGTTTAAACTTAGCTATAGTTTTACTTTAATTTAAACGGAACAAATATGAAATATGTGGTACTCTCTTAGAGGATGTTAAGAACCCCCCAAATCGATCTAGATCCACCACTACATTTCTTCTCTTTCAGTGTTGAGATGTGGTGGGAAAATGCTTGGCACATTGTAAAAACGCGCTTCATCCTAGCCTCATGGACAAAATTGTCGTACGATTCCGTGCTTTTAAGAAATCAATATTTCATCAAATTTTTGAAAAACTTCCATAGGAAATGTATAAATATACACGGCATTTTAAAATAAGTACAACAAATCCTGTCTAGGCTGTTTAAAAAGAGAAAGTAAAATTGTTGATATACAACGTTGTCTTTGTTTTAGACTATGCCTACATAAGACACTTCGTGCTCATTTTCTCCGCACTTCAGTAATGTCGGAGTTTGTCAATCAGGATTGGATGAAATATTTACCCAATTATTTCTAAAAATTTTATTTTAAGATTATTTTGCTTTTTAGAATATCTTTGTTTAATATTCTATAATATGAACAATGATGAATGTTATTAAATATTTTTATTCAAATTGTTCTAACTCCGCAGAAACGCACGGCGACTTAAAACTTTCATATCAACTAACCGACCGCCTCCTGGCGGCCGGTAATAATAATTACAGCATATCAAATCATACATTTATTTTTAGAGTATAACATTTTAATTTCCCCTCAGACCAAAATGTCTCATTTTTATTCAGGTTCAATCATGACTGCCAGCTATAATTTTATGTTCTTCTAGCAAAATTTCTTTCTGGCCACCTTCTAACTACATCGGATCCATACTAGGCATCATCAGTTCTCATGAAAACTAGTTTACTTGTAAATCACTTACTAGCTTTTGCTAGCCACTGACTCAGGATATATACAGGGTTGATCAATCACATAGACAATTAAGATATGAAATTGATCAAACTGATACATGTATATATTTTAATCTAGACAGTCAGTAAAGAATCTAAAATTTTAAATTCTATCTGTGTGACATTTTTTTAGGTCTAAGAATTTGGTATTTTTTATAATAATTATATACCAAATACTGAAGGTAGACACCCAAGTTTGCTATATAAATTACAAAAGTAGATTGTAACTAAGGAAGAGGCATTCCGAATTTAATTGCCTCACCCATGGTAATATTAAAACCACTCTTAAGGAGGCCTTATCTAATCCCCAGTCATTAGTACAGATCAGACAACTGTATAAAACCTCTCATTACTCTCAGTACTGTCATGAAATCTAAGTTCCAATCTCTGTGTCCTTAAAATGTTGCAGGAAAAAGCTGACAATTTTAATTCTCCTTCACAAGAAGTTCTTTGAAGTTGAATATTAAAGGTAAACTTAAAAGACTTTGCCAAGGCCGACACATAAATGTAAGGCTTTAGATAGCTGTTAATCAATTCACTTGACTTTCAATTGGTAAATGGTGAATCCAATTGAGGATATAGGAAGGCCTTATTTTGATTCGAGAAGATTCTTCAACTGAACACTTAATTGTGTTGGATTGGTTTGTTCAGTTTTGTAAATTGCCATTTTTTCAGATAACTAAATCATTGATTATTTTTCTTGCTAAACTGGTATAATTTTGAGATGTAAGTGAATTCTTGAAAATAGGTATTTAGAAAACTGACTCAGGAAAGTGTTACTAACAAAGATACAGAATGACTGATTATGCATGTCAATACACAATTATTGGTAAGTTTACAATGGCAGGTATTAATTCAAATGAGGGAAGAAAAAGACAAGTCATCAAGGCATGACTACTATCTGATAAACTCTAACTGGAAATACTGACAGGATATTTAAAGTATTTACTGAGCTACTGTCTTGAATAAAATCTGATAATAGAAAGACCTCAAATCCTTAAAGAATTTTAAAACTTAACACTACAAAGTAATTCTTTAAATATTGAAATAGAATTTAATGTCCCAAATTCTCAACGATGAGTAGTGATATGTTGTTTGCAATCGAAGTACAAATTAATAAGACAATCTTAAAACAAAATACCCCGGTACTTATATTATGTAAAAAGATTGAATTTTTGTTCCGTTTTAGAGAGGTGAGGTTCCCCCTGTAACTTACTCCCTGGGTTTTTTGGCCCGCCAGTCAGTTTGTACCACCTCAGAGTGTGTGTGCACCTCTATCAGTTTCAGGGACACCTTCATCTCGGGAAGATTCGGCTCAAATTCTTGTATTCGGGTCGGTTCTGGAGAATGTCCCCAGATGTTCCTGCTGAGTTTCGGTCGCCCGAAGCTGTAGCCACTACAGATGGTGCTCTTCATAGTGGGGGAGGAGTGACCTAGGGTCGGGGTCACGGACCAACTTCTGCGGAGCCTCGGTTTGGCTTTGATCTCCATCTTGGTGCTGATAGCAGTGACGTTAGACAAGGAGGAGCCCATGGATTTGTGGGTCGCTCCATCATCTCTTGGAGACGATCGCTTGGGAATAAATCCCACATTCATCTTAATGTACATCAGATCATCCGAAGGTCGCATTTTGTCCCTGCCTCCAGATATTTATAATCAGTAATTCCAATCACTGTACATTCTTCAAGGTTATAGCTCATTTTGAAATTTCCAAACATCGATTAAACAGTAGAGACATGCATAGTTTTATCCCTGTGTTAAAATCCTATAAGCTGTTATCTCGACTCTGAGTCAACACTTCCAGAAAAAATATCCTTAAGACAACAGACAATCAATTTTGAAAAAAGAAAATTCTACGATTTTAAAAGCACAAATTATTTACACCATAGAAACAATTCTCCATAAAAAATTGGTAATGCAGGAATTCCAAACTGGTACCAATTCATGGTCAGGCAACAAATGTACTTTTAACAAAACGATCTTGGTAAATCTAGCCATTCTCCATTGTTTATGAGATGAATTGTTTGATTATTTTAAAATTCCCAACAAACAAACACCGATACACTTCTGCAGTGGGCCACAGAGTTCCGACTATAGAGGAGAAGACAAGTGTTGAGACCGTTAGAACTGTTCGGTGGAATCCTTGCCGATTTTATATCTGTGTCTGATCTGTCGTTATCATTGCTGTGGTTCTGTTGAGTTAGATTCACAAAGACAGATCTCTACAGTCCGTGGGATCACCATTCACCGGGGCTCGGGATGACTTCACGCTCTGTCGAGGGACTCAATAGGACCGACACAATAGACCCGCGGACCTCGTTTGTTACACAGTAGCTGATAACTTCTGCACAAGTAATGTGTATTAATTTTTACAAAGGGTATTTAAAAATTTCAATTCCTTGGCACTTCAATTAGTGGCATGTATACATATACTTATTACACCTTAGATAAACACGGAGAGACAGCCCGGTGTTAATAGGAAAGGGCCATTGTTATTTTAGATTGTGAGAGAAAAGTCACCATTTGTCGTGGAATATTCCTCAATAATTAATGATACCACTAGATGTAATGCAGGCCAAAAACTCCTAAGACATAATCCGATTCATTGCAATTTCATTGTATGTTTTGTAGACCACCTTAGAAATTACTTGTTTAAATTGCACCAGAAAATTAAAGTGTTTGAAGATAATTTGAGAAACATTTTCAATATTGAAACATTTTCCTAGCCGTCGAGTGAATACAATCCATTAAATGTCCCCCGTCAATTAAATGTTTTTAATCTTGACCTTAGAAGCCCTGATAAGTAGGTGTTGTGGTGACAGTGGGGGCTTTCTTTTGGTAAGACAGACAGACAGAAGGTAAATTAGAGACCGTGTGGGCCTTGTTACTTATCGCTGATCTATATCCCCTGATTGAAGGTTCTCGTGATTAATTCTTCCTGGCGCAGTAGATACACGGGTGTACAGGACAAACACAGCTATTTATCTTAACTGCCAAACTCTGAGTCACAGAACTACATTTATAGCTTGCCTGTCACAGGCTCAGGTGAGCTTTTCAGATTACTGTGTGCCCATCACTTTTTGTTTGTTTGTCTGTCTGTTCATTTACTTGACTTCTCAACCACAACCAATAAACTTAAGGATAAGATATAAACCAAAAAAATCTTCCAGGGAACCAGTGAGTCAAACGAAACTGAGAGGAATCTAATCAGTATTCCCATACTATGTGGATCCAGATTTGTACAAATCATTGCACCAAGCTGGGAAATGTTGCAGAAGAATTTAAGTCAGTTTCAAATAAAATACATAAAAAGAAAAGCAAGAAAAACCATGCTCTACTTGGGTATAGCAGGGCCAAGGAAATAAAAATAAATTATACTAGAAATATGTCCATAGGACATGAATGCCCCACCGAGGGTATATTAGTAATGCAACATGAAAATTTGTATTAGTATATGAAATTTGATCAGAATATCTTGAATAGTGATGCAGTTGAATTGCTTACATCAGTCTGTATCAACATATGAAGTTTTACACTAATTTCTTTAAAGTGAGGTCAGGGTCAAAGGAAATGTCCAAGGTCAAAAAATGATGATACAGTTGAAAAGCTCTCCTCAGTATGTATCAGCATATGAAGTTATTTAAAACTGACTTTAAACTCATTTAATAAAAATGAGGTCAAGGTCAAATGAAGGTCAAGGTAAAAAATGTTGATGCAGTTGAAATGCTTAGATCAATATGTATCAGCATATGAAGTTTGACACTAATTTATGAAAAGTCAGGTCAAGGTCAAAGGAAAGGTCAAGGTAAAAAATGTTGATGCAGTTGAATAGCTCCTACAGTATGTATCAGCATATGAAGTTTGATAACACTATCTTGAATGGTATGTTCAAAACTGACCTAAACACTGATTTGAGAAAAGAGAGGTCAAGGTCAAAGGAAAGGTCAAGGTAAAAAAAAGTTAATGCAGTTGCGTAGCTCTCATCAATATCTATCAGCATATGAACTTTGATGAAAATATCTTGGATAGTTTCTTTGAAACTGCTTTGAATTGAGCTAAACGCAAAGTGTGACGGAAGGACAGCTAGATGGAAGGATGTAAGGATTGAAGACGGACATGATTAACACTATATGCCATAAAAATTTCAAGATATGTAAATAGAAATGATTTTGATGGTTTGAAATGATAAAATAAATACATATTATTCTTCATGAGGACTAAAATGATTACACAATTTAGCATACATGTTAACCTATTGTGATGAAAAAGAGGGAGATTCAGACCTCAAAAGTGGTAGCATTGCGCGCGTGTCGTTTAACGCTTGGATTATCGATATCTTTCATGTAATATACATGTCTATTATAAGCCTTAAATGAAATCAGGTACCTACACTGATTAATCTAAATATCAACAGCAATAAGAAGACAGAAACACCTTAAGTTTGACATAAATTGTACAAATTCAAATATTTTTCATGCTCATCATTATGTTCCCCAAACGAAGTTGGGGAACATATTGTTTTTACTCTGTTTCTTATTATTATTATTATTTTTCTTCTTCCTGGGAAAATTTTGTCCTCGAGTGATCTTGTAAACTACACATCCGACTAAGGTAAAATGTTTTTAGGGTCTACATGTTATGTAGATTTGCCGAACGAAGGTCATTTTGCGCGCACGTGCTTGCAAGAGCGCGCACGTGCAACACGTGAAATGACCAATATAATGGATATTGCTTTAACTTTTCTTTTTTTGATGAATATTTTTGAAACTCATGATGTAAGGATACATTAGTAGTATAGACAAGATGGCATGGTAAAAATAGCAAGATCTCACGCGCATGCACGTGCGCTTCGCTCTGATTGGCTGAAACTAAAGTCTCAATATCTTTCTTGTTTCTAGTCATAATCTTTTGAAATTTTGAACATAGTCCTACATTATGAAAATCTACAGCATGATATATAAAAATTTTCACGAAAGCATGCACATGCGCGCGTGCTGCAATCTGATTGGCTGAAACTTTAAATGGCTATCTCCTTTGTTTTTTGACGAAATGCTTTGAAATTTAAAACATAGTCATGCATTAGGATATCCTAAAATATGATATAGGAAAAAATTCATGAAATAACGCGCATGCACGTGTGCTGCAATCTTATTGGCTGAAACTTTATATGGCTATATCTCCTTTGTTTTTTGACAAAATGTTTGGAATTTTAAAATATTGTCATTCATTTAGATATCCTTCAATACGATAAAGATAAAAATTTATGAAATCACGCACATGCATGTGTGCTGCAATCTGATTGGCTGAAACTTCAAATGGCTATAACTCCCTTGTTTTTCAACCAAACAGGATGGGATTTAGAACATAGATAAATATAAAGGACTCCTACAAGAAGGTGTAGTCATTATGCACGTGCGTGCACGTGCATAAAGTAAAATTAAAAATACACTCTAATGAGTGTATTTTTTAATACTTTTGGATTAAATGCTTTTATATTAAGTATATTAAAATTTAGATAGTGTAGACAAGATAATATGGTCGTTACGCACATGAACACGCGTGCAATGCCTATTTTTAAATATATTTTGTATTTTTTAAAGAAGACCTTGATTAAGTCTAAATTCCATAAAGTATTTCTTATTTAATAGAGATTACAGGGAATATGGCACGAAAAGGGAGTTGGGGAGCGTTTGGGGAACATCTGTAACGGTCCCCGTTACAATTAGCACTAGTTTTGCTTGGATTGGCTGCTTTATGTAGCCTTTTGAAGAGTGATCTTTGCTGAAATAGCCTAGAAGCAATAATTCTGTATGTTCATTAAGTTTTTAAACAAAACAAATGATAGCATGGTTTAATCTAGATCTAAAACAAGTTCGTATCTTTCGTTATATAAATCAGATTTCCCGCGATGATCGAAAACGAAAGTAGAGATGTGCCACATGGCTTGGTCAATCGAGTGATTTCTATTGACTTTCTTGATAAAGTTGTGAGGTTCTGTGCTTTTAAAAACGATGTCAAATGTTTTCATCTAATTCTTAAAAGATGTATCTCCTTTTTCATGGCAGGGATGTTGATTTATTTATCGTAACCAATGTAATCAATGGTAGTCTTATGTTGTTGTCGTTGTCAAATCCGTGCTTGAAATCTATGTACGAAAAAAGCGTTTGTATGATTCTGAGTCAAATCACGCAATATCTAGCGAGATTTTATGAGAGTGGCTTCAAAATGGATACCCAAGCGAACCAAAAATACTTTAGATACAGCTTTTGTAGAAAAGCGGTAGATTTCTGAACTAAATCGGTAGGCGGGAGATGGAGTGAAAAAGCGGTAGACTCCCGCCTAAATCGGGAGAGTTAACATGTATGAATTTAGTGACTATAATAAATATGAAGTTTCATTATTGTATTACCAACATATTTATATGATGTGGTCATCTTTACAACATTAATGGTACAACTCAAACAGCAACTAAGTCTTTGGGATTACATGGTCTTGAAAAATGTCTCAATATTCCGACCTCACTGTTCATTATAGTCAAACAGCTGAACAATTTGTCATTTAATCAAATGAATTTAAAACTCTATCTTTCTTACCCAAGCCCTTAATTTTTTATCTTGTAAACAAGCCTGCCCACTGAGCAGTATGGATATTAACTAAATATACACATCTCCAAACATCAGTGAGTGGAGCTTATTACAAAATGACTTAATTCTCTTTCTGGTCCATGTATAAATGACATTATGAATAGTGACTCTAACAGTTCCTCTAAAATGGCAAATATTTCAAGGTATCTTTTAAATTTTGAAATAGATCGCAATCTTCAAACAGAAATGTATTTATATATAATATATTGTTAGAACATACTTAATATCGACTCTTAGAAAAGACATTCTACCTTAAATTAATGCTTGAAATGGGACATCAAGTGACTATTTATAAATAGGTCAAGAGAGAGAGCCATTTTACACATGTACTGAACCTATAGCTATTAAAGTACCTTGTTTATGGTTTTGATACTAGGATTGATATTTCTTTTTTTTCTAACAATGTGGCACAAGTTGTACTCAACTCACACTACCCAGAATTATGATTAATTTTTTAAATAAGAACACAGGTTGTACGTACCTGGTCTCCCCGATGAGGGATAGAAGTCGAGACTGGGGAAGCTGTGAAGTAGTGATATGAGACACCGGTCCAAATAACTTTTCTGCATTAACAATATCTGCTGCCGAAATCTGCATAGAAAAACATCATAATTAATGCCAATTTCAAGGAAAACTAACAATAAGCCTAGTTCTTTACTAATAAATTTCTTTACTTGGGCCAGTTTTACAGATTTCTACACAGTTGACTGATATATAATAAATTAACAAGCTTTATAAAATTCTCATATACTGTAGCCTCATCAGGGCAAGGAAAATCATTATTTCAGCTAAAACTGGAATATAAATTGCAAGGAAATACAAAATGAGCTATTTTTCAAATGAAAAATTTATTCACCTGCATGAAATTACAATTATTTCTTGATATCCCTAGAATTACAACAGATTCTAAGTAAGAACTGAAATCTTCCTACCTCGACATCATTAATTTTTTTCAGAGTGAAGTGCGCCAGTCTGAAGATGACGTACATGCGCCACAAGGTGAACTTTGTGATGGGGTTTCCGTCAAGGTTGATATTTAAATTATCCAGCCTCCGAACACTAGAGAGTGCATTAATTTGGTCCAGGGATCGGATATTTGTTGAGCTGAAGGTGATGCTCTGAAAATAAAGAGATAATTCTCAGATATTGATATAATGTTGTCTGTCTAGCTATGAAATTGAATGTCATATCACAATGAAGCATTTGAGATTGATTCTAATTCAAAAACCATAACTTCTGTTTTAAAGTTACACCCCCCCCCACAAAAAATAAACCCACACTCACACACAAGCATGTTATTGATATATCCCACCAACTCTCTTGTGATTATATAATAAGGAGGACTTTTATTCACTGTGATAGATCTGAAAACTTGCACTGAATTAAAAACACTTACTTCTAGACACAAACGTTTATTAACGAATCAAATCCTTAAGAGGAGTCAGCAGAAGCCATATGACAATAGAAAACCATCTTTAGTTATCACACAAACTCAAACAATTTGTACAATTTTCCACTTCATTAAAAGAGCCATTTTAATAAACAGGTTAAAGTCCTTATCTCAGTACAAAAAATACAACTGTGGTTAAATTCAGAATCAAGTCAACAATCAATAGATCAATGACGAGATTACAAGATAAGGATTGAATTACCCTCGTACTTATATATAATGCTGCAGAAGTCCACAGAAAACTCCCTAGAAAACCTTAACACAACAGCATCAAACAGTGGGCACCATGCACATAAAAAATCTCCAAAATGTTTATATTTCACACAGAATTTGTTCAGTAGTTGATTCAAAATTCTCAGTGTTAGGGGAGTAGCTATTGTGATTTAAAATGATCTAAACAATATACTTAGATCTAAACAATATACCTAGAATAGTCATCTGAACCCAGTATAATGGAGTCAGGTTCTTAATCCCAAATAGCTTGTGGTTAATACGAGAGTTTGTGCCCAGAATTAAAGGATTAGAATGCTAATGCTTCCTAATTTTACTGTTGACGATTCCCAAAACACTGAGGAGTGTATAAAACAGAAAGTATTTATATCCCTACTTTATAACGCTAAATCTCCTAAACTTCTAAGTTAGACTTAATTGTTTAAGTAACTTGTAATACTGTCTTTATAATTGGTTCCAGTTTGATTTGACAGAGTTTGTGAATACTGGGAAAATCTGAAATTGATAAATGCATGGCGGTGAGGATTGCGGGCCTTGATGTTATGTAATAAGGATTAAGTTCCTTGATAAAGAAAAACCATTTTACGTAACACGTTTTATTCTTGATAATTTGATATATAAGGTAAATGTCATCTATACAAATGTTTTCTAATGACGCCCACTTTTCCATTCATTGTGATATTCTGGGATGTCAATTTATCCCTACAACTGATGTTTAAGGATGCCCAGCTGTCCCTACAAGTGATGATTTAAGATGCCCATTTGTCCTTACAAAGTTTTGGATGCCCAATTACCCCTACAAGTGATGTTTTGGATACCCAGTTATCCCTACAAATGATGTTTTGGATACCCACTTTTCCCTGCAAGTAATGTTTTGGAGTCCCAGTTATCCCTACAAGTGATGATTTCGAATGCCCACTTATCCTTACAAGTGATATTTTAAGCTACTCACTTATCCCTACAAGAGATGTTTTAGCCTGTCCAGTTATCCCTACAAGTGATGTTTTAGGATGCCCACCTAAAATACCAAATTCAGAGTGGCAGTTCATTAATCTCTTGACAGTAATTTTAAAGCGATCATTGAATGATGTAATGGAGTTATGTTTCAAAGATAAGAATTTAGATTTTAGGATCCAAGAAGTGGCTCTGAAGCCTATATTTCAAAGAAAAGATTAAAGTACAATGCCAAACACCCACAGGAGACTCTGCAGACTGTTTCTAACAGTCTGTTTTTATCACTCTATCTTACATAGAAAAGACACTTTCAATCTTTTCTTTGATTCGTTGAATATTTAATTCCAAACTCACCTAAAGCAACACCCCTATTAAGTTGATTACTATATTAAGTGGGAACAGACTCCACAATACAGATAGATCAGGATGATTACAGAGTTCTTTGACTGTCCAGACAGCAATATCCAGATACTATGAACTGACTTTTAGCTGTACACTAGAAATATCCGCTGCCAGCTTTCATGAATCATTTATAGATGTGTAATAATGAAGAATATTTCTTCAGTCAAAAAAATAGATAAAAGCAAATTATTTTCAAACTGATGAATCATCTATATCAGTTGTCACCAATAGTAATTGATGTGATAGAATAGTGGCATGAACACTACAGTGTGACATGAGTGATGAGTAGAGAGATACTAAGCAAACAGACCTAGTCATACTTATGTTAGTACTGGGAGAAGACTGTTTTTTTTCTGTATTCTTCTATCAAGAGTTACATACCTGTACCCCAGGGAACCGGGTTCTGATTTTGTGTAAATGCTTTGCTATCTCCACAAAGTCTATGAACTTGAACACAACATGTGTGACGGTCCCTGCTGCCTGGACCCCCCAGTTCTTATCCAGGGCCTCCAAGGACTGGGGGCCATACATGGTCAAACTGTCCCCCTCCAAGTCAGCCAGGTTATTCAGGTCACTGGCGTACCGTCCGGGGTTCCTGTAATGTATTAGAAATCTTGTAAATAATACTAACTAAACTTACTAAAAATAAGACAGTCTGGGAATACACCTGTAATTAAAGCTATGATCACAAGATCAATAAAATCAATGATGAAATATGTCCACAGATAACTTCAAAGACATCTTCCTAACAAGTTAATTAGGCATTATAAGGAGAAATAACCTGGTTTTGAGGTAAATACACATTAAGAGGGACTTTTTCCCCATCCTTTCTCTGGTTCTACAACTACGTGCGATCTCCATTCCTAGAATTCCCGAGCATCCGTCACTATTTCTGAGTCTCCCACGCTTGACTACCCGCTGTATAAGGAAGTGCCGCTATCGGAGGCATCTCTGTGTTTATCCACATTAATTATTGAAGCTGACTGTCTCTCAGATCATTTCATGCAACAATGTACTCTCTTTAACAATGCTAAGTGAGACCAGAGGAATACATTATAGGATTTATTGGGAAAGAAAATGGCCAGGTTTACACTTGTCAAAGAGAGGATATATAGACAGAGATAAATTATACTCTGAGCCAATATAGTAGATTACATTCCATCAATAATTTTTAGAATGTTTTATATCCCCCCTTAATTTCTAATTTAGTTTTAAGCATGTGTGTTTTACAACATTTAATACAATTCATTGGTGCAAACAGCTGATACTTTTTATTGGAATACCAATTAATAATTTTTTTAATTATAAATATTGCACAAAAGATAACTCAGGAACCAGTGTCTCCACCAAGGCTGACGCTGCACTGTCTGCAATTTTGCTCCAGACAGAATCTAATACATGTAGATTCATGTAAAATAACCAAGAAGCAACTTATTACATTATTGAAAACCTGAACTAAACTTTCAGCAGTTGCTATATTACCCCTGGAACTACATTACAGGTATATAGCAAAAGTCTTCAGAAAAAGATTTTAAAATTATTAGGTGAAAATATATTATATCTTTCATTCATGCAAAATAAATCTGTCTGCTAATCTCAGAAATTGTTGACTTCTTTCATGAGAGGGACAAATTTTGTGTAATCAACCTATCTATCCTGTCCCTTACCTTAGGAATGATGAGTCTACATAAATAATTATAAGAAAAAAAGTTGCTGAGACTCTGCTAAAAAAAACCCCAAAAGAACTTATAAACAAATCAAATACTCACCCAAATATCATGGTTTCCTTGAGCTGGCCTGGTTTCTGGGCCTCGGATTTGAATTGCTGTACTAAGTTCCCCGTGCGGGGTCTCTCGTCCGCGGTACTCTGAGCACTGCTGGGACGGGAACCTCCGCGACTGCTCTGTTTGGACTCGCTGAAATACGAAAATTACACCACATTGATCTACCACCTAAACCTAAAGTCTTAAAGTTCCATGATCTACCACCTAAATCTAAATCTTAAAGTTCGACCCCCCCCCCCCCCCCCCCCCCCCCCCCTCACAGAATGATCTCCTTTTAAGTTAGGATCTCCTAACCTGTGTATGGACTCGACTTCTAAGTTCTCCTCATTGGACGGTGAAATCAGGTCAGAGTTAGCGACAGAACCTACATGGTTGGCATACAGCTCGGGCATTTTGACGAGTTTTCCGGTCCGGTTCATCATGGATCCCTGCATCACCTCCCACTGTCGCTTGGCATTGTTAATGGCAAGACGCTTCTTCTCCTGTGATTAAGAATTATCGTAAATTGTTTATACATGGGATATCAAACAGTGAATTCACACATAGTACACAAATGATATTAAAATTAACGCAAGTATTTTTAACAAACAAGCACAACTAAGTTTTATGAATTGTTTTAAAAACACATGCTGTTTAATAGCTATTTTTTTTCTAGAACATGTACCAATACATACACTAAATCAACCCTCAACCATTAATAAAAGAGACCTTGAACACATTGCCTTGATATTCAACCTAAGGTTCTGTGGTATTGATCTGAGATTATAATACAAATGGCTAAATTTTTTAAAGAGGAAAATTGTAAGCAGTCAAATCTACACACAGACCAAAACCCACATCCCTACCCCTTCCCTAATTCTTTATCTGGGGAGGGGGGGGGCATACAAATAGGCAACAATTGCTACTTAATACCCTTTCTATGCAGTTTTGGGATTAAATGGTTAGTTTTGGGGATTGAGGTGTTTTATAATGAAGAATTAGACACATATCAAATATTCTAGATTTTACTAGACTGTTGCACATAGTGGTTAAAAATTAGGAAGCATTACTGCATGCACAGGCCAGTCACACCCCCTCCCAGATAGCGAGACCATCACACTGGTATCACTAAAACCCTCAGTTAGAGAAAAAGCCTAATTGCTTGTTGGATTCAGCATTAAACCCTAAACCATCCCACCACCTTTCACAATCAAATAAAATTCAAAACATAGAGGATTCTGGCCACAACATTAAATAAAATTGTTTATGAGACAAAATTCCCATAATTTCTATTTTAACATTTCACCACTGAAGCAAGAGTGTACATGTCTTGACACATGATTGTATTTCAAAAACATATTTGAATTTTTTCTTTTTAAATTGAAACTGTTCAGTTTTTAGGTCACAAATTAATAATTTTCTATCAAAAAAAAAAATTAATCTACAGGGAAAAATTAAACAATAAAAAAAATATCAGAAAAATAAAGGCATTCAAATAATCTTTCATGATTTTAAAATTAATTAGAATTTATTGACAGTTCATACAAATAAAACTAATATCAATCTATTTTTCTAAAAAATATTGCATACCACAGAAATGAGGTATGGTACGGATTAAAACATGCATTTGTTACAATTTTAATTGAAATGTTCTAACTGTTTTAGTTAGCATTAAAAAGATCAAGTTTATCTAAGCTAGTTTGAGATTGAAGAAAAATAAGGCTGATATTGCTACAAAAATAGAATATACCCCTCCAGGTGGACGGTCAGGTGTTTGTACCATCTGAGGGGGAAAATAAATAATTATAGAAACAATCAAAGAGAGATAACTCTGTACAAGTGAAAGAACAAAGAGAGATAAATCTGGGTTTTTTTTTATGAGAGACTTCTTTGATGTTCTTTTATGAGAAACTTCTATGACAAATGAATTAATTGATATTACATAAATGACAATCGCAAACAGTTTTAATAAATATTAATTTATTTAAATGAAATCAACTTTTTCCTACTTAATTTAATTCACTCTGCATTGATGAATACTGCACAATTAAATCATACACACCTATAAATAATGTGCCTAGCTTTATCAATATTTGAATATTGGTAGCAGGTATTGCTATAAAACAGGACTGTATTGGACAAAGGATGGGCACTGACCTTCATGATATTAGTCCTGCTTGATTCCCTCTTCTTCTCCTCCTCTTTACGCGCCATGACGAGGGCAATTCTACGCTCCTCCTCCTAAAACACAACAAAGAATAAGATTTCATTAACAAAATTATTTAAATCCTGGATATAATATACCAAACACAAGCTAAAATGTCCATACATAATGCCTTAATCAACAGCTTGATCAGAAATTATACAAATAAAGTCTTTCTTTTTGAAATTCCTCCAACTTTATATCATGTAACTTTTAAATTACATGGCAAGTAAATTTCTCCATTCAAATACAAATCACTGGTAAGTTTTCTAAGCCTAGTTAGGCCTTATTAATTTGAAGAATGATGAGAGTTTTAAGCAGCACTGTGTATGGATGATTTTGCTGTGAAAATGTGACAGACTGTCCAGCATTCTGATAAAATGGGCAAAATTTAGGGATAAAATTACCCGGTAAGAAATTTTAGGGTTTAATTTAAGAATTTTTAAACTAAACTAAGGCAGTTTTAGATATGAAATAAAACAACATTTCCAAACTATACAATAAAGAAATGAAAAACACTGCCTTTCATTGCATAATCTAATTTGGGACTGAATGAAAACTTTATCAGCTCAGTTTGTATAAAAGCATTCAGTCATTTTCAGAATTGCTAAAGTAGTTAACATGTAAAATTGTGGGAATTTTGGAATCTTACACTAAATTCCACAATTTTTAAGGAATTTCAGCACCCCCCCCCCCCAAAAAAAAAAAGACATTAAAAGATTTTTTTTTTTTAATTTTAGGGCTGCTGGACAGCCTGATGTGAAATTAGTAGTACTTTAAACATACTTAAAATATAAATATCCATTAAAATTCACTTAAATAGCTAGAGTTTTAAATTAAAGACTCCTGGAATTATAGTCTTTGATTTTACTCTGAATATTTTTTTAACAAATGACTAATAAAATTTGACAAAATTCAGAAGATTTCTTATATCTTCATGAATCATGGGAGGAGATGGTCAGTTGTAGAAAGGGAAGGGCAAGAAACTCCTTCCGACTTTATGAGATTATTAATTTTAAATTTTTAGACATTGATTCATTATACTTAATGTAAAAAAATCATTAAATTGTTCTCAAAAAGACGTAAAACCTGGAATCCTTTAAGGACTTTGCCTCCTTATAAGGTGGTCCCCAGACACCAGCCCCCTTTTAAATCCTGAACCTGCCAGCGTTTTTGTGATGTACAAATTTTCACTGAATCAAAAATAGATGACGCCTTGGATTAGTACAGAATATGTAAATCAAACAAAACGTGACAGTTTGGTGCCCGGTAAAGTAGAGCGTTGACATACAAAAGGTACCAGGATGTTTAGATTGAGGACCCTCCCCCTGAGTTGTAGAAGATTGGTGTCGCTACAAGACAGTGGGCGTGGCGCGAACGCTCTACGCGCTGTTGGATCGCAGGGCTTGGGTGCCGCAATCTTAGGCAGAATCTGGGCGTTTATCTGGTGCTGCTGAAACACATCGAGGAATCTGTTCTATATTTAACTACAGGGACTTCAAAGGAAATATCTCTTAGCTAAATTTGAAATCAATATAAAATCTTATCAATTTTAAAATGATTGTTTGTACCTCCAATCTAACATCCTGGATTTTTAAGAATACTGTAAACGTATTACATTTGGCTGTGTTTTCTATTTAGCGCTTTTGGTAAAAAGAAACTTTCCCTAATTCAAGTACAACACTAAATGTCTTGCACATATTACAAAAATAAAAACGTTTAGAAATGTGCTTAATTAAATTTATGCTTTGCCTGACTTGTTTAAATTCAATTTCCACCAAATATTGTACACACTAAATATAATACATCTACAGTAATTTGTACCAAGATTACAATTATAGGGTCAAAACATATTAATCTTAAATTATCAGCCACTGCCTCATTAGGTAAAATCAAATTTATCTACACATTAAAAGGGGCGGGGACTAGTTTTCACATTGAATATGAAAATCAAGGTATTCCCCTTTTCAACCATATTTATGAAGAGCCACAATTTATTTCTTATTATGGCAATATTTTATAAATATATACATTTGTGGTATCTTTCCACTATATAAACATACAGAGAGAAAATATCTTCAATTCTGTATGAAGTTTTTCGGAGGTCAGAGGTCAATACATGGCCGAATCACATGGCGAATTAATATCTACCGTTACAAAAATATAAAATGACTTGCTCTACTTGCTTTTCATGTATAAAGAACAAAATAAGCAAGTCAAATAATTATTTTATTTACAACGTAAACAAGTATTTCATACATGTTTTGGCGATCCATTTAACCCGAGTGTGTACATAGAGAATATATCAATAGAAACTAGCCAAGCCTTTGTTTTCAAGTTTTATGCACAGTCTCTAACGTTTATACTTATATTTTGGTAGACCTTCAGTTAAATCTTCATGACATAGGCTTTAACTATGATTTTTTCATTAAATTCTACTCACGATAAATGTATAAATCTGTTGGAAAATATCAAAGCATTGCAATCTCGTCACGAACAGCTGAGAAACACCTCGATCGGCGCTATCGTAGTTCAATGTAAGGTGTCACCAGATGGTGTCTCCGTGTTTACATCATAAATATATAAATAAATTGACTGGCTCGGACAAGTGTCTCCATCCATCGGATCCATACATCCCTTTCAGACGACCGAAATTCCTACAACTTTTTATCATCAAACTTCGGACGTGTTTCTTGTGTCTTATTAGCATTGATAATCATTTATCACAAATAAAAATATTCCCAGACAACAATCTGTTCACTATTACTGATCACAAACAACCTTTAACAAAATATTCCCTTCGAAATAGAATCCTTAGCCTTATCTTATGAATTCGAAGTGTAACCGCCTTTCAAGCCGATTTACACCTTGCGCACTTTTGTCGGAAATCTTTGGCGACCTGTTAGTGCAATACCTGTTAGTGAAATATTCAAATCCGAATATATTAAATTGTACATCTCAAATGTATATATAAGTAATAAATAACAAGTTTATAAACTTCAATGGGAATTGAAGTGGGTCGGTACGTGATCAAATCTTCTTAGAAGGCCTTTGGCCTTCACAGGATTTGATCATGTGACCGACCCACTTCAATTCCCATTGAAGTTTATAAACTTGTAATTTATTTCTTAAATAAACACTTAACTTTTAAAGATAATCAAACCATAAAAGAGTAAAAAAAAAATCTACCTCCTGCATTTAATTTTGAAAATTATTGGCCTGTCTAGAAATCTGAAAATTAATACCTTTTGGCCTATCTGGACAAAACGTAAAATTCTTAGAACCTTACACGGCAATCAAAGATTTTTATACACAATACACATCTGACAATGTCCACTTCTTATTTATAGTTTTCAGGTTGACTTACTCTGTAAATCACAGAATAGTTCGCCCGTTTTCAATGTCACATTCTTCATAATTATATAGTACGTCATATACCAGTAAACTCATTTCTGGTTGTGACCAAGCATTATAACACATTGTAGGGCACTAAATGAATTCTCCAAAAGCATATGTTTAGTGATAGGCACATCCTAATCATAGGTTGTTGATAGTACAATTCTCTGTTATCCTTGGACTTTCAGTTAGGTGTGAAATTCTCAGTTACATAATTAGTGTCTCTCAAATGGTTACCTAGATTCTCATTGGTTAAGAAATTAATAACATCAGTAACTTTAAATTGTTGTTGACAACAATGAGACAACTTCAGCTCAACCTCTTTGCCGTATGAAACACTGCCACTGGATTCTAACTACACTTGTTGACATTTTCCTGAATTTATATTCCATTAAATGAAAGGCTTGTAAATTTCAGTTTGTTGTATGCCATGCCTTACCGAAAGTCCAAGAATAACAGAGAATTGTACTAAATTTGAACATGACAAAAAATGAGGAAAATATCCAAAAAAGGATTTTTATAGGCTTACCCAGAGTTCCCGAAACTAGTCAAAAATATGTCGGACAGTTGTCCTGTAAATATTCAAAACTCACCGGACAGTTGTAAAATTTACCGGACATTAATTTTTTGTATGTAAATTTAACATATTATAGGATTCAAATCTTTTTTTTTTTTTTTGATTTATTGAAATATTTTCTATTAGGCCTGTGTATATAATTCATCGTGTTGAATTATTATGTGCATCTTCTGACAGATTTTTATTTCTTTTGAATAAAGTCTGCACCATGACAAGAAATTGATTGATTGGAATTAGTCCGAAATATCTGTCGTTTTGCAGGCTTTTTTGTAGGATTTTGGTATTCTATGTGCCAGGAAAAATATCTAAGATATCAAAATCGTTTTAAAAAGCCTGGAAAACGTCAGATATTTCTGATTATTTAAAACGTATTAAACAACCTCCACACAGTTAAAAATATGTACTAATGATATAAAAATATGCAAAATTATCATGAAAATGATGATTTTAAGTGAATTTGTTGTCGTTTTATTACATTAAAGTTAGTCCGACAATTTTTAGAAAAGGGGAAAAACGCCATGTATTTTAAATGCTATTAAATACATAGAAAAAAATCAAAAAGTTGGTAAAATATTAATCATGCTAATAGATTAAATTATGGAGAAAATAATTAATGGTAACAAATTGTCTGTAATCAAGCAGAAATAGCAGGCAGCTCTTGCAACCCTAAAAGAATCGTATCAAAACGAAAGTAGATTGTGACATTTTTTACTGAGGTATGTACAACATATATTTATTAAGAAAAATATTTGTTAGACAGTGTTTTAACTGTTTTTCCTCCCAGTCTTATGGAGATTATTATTTTAATATGTAGCTTTTTATAGTAGATAATCACGGTCTACATTTTATTTAAACAAGAATGCACGAAAATAATCTGGCGCGCCCCTGACGTTTTTTTTTTTTTTTTATTTCCTTTAGTTTTGAATTTGTTTATTGTCAGGACAATTGAATTAATTGATTTTGTTAAGATTATGTGTAATTTTTATACAGTCTATAAAAAAAAAAACCATCGGACATTTTGACCGATAAAATTAAGATTTTACCGGTCTAATTCTTTACCAGTGACCGCTAACTCGTTTCGGGAACGCTGCTTACCCCAATACATTATTCTAATGCAGTATTAGATCCACCCCTAATGCCCCCCGCTTACCGTGACTCTCTTCATGTCCACCATTAGAACACCCCTATGCCCCCCTGCTTACCGTGACTCTCTACATGTCCACCCTTAGAACACCCCTGTGCCCCCCTGCTTACCGTGACTCTCTTCATGTCCACCCTTAGAACACCCCTGTGCCCCCCTGCTTACCTGCTCTACCGTGACTCTCTTCATGTCCACCCTTAGAACACCCCTATGCCCCACTGCTTACCGTGACTCTCTACATGTCCATCCTTAGAACACCCCTTTGCCCCCCTGCTTAACGTGACTCTCTACATGTCCACCCTTAGAAACCCCTGAAAAAGTTTACTCTCTGTGTCCACCCTAAACACACACATGTGCCCCCCTTTACCGTGACTCTCTTCATGTCCACCCCTAGAACACCCCTATGCCCCCTGCTTACTGTGACTCTCTTCATGTCCACCCCTATAACACCCCTATGCCCCCCTGCTTACCGTGACTCTCTACATGTCCACCCTTAGAACACCCCTATGCCCCCCTGCTTACCGTGACTCTCTACATGTCCACCCTTAGAACACCCCTGTGCCCCCCTGCTTACCGTGTGCCCCCCTGCTTACTGTGACTCTCTTCATGTCCACCCCTATAACACCCCTATGCTCCCCGCTTACCGTGACTCTCTTCATGTCCAGCTGTTTGAGCTGCTGCATCTGTCTCAGTACAATCTGTTTGTAGTACTGCTCCTGTGTGATTGGGTTCCCATCGAGAGAAATCTCCGATAGGCTCGTGGAGTCCGACAGGGAGGAGATGTCCTCAAAACTGAAAGTAGAAAGACAGTTATAATAACAACAAGGTGTCCTCAAAACTGAAAGTAGAAAGACAATCATAGTAACTGCAGGTGTCCTCAAAACTGAAAGTAGAAAAATGATCACGTACTGTAACAAGGTGTTTCAAAACTGAAAGTAGACAGACAATCATAGTAACAAGAAGTCCTCAAAACTGTGAAACTAGAAACATTCATTGATTCATTAACACCATATTGAACAATCCATGCTGTAGAATTGAAGTTCTCACTTCCATTAACCAGAGTTTCCTATAATACATGTACAAGTTTAAACAGTAAAAGAATGTATCAAACAAGAGGATTCATCAAAGAGGTATGTAAACAAATTAGAAAACAATTAAGTTAAGAAGTGTATTAAACATGTGATATGTAAGTATGTAACCCCTGAGGCCCCCAAGACATTCTGCATCTCTTAAATTTAAATAAATCCAAGAAATCAGAAAACTCACTACTGAGATGAGCGATTGAGCTTTTTATCTCGGTACATTCTGTAATGCCACATTCTCCCAGTGACCGCTAACTCGATCAGAAACAAGCTCAGTTTATATCATCACTAGGTCCTATAATCCACATTCTACCAGGGAATGGTTAACTTGATCAGAAACATGTCCAGCTTAATTATCATTCCAATAAGGCCCTGAATTTCCTCAGGTATTAAGTACTTCCTTTCCAAAGACATCACATTTTATTGTTGATCCTGTGTGAATATCCTTTCCTGGGCAAACTATACAGGATAAGTTTTCTGTGGTTAAGAACCCCGGCACAGTTACCATACCCAGACATCAAATAACAAATGGGCGAACAAAACCGAAAATGTCACTATTAACCAAGAAATCAATGAAAAAAGTTTACTTTGTGTTATCTAAACACACACATTATTTACAGACAGACAAATTTACAGAAGACTAAGTGAAAGGTCTCCCAACATCTCAGCAAATTTGTTTCCTTTGATAGAAATATTTACATTTGAAAGCAAAACAAATAAACAATTATTGACCAAAAATAATAGAAAAGAGTATTTTAAAGCTGCCCCTGTGCATAAACAACTAAAAACTAAATCAACAACTAAACAATATCAAAGAATTTCAATTTAGCTCTGCATCTGTTAGAAATAATCAAAATTTCTGGAATTATTAGATGGACATAATTTTCATAGCCTGGTGCTTATCTTGTTTGAAACAAAGGAAGTAAAACACAGAGTCCAAAGATGTAAGAAAAAAATGTCCAAAAAAATCAATCCTTAATAAATCAAATAACTATAAGGGAGTTCAGGTAAATCCAAATGTTCTCAAGAACTATTTACAGAGATAATTCCATTGGCCAAAAAGTATCAATCTGAAGACCAAGTACAAATGACACAGATTTAAACAATTTGAATCACACCAAATTCTGCACACTTAAATGCAGCTAAATGAAAACTTCCACAAATGATATCCAACTGCTTATTCTGAGATATTACAGGATCAACTGTTACGATTTGATCCTTTCGTGGAGTGCGGCCTTAATCCTGGTGACAGCAGTGATTCCCTATAACAACAAACACTCCAGACACCCAGATCATTACCTCCCTCACGGTTCCAAACTAAGATTTCATTTTCCCTACCCTGGGTGTATAAAAGATTACAAGATAGCTTAAACACTCCAGCCAGAATTTCCTTCGTAAACCAAAATATTGACAATTGACCCTGTGTGGTGTAGCTGCCTGTCAATTCCTGGATGTGGAGCTTTAATTCCGTAAAACAAGACCCCGATCTTATTCATTGTGCCTGGTGTTGTTTCTCAGTGAAAGACCTCTCAAGTTTGAGATACAGACCATACTGAGTTTTAAATACCCATTTCATTTACAACAATTAACGTTTTTGTATTACCTCAATATTTCTATATTGCCGATGCTTTTAGAGAAAAACTTAACCAGCTTCAAACTCTTTAATTTGTTAATTTATAAATCCTTCATTCAACATAAGAGTTGTGTTAAGTGTTTTAATTTGAGTCAATGTGTTGTTTTCATATACACAGAACTTTAATGTTTGATATAATTTAATATGTTTTAAATGCTTTACAAATAAAGCCTGCAAAATTCAATTTAAAAATCTTCAAAACGGAACATAGTAAGACTTGTATATAGAAAAGTAAGAGTTAAGTTTAGCAGTAATGGTCAATATTGATGACCAAAATTTGTGTGAAGAAGGGCAAGTGTTGACCTCAATTTATAGACACTAATGTATATCAGAAAGGTAAGTTTGCCACCTGTGTGACTCTTTTTGGCTTCAATAACAAACATTACAGTAATAAAAAGTTGCGTTAAATCTATATAAAATGCTTGTATAAAATGCATTGTAAATGAACTTAACACAGAAAATGTAAAATAAAATTCCAGGCATGGTCAAACTGTGTCACTTCTCGGTGGCATAATCTATTAAGAATTTCACTGTTATTTAATCAAATTTTGATATTTTTAAGAACAAACATAATAAAATATACAAAAGAACTATTTTTGATAAAAATTTTGCAGTTTTCTTCTACATAACTTGATCTGTAATTTTTCAGATGCAAGGTACAGCAAAATGAACAAATATCTACTATATTGAAATAAAATTATGTCCACTGAATTTAACAATTTAAATTCCCCTTCACCCAAGGATGCTTTGTACCAAGTTTGGTCAAAATTGGCCCAGTGGTTCTTGAGAAGAAGTTGAAAATGTGAAAAGTTTACAGACAAACAGGCGCAGCAGACGGACGAAGTGATCAACAAGGCTCTCAAGCCAAATGTGATTTCAAAGGATTAAAATACCAATACATATGTCTTTTTAATCCATTTAATTGATTATTTAAACAGATATAAATATAAACTCTCAACAGCCTTATCTGGTCACTTTACCTGCATTTTATTGTTTAAATAAAATGCTTGTATAAAATGCATTGTAAATAAACTTAACACAAAATATGTAAAATAAAATTCTGTCAATGTGTCACTTCTCGGTGGCATAATCTATTAAGAATTTCTGTATTGTTATTTAATCAAATTTTGCAAAAATAATAAAATATCGTGTTTTTGATAAAAATTTTGCCTAGATCATTTTTCAATGATGCAAAATGAACAAATATCTACTATATTGAAATAAAATTATGCTGCGGAACGAGTGATCAACAAGGCTCTCAAGCCAAATGTGATTTCAAAGGATTAAAATACCAATACATATGTCAGTCCATCGTAACTCTCAATAGCCACATCCTGTCACTTTACCTACGCTGTCTCGGGTCGTGTTTACACGCTGTCTGCCCCATGTTGAAGCTGACCCCCTGTACGTCTAAATCACTGTCAATATCCACCTTCAGAAAACTCTTACTTCTCCTCATCTTCACATTGAACTTTACCATACTCATCCCGGTAATGTCTTAATACGACGATCAAATACTCCAGAACTTAATCATACTCATCCCGTAAGTTCTCAATATAACGGCCAAATACTCCAGAAAAACATCTCATAAGTCGTGGAGATGTAAGGAATCCGTAATATATGACCCCGTCATATCTCCCTAGAGTGTGTGTACAATGACCAACTATCCAATAAAACCTTTATGAGTTTATGATCATATTTTCTATAGCTTTAGTCAGATTAAGGTCTTGACAATACAAGATACCAGTTTGTTTGTGTAGCAAATGCAAAAAGCGTCCTTTAAAAGTCTCAGACACCCCTTTATTATGCATAATTAAAAACAACTTTTGGTGCAATTAAAATTCTAAAGAACAATGTTTATAGCTAAATACACCGGTAGACAGTCAGTACTGAATCCACCTTCTTTTTCAGATTTCTATAGACATTTAAAGGAAAAAAATGTAGCGTAATGACTTTCAGAACTTTGTATTCTTTGATTTTTCTTTGTTTATGTTGGCAGAAAGAAACAGGTTTGTCATTGTAAAGAAAACCCGGCATTGTGTTAGAAAAGATCTTAAGCTGGATAATAATTACACAGACTCAAATGATGGTCTAAGATGAAAATTATTCATTACCTGCAGTGACCTTGAAAGACAAACTTCAAGAGGATTTGATTTAAAGTTTCTTGAGCAGTTAAATGTAAAGTTAGTCTTTGGGTCTTATTTGAATATTAAAAAGAAGAATCAAATACCCTGCTATTAAGACTTTTAATTACATCATCCCTAGAAATTATTAAGGAACCAAATTTCTGGAGTAGTTCATTAAAAACAATACAAAAAAACCTTCAACATTTGTCAAGAATCTTGCTTGCCTTGGAAAACAGAACATCTACTGAATAACATTTCAAAGACACTGATATTTTTCAAAGTCATGAATGAATGAATTAAAAATAAAAGTTAACATTCTAACAAAAAACTTACAGAGCTGTATCAACTAATATAGAAAAAAATCAACTGAACATACAGGCAAGGATAAAGGATATAATGTTACAAATGGCGAGGATCTAACATTTTCCCTTTTTTTATATAATATCCTAATGATCAATGCTTCCTCTCTAACTGTTTTTTATAATTAAAAAAAAATAACTGAATAAATACTGTAAAATGCTTGATTGTGATTTAATCCTGACAGATTTACAGATGAGCGGATAGAATATAGATAATCTTATCTGTTTTGTATCAGATATACCTGTGATTTAATTAATAAATCATTAGTTTGTCTTACCTAGAAATGTCATTAAAACTGAGGAAGAGCCGCTGTAAGCTAGGTAAATTGTCCACATCAAGCTGAAAGGACAAAAATCATCATTATTAATAATTACAAACTCTGCATGTCTATAACTTTGTCACATAAATGTATAAGAACTGGTTGGAAACAATCACTTTTTCATAGGAGATGGACTTCTAAGCTCTAGTTTACCTGGGGGTTGGGTTAGCCCCCCATGAAAGTTTGGACCAACAAGACAATTTCATATCTATTCTTTCCTTTAAGGAACAACAGAAATCATAATTGGAGACACATTTACATTTTGTTCCCTGATATTGTTGCACCTCAACACAGATATGTCATATTATCCAAGGCCTGATAATTCGCAGTGGACCAACATAAATTCCTAAAACATTGGACATATCTTAGGGAAGGCATTCAGTGTGTACTTTTGTTAATAAAAGTTTGTTATCTCACTGGAGGATACATTCCATTATTCTGTTTTTAAAAAATCAGATCAGACACAACCAGAGGAAAATAAAGTCAGACCAGGAGTCAGTCAGTTTATATTAAAGTCAGACCAGGAGTCAGTCAGTTTATTCATGTGATTTAGGCAGACAAACTTAAAGTTTCACAAATGTAAGATAGAACTGAGGCCTAGCTTGTTCAAAACTATATATTAAATATAGGTACTAATTATGGTAGTGTGCACAGAAATATATTCTATTTGATATTGACACGATTATTTAGAAGCTTTATGGACCAGTGGAAGCCCTACAGAAGACCACCAGATTTGTAGAGGAGACTGGGATTCAAGTGTGATTAGGCGAACGAAAAGAAGAACAAGAAGACACGATTATATAAATTTAGTTTTCATGGGCCCTAGTTAAATGACAACAAAGAGAATAACAAATTTGTTCACCCTGTCTTAAAAAATCCTTATTATACATTTACTTCCAAACTCTGTACATGATTATACTGTAAATTAAACTTCTTGACTAAGGGGAGATAACACAGGCTGAGAGTTGTCAATAAGATTGAACAGGTTCATATCATGTACATAAACTGTCAGTTAACATGTATCTATAATTTATTACCATTATGTTTTGAGTCCTTAGCACAGTATTTCTCAGTTATCATTTACCCAAAGATGGAGGACATGGAACATTTCTTTATTTCACCTGACAAGATGGAAGCATCCTAAGACATTGTAGATTCAAGTCTGTGTAACTCATGAACCCCAAAAAGGGCAAGAAAAGTCAAGATAGTCAGGTACATGACTTTATATATGGAAGCATTTTCAGGAAGATTAGATTCGTTTGTTCAAATCATGACCCCCCTGGGTTAAGGCAGGACTGTGCTATGTAATTTATCTTCACATAAAAATAAAGAGGGAAAAATCTGCTGCTGAAAAACAGTGACTAAAGTGAGCATTGTGGCTATCGGCCTCTTAGTTTTCTGGGGAACTTAAAACATATTTTTTACTGAATGTCCAAGAAAAATATCAACTCAAAATTTAGACATTTTGTTAATTTTCATAACAGATTTCCTCATTAAACATGCGAAGTAATGTTTTATTTTCGCCCCTTTTGCCCAATCCTCATTTGGGCGAATTTAAAACAGGGTGAATTCAAAGAATACAGTATAATTTCATAAATAAAACTATGACTGGGGAAATTTAAAATGGGGCTAAATTGTCTGCAAGTGTGAAAGGGCGAAAATAACACGGAGTGAAAATAACCCTGTATACAGTAATATCTGACGATTGATTTAGAATAAATTTTGATAAAATGATGTTAAAAAACCCACATGTTTCAAATATTGTGTAAAACTATATTGTAATAGTTCATTTTTAACTTTTTGATGTGTGCATGCTATCTTATCGACAAATCATTTCAATACGGCTTTACTCTCTGTCTTATAATTGCTATTGTTTTCTAGGTGCCTCACTTGGTGATTTTCACATAGAGCTCGACTGAAATATGGGGATTAACAATAATATGCAATTTATTGCTTGTCCCCTTGTCCACAGTTGGTGGGTTTTTTTCTAATGCTATCTCTTTTCATTCTGGCTTTCACACTCCAAATTATAAGATACATACCACCATTCTGATCCTGTTTCTTCGTAGATTCAGTTCAGCCAGACTGTCCATTCCTGTAAGATTGTTCACGTTAACGATCTGGTTCCCCGCTAAATTCAGTACCCGAAGCTCCGCTAAGTGATTCAGGTTCTCTATTAACGTAATCTACAAAAATGAACATTTTTAAAAATAAATAACACTTCTACACAACATTCTCACAACAAGCTCAATGAGTGAAGCGATGCTGAGTCTAGATACCTTGATCTTACTAGCATTTGAATTCTGATCTACACAATATTCATAAATGCTTGGATATCTTAGATATTTTAAGATGGTTATATTCTAAGTAAGTTATTGTTACCTGGTTTCCATGGAGATCCAACACATCAAGTTTGGTTAACGTGTCCAAGTTTTCTATCTTCTTTATTCTGAAAATTGAAATGACCATATAATATAAGTATTTTTCATCAAGAGATGAATCTGGTGAATCTAATATGCAAATTGAACAGTATTTAGGAAAGACTTTGGCTTGAAAATACAAATTTATAAAAGCCGCAAAGTTTTCGGATAAACAGTGAGCCCAAGTAAAAAACTTTGGGCATGTTAATGCTCTAAAAATAATGCAGATATGTATTCTATATTATTCTGAAAACACTTACATGTATACTCTCATGTACATGTACCTCTTGAAATGTTAAGCATATGCATAAAACCATATTATCAAGATTTTTTTCTAGAAACCATACCATTACTCAGATAAGCTGTGCCTGTTTTTGCCTCAAATGAACATCAAGAAATGTACCCAGAAATTCTGACCGACATCAGCAATTCTAAATATGAATAAATGTACCTGTTTTAGCTTGAGTTGTACCAGTCTTTGCCTGAGATTTTGCTTAAAATGAGCATCCTAACCTCAGCTGAATCTGAATATTTTGCCTAACTTGAGTACTTCAGTTGTTCCTGTTTTTGTCTGAGTGTATCTATTTTTGCTGGCCTACACAGCACATATTAAGAACAATGATGATGATATACCTATTTTTGCATAACATGATCACTCTTAGCTGTGCCTGTTTTTGCCTGATTTGTACCTGTTTTTGCCTAACATAAATACCCTGAGCTGTGCCCGAATTTTGCCTGAGATGTACCTATTTTTGCTTATCATGAGCACACCGACTTGTATCTGTGTTTGCCTGATTTGTACCTTTTTTTGCCTGAGATGAATTGTTTTTGCCTGAGTCGTACCTGTATTTGCCTAACATTGACATAAAGTTTTACCTGTTTTTGCCTAACATGAGCACCCTGAGAGACTTCAGTGAGCTTAATCCTGAGATTTCCTCAATCTGATTATCGTACAGGTCCAGGAAAATGAGTCGTTTTAGTGAGCTCAGATGCTGGATCTTGGTGATTGCATTGTGCTGGTAGTTCAACAGTCTTAACTGGTCCTCTCCCTCCAAAATCGGACATACTGTCAGTTTCCGCCTAAAATTAAGAAGGCAAGTAAAACAAATATCTAAAGAAGACCAGGTAGAAGAAACATAATGTTGTCTTATAGAGTACATTAAAAATATCATAAACTGCCATGTTGTGAAGCAGAATACATTTAAAGAATGAGCATCTTATAGCAAGGAAAAATCCCTGATGTCACATTACCCATGCCTAACATGTAATTTGGAACAAAAGTCTTTCTGCAAAATTTCCATTTTCCAATGTCCTAATTCCAATTTTTCTACCTTACCTATCAAGATTGAGTCTGTCAGGATTTGAAGACCTTTCCTCTGGAGTTCTGTAAACAACAGGAATGCCCGGGGCAGAGGGCGATTCCGCAAATATCACTCTATCACCTGAAAACACACCAGAAATCAATGAAACAACAGGTATGCCCAGGGGCATAGGGCTATTCTATAAAAATCACTCTAACATCTAAAAATACATCATAATTCACTTGAAAAACCATAAGACCTAGAGCCTGGACTAAAACTTCTTGTATCTGTAGAATCTACAAATTGGTCAAAATGTCAATGCAAGTTTTAGAATCATCATGTGTACCCCAACCCAAGTCAGAAAAATTTATCTCCAATTCCTAATAATAACCTTGTCAGGTCAAAGAGGAAAAAAAATTCAAAGTGTAAAGAAGGTTGGGGTAAGATGAAGTTTAGTAAAACATGATTTTTTTTTTTTGAGAATTCAAGATGATTTGAATTTTGAAACTCTTGATCTAATTATAGTACACAGGGTATTAACATTTGCTATGGGATAATAAACTATTACATTTCATTACGTCTTTAATCTCTCTATTCCTGAGGTACTGATCCTGCTTATTGAACTTGTCAAAATTTACTTTTGGATTTTAATTTTCCATTCCATAACTAAAATTCAAAAATAGGAACTCTGGATATTCACTTTTATCTAGCATCATAACTTAAATTATCCTGACACAGAACACTGCACATTCCCATAGTCTGACAAATATTTACCCAGAGCGTTCTAATTTCTAAATCCCACCCCAATCTCCATATGCTTACAGAAACACTATCAACAGAGTTTTCTGTTTGAATTTATGGGGGATTTGAGTTTCAGGGATGAATAAGCAATAACATGTAATAATTTCTTCTCAAACTCAAACACTTTCCTAAAAGGACATTCATTTATGGTTATAAATAAAGAAAGAAAAGTTTATAAACTATTTAAAATGTCCATGTATCATTTAGTGATAATTATCCACATTAGAGATTTTAAATCTGTGTTTTAAGTGATTTTAATATTTTTACAAATATCCTTGAAACTTTATTAAGGTTCATATCTTGGACATGATTAATAACTAAGTATTAAAGAGATGTTAAACACTTCAAATAAGTTGATCTACTTAAGATCAAAATCAGCTGTTAAATCACGCCCTTACACAGCAAACAAGATCACTGTTAAATATTGTAATTACTCCTTATTCAGAATTTCAAATTGATGGACTTCAAGATTTCAGGTTTCAATTTTTTTCAAAAGAATGATATGTAAAGAAAGGTTTCAAACCAGGTGCAGAGTTTACAATGGATTCAAAAAATAGTTACCTGAAAATTCTAAATACTCTTCTAAAATGACAAATAAATTAGTTTTCAAAGATCAAAAGAATTTTAGGTGCCAAAATAAAACAGTCCAAGTGATTGCAATTTTGTTAATACGTCATAGTCAATTATTAACATTAGGACTACACTAAATTACACATATCAAGAACAAAATCAAACTCTAAAATCAAATAATTATCAAAAGCAACAAAACAAACTACAAGATTACACAATTATTGAAAGCAAATGCAACATTTACAGTTTACAGATTAAAAAAAGAAGATTGTATGAACTTCCAAACTTAAAGTGGGTACAAGTGCAAATTATAGTTCAAATGGCACATAGACAACTCAAAATGACGTAAAACAAATTAAAAAAAATTACACTGCAAAGCAAATATCCACAAACCTGGCAAGAAAGCAGGGGCTTTTTGCGTCTTTGGGGACAAGTTTGCGCTTGAGCGTGAATTTCGCCCGCTTTCCTCTGCGTCTTGTACAATATCAGGGGTGCTATAATCGTGTGCACAGGCGGGTGCTGGCACCATAGGCTTTTTGTTAGCCCTGTAGTGAATCGGAATTTTCTCTGAAATCAAAAAAATAAAATTCCCTTCACCTGCAACTACTGACCAACCTGACCCGAGTGAGAAAGGCGAGGTGCTGTACATCATAGCAACACAAAACTTAAATCCTCCCTATATTAGTTATGTCCCTGAACCATTGTGACAGGAGAAGAGTTATCACCCCTAGATAAATATTTATTAATCGGAATTGGCTGAGATTATTAATTAACCTACAATTGTGATCATTAGTTATATGACAACAAAGGGCAGTAACTCATGTTCATCTCTTCCTCAGAAGCTACAGGGCAATTGAGCTGCTGAATTTATTGTCCAATGATCTAATAATTTCAATACTATATATATAGGTATCAAAGAAATATCACTAAACAGGCTGGGATTCAATACTCTATCCTAGCTAGACTCTACATGAATGCTTCAGAAATACTTCACTCCCAATTATAACATTTGTAACTCTAAAATGATTTTGTTAGGGAACTCATAAAACCTTAGCAAGCTTCAGTAACATGTCATCAATCACAACAATCAGTTTTCTCATAATTTTTATTTCATGGAGTGGTTTGGGGGTTGGGGAGGGGGGGGCTGTTAGTTCATTTACCTCCACTGAGTCTGGATGGTTGCTGCATCCAGATGACCTCGTAACTAAGGGGAATTACACTGGAGCCGGATTTCGACCTCTCACGCTTATATCGCATCATGTCAGAAATCGACCCCCTCTGTATCTTATCAAAATGTCATGTTTCACATCTCATGGATCCAAGGAAGCCACATCAAAAACACCAGAATGTCTCATGACTTACCAATATGCACCTCCTAAGGCATCGTAAAATATAGAATTCATTGGAGCAATCACAGAGTTGCACACTTTTCATTGCACACTAGATATTTTCTCTTCACTGAACTCACCCAGTAAGAATCTTGACCATGGTATCTACTTAAAAGTCAGAAGTTTATAAAATACATCTCTCATCACCACACTAAATCACTACTGATCTGGAATTCTACACTCAGCTGAGTTCAGTGAATATTTAGATATGTTAAGGAATCCCAATCTCCTGATTAAGTCAATGTAAACGAAATTAAACACCTTCATTTTTCTGTCAAATATTGAATCATAATTTCCACTTCAACCTGACACCACACTGACACTCTTTTTAATACTCTGTAAGAAACAGTGGAAGGAATACGATTTCTCTAATCAAAGAACTGAGGTTTCAAATTTTTGCATGTCCTGATCTCCTCTTATTAATGATTTAAAAACCGCAAAAACCGGCACACAGGGGAAAATCCTTGTAAAGAACTTGTGTGAAATAATGTAGACCAAATATTCCCCTGCATGAAGTCTAGCCTTTTCTGCCGAGTGTGAAATCCTTCTATTATAAAGATCTGAGCACAGGGGAAAAAAAGAAAATCCTATTGTAATTTGTTTAAAATCAATAGGAAGTATTCGGACAAATTGTTTCTAATCACAATATTGAAGTAAGTCTTAAATCTGATTGAGAAATCAAAGAAAACAAAGCTTTGTAAAATAGCCCTCCAATATGTTAGGGCTAAAATGACATTTAAAAGGAGACTTTTACGATTTAATGTGTAAGAATTATTGATTAGCTTCAATACCTGAACCTGCTTTAGTGAAGGATAATGATGAAATTTTATCAATATTAAATATCAATACCATCTACAATGCAAAATCAACATACTCAAGCATTGGATAATCTACTGAATACATTACTCACAATCACCCCTGCTTATACCATAGGACCTCATTTACATCTCTATTCAAAGATTTCTTTCCTGCATTTAACGAATTAAAAACTTGTCCAATATCTAAACAGAAAATACTTGCAAATTGAAATTTAGAATTAATTATAAAATATGCTCACAAATCTACAGAAACTACCTCTGACACATAAAATTAACATTGTCAATAGGGGTATCTGGCAAATCCAATAGAGAAATCAGTAACAGCCTAATTCAGCTTTTACAAAATTCAGCAACAGAGAGAATCCAGAAACCAGCAACAAACTATATCCACATTAGAATGGGTAACACTTTATTAAATTTGCATTGGATTTTTTTCCTATTTTAGAAAGTGATATATCCAATCATTAAAGCCATTTAAAATTTTCTATGAAAGATTTAACACTAAACATTCCAAGACTTGGATCAAATGTAAAAATGTTCATTTCACAAGAGAATTCAAAACAATGTCCATCAGTGCACCACAACAACAGAAACAAGCTACAGGCCCCCCTGTCCTGCTTCTGATGTCATCCTTTTCTCACTGAGAGTGACAGTCGGGGTACCTTGTCGACTCCTACACACCTTTATCATCTATCACCGCCCGTCGTATTTAAATGTCTGCAGGTAATGCCTCGTGTTTACTCGGAGATTGACGTTTGATTATCGCTTGTCAGGGACCGAGGCGTAACAATGAGGGGGGGACTATATCTCCGATCCCGACCCAATCCGTGCCTTATCTTCCTATTCCAGGATATGATTAATTTTCCACTACCTCAAGATAAATTGGATGAAAGTGATTTTTAAAGCATTACTTTTAAATGCCTCACTATGATGTTTTAAATCAAAAAGGAAATAAACCTGCAGGAAAATAAAGAGATCATACCAGTAATTAACTTTTTTTGCACAAGACTCATTACCATGATTACAGAACTTCAAAGAGTTGTGAGTAGTCTTAGTGAGAGAGACTAATTCATTGCAACTAAACAAACCCAGAATATTTTCAGTGTACCCTTGCACACTTTTCAAAAGCCACAAACATGGCCAAAAGGTTCCATCAATTCTTTTTTTTTTAATTCTTTCCCTCTTAAAATATCACATAATTCTTATCAATGATAAGTTTCTGAGGTATTCATTAATTGGTTCTGCTTGATACATGAACCCTGTAATTATTAGAAAGAGAGGTCCCTGAAGAGATGGTAGCTCTACTGTTATGAACTCAAAAACCTGCAAGATTTAACCTTAAAGAAGCATTGACTTTTATTGTGTGGTGTCACCTGATTTATATGATGGATTGCAGAAGAACAATGGTTTCTAAACAACATCCTACATTATACTAAGTGGAAGGTAGAGACAGAGGCTGCACAGTGATTTGTATTGTATCAGTACTTCAATTATTTATATGGGACACAAAAAGAAACAATGTCCTATCTACTTGAGCAGAAAAGTATATTGTCTTCTTGCACAGAAATTGAATAAACAGTTTCTGAAGTTTTGCGGTGCCACGTCCTTTTGATAGAATGCTGAGGCAGTAGCAATGGAATTGTAGCAATAGAGCTTTCTCAAGGAGAGCAAAAATGGGTTTAATGACAGTGGTATAATTGTAGAAAGGTGGAATTCAACCTTCTTAATGAAATGATTCATTATCAACAAGGAAGAGGTTCTGTTTGTGGGTCCCACATTGTTTATTTATAATGGATAAGAACTGTAATTGTTTCTGCAGTGTTGAAAGACATTTTGGGGGTGGGGGTGGGAGGAGTGTGTTACAAATGTTACAAATGATTCTATATTGCAGTGACCTAATTATAGAAGGTCTCATTTAGGTCTTTACAATGTGGTGACCTAATTGTGGAAGGTTTGAGATGGTCTTTACTATGCGGTTTCCTGATTGTGGAAGGTTTGAGATGGTCTTTACAATGTGGTTTCCTGACTGTGGAAGGTTTGAGATGGTCTTTACACTGTGGTGACCTGATTGTGGAAGGTTTGAGATGGTCTTTACTATGTGGTTTCCTGATTGTGAAAAGTTTGAGTTGGTCTTTACAATGTGGTGACCTAATGTGGAAGGCTTACTGTGTTGTGACCTATCTATGTATGGGCAGAGATAGGAACAACTTTTTTTCACTCTTGAGTCAGATCACACCTGAACCCACCTGATGAAACAGCGGTCCCCATCTTGATCTGCCCCCAGGGTCAGCAATATCTCCCCTTAATATAGCCCTGCAAAAATGGCTCTCATTATAAGGAACTCAAGCCTTCAGCATCAAAGCTGATAATGCAACATAAATATTTAAGTTCCTTTTGGGAAAACTAAAAAGTTTTGACAAAATTACTGATTGAAGACCATAAACTATACTGGTTTAAGTTGTCACGAGAAATGCTCTAAAAAATGCTCACTCTGGGAGATTCCATATTATTAAGTTTGCTACATCTTCATCTACCTAGATCATTCATTGAAATTTCATTCCCTAGTTAATAACAAGATGTATATTCAATAAACAAATAAAAAGTTCAGGAATAAAAAACACAAAGTTGAGTTAAGGAACAAATTAATCAAAGGCTTAAATTCTGCACTCACCCGCTGGCCCCGAGCGAAAAGTTCGGACAAAACACTGTCTTCCTACGGTGCGGTAATCCCCCATCATTTTCACAAACAATGAACGAGACAGTCTAAGTGAAGCATTCTCCAACTAATTTTTATTTAATCAAAGTCTTAGTTTACACCCGATAAAACAGGTACCATGAATTTTAATTTGAGCAAGAGACGAAATAATCAGTGTTAATCCTTTAATCCCTCTTAATGAGTTCCGACTAAAACGATTTGTAATAATCTGACATTATGGTCCTATTTCTTCGGGAATACACATTGTGCTAGAACCTGTATCAGATTGTTCTGTACTAATTAGGTTACAAGGGTCAGGGGTTAGAAGTGAACAGATATAAATAACATTAAACTCTCAATGTTTGATTTTTGTTCAGACAACACCCCCCTCCCCATTTTTCTTAATTTCAATTCAATCTATTTATTGATACTGTACACCAAACATCTTAAGGGATGTCACAATTAAGATTAAGAAAGTAACAAGTTAAGATTAAAATTAAATCATTCAGATGCATCCTGAATAAAATACTACTCCACTAAAAATTCTGTGATCATCTAAAAAGCCTTAACAACAGCTTTATATGGAATAACACAATTATTGTAGAGCTTGTTCCAGGGTTGACATGGTCCTACATGTAATTAGACTGACAGAAGTAAGTTCTCCTACAATATGCATAATGATTAAAAAAACTTCATTAGGGTGAATTCACCATGCATCGGACACATACCTTGCTTCGGACAACTTTAGACAATAAACTCTCTTTCAACTTAAGAGTTCCGTGTATTTATTTGTTTCTGTCTTGAAGCTAAAGATTTAAATTTTTTAATGATACCAATTGTTATTATCATGTTGTGATAAAAATACCCCAAGAATGGCCTTGAAGTTACATCATATTTTACATCATCAAAGGGGAATAACCAGAAATTTATGATTTTGCGATTTTTAGAGTTATCGTTCTTAAAAATCGACTTCAACGGAACGAGTCAGAATTTGGTGAATAAAGTCAAAGATTCGTATTCTTACATAAATTTTACAGAAATTTCACTTCAATGTTCGTATAATTCTTTTTAAAGCTGGTTTTCACTAGTATGTTCATTTCTCTGTACATCGGACACAAATTAACCATGCATCGGACACTTTCCGAAACAAAGGTATGCACTAGGGATGTGCGATTTTATCGGTATATTGGTATATCGCAATTTTTTGTTGCGTGATATGTATCGTGATACAGAGACCTAAATACCGGTATTTAGGTACATATTGTAAAGTCCAGAAATTATTAATTTTTTTGTTTAATCTTTCAAAATACAATAACAGAAAGTCTAAAAAATGTTGTGAAATGTGAAAAGAATGGCATCTTATCACCCAAACATGATGAATTTTACTAATATAAAAATTTCAAAAAAGTCAAATTTTGTTTTTCTAGCATATTTTAAAGAAAAATAATGACTGTTCATTTAAAATCATTGTATAAATTGCTTGTAAAAATATCATGATATTATCGTGATATTTTGGGAAAAAATCGTGATATATCACGATACGAAATTTTTTAGCGATACCCATCCCTAGTATGCACTAGCTACTATTTTCATACAGAACCGAGCTGACAGCTGATTTTTGCAGAAAAAAAAAAAACTCTATATTTTCAGTCAAAATACAAGTTATCGATATATGATGTCTGGAATTTGACTCAATTTATGTCTACAAACCAGAGTATGATAAACCATGAGAAAAAGGCACAAATTACCGCATTATAAGCATTTCAAAGCATTTCGAAGGCAGAGTGAGGTCTCTTAAATCGTTCTACATTTGTGCAACGATATCATCAATTAAATTTAAGTTGAGAGTTATTTCTTAGATAAAAAGATAAAAATTTATCCATATCGAGGATTTTAAAGCACTGTGATAAAGATATGATATTTTTCCGGTCTAAATACCGTCTGTCCGATGCATGGTAAACAATGTCCGATCCATGGTGAATTCTGAGTTTTTCCTAAAAACTCGATTTTTGAGGATATTTTCTCAATAAAAGGCATATAACTGTGTCCCAACTTAATATTTTAATCACAAACTAAATGTTAAGCTCCATTTTGATAATTTTATGTCGGTAGCTATATCGCTAGAACTTGTTGAAGTACAAGGGTGTCCGATGCATGGTGAATTCACCCTATACCCATTCAAAGAGGGATGGATCAGTCAGCATGTATGGGGGACTTCATTTGTAATATATACTCTGTTCTGTAGAGCAATACCCACTCCCTAATTCATGCAGCATTTTTAGCCCCTCTAACTGGTGTCAACAAAATGGAAGACATCCAATATTAGCTCAGGTAAGCTAGAAATAGGTCACACGTGACACTTTGACACTGGGATGGGGGTGGGGGTTGCATTGGTGTGCTACTGAGGAAGAGATGACGTTTCTGTAACTCAATAAAGAAGCCATTTTGACTAGTGCATCATTAGTTTTCATCACAGAGTGATTTGTAAGTTTTCCACAGAATTACCTACCTCTATAATTCATACTGCAAAGATAGCGAAAAGGAAATGGAGAAATACAACATCAACAACTACACTTAGTGCAATAGCGAAATCTATCTTATATATCAAAGTTTTACAGAGAAATGGACAGAGCTTTATTTAAATTCCAAGACTAATACATATATTTATCGTAACAACATTATCATATATGTTCATTGAATTCATTCAAAATTAAGAAAATTTCATTCCCAAATAAAACTTTGTCTGAAATGCCCTCTTTGTGATAAGATCCCCCCCTCCTCCCCTTTTCTCTACTTTAGAATACCAAATTTTAGTGACAGCTTATTTTTGTGGGATAGTTATATCAAAATACTCATGTAATTAATTTTTTTTTTGCAAATAAAATGTGGTTTACAGTACTTTACAACACTGAAACAACAAGTTACAGTTCCACAGATGTTGAATAGCTGCAGTAATATAATCTTCCTCCTCAAATTCTACATTCTTTACACAAATGTATCGGGGAGGTCCCTAAGACCCAGGGACCTGGTAATTCCCCACACAATAATGTCATAATCCCCTGGTTATTCCCACTTGTTAGCAACGGGACCCCCATCCCCACCCCTGTCCCACTCGTTCGTTTTTTTAATGTCCCCTGCTATTTTTAGAGACCCCCGTTGTATCCCTGAGTCGAGTTTGTGGAGGCCCTATATTCCTGCAGCCTGTGACTTAGATGTGCATCAGTCACCCTTTTGGTGCACCCCCTTACCTGCGATGTGGTTCAGGGTGAAGTCTGGAGGACCCTGGGGGTAACGTTTCATCATGATGTCGTTATTGGGAATCTGGGTCGGACGGAAGACAACTTGTTCTTGGGGCTGGACGGACTTCTCAACAATCTGAAATCGTAAAATAAAAATTATAAAAATACGACGAACTTCTCAACAATCTAAAATTGTTAAGAAAATTTAAAAAATACAACAAATTCAAAATCTATACTTTATACCAACTATTGTATTGTATTTAAAGAGTAAATAAAAAACATCTGTACTGTAGATACAGCTAATTTGTTGATGGGATTTATAATAACTAAAGCTAAATAAAAAGTAAAAAAAATGTATGACTCGAATCACATACAGATGAACCAGAATGTTTAGATATGCCCTCCTTCCATACCAAACCATATACAACTATGGATGGGTATCACCTAAAATTTTGTATTTCGATATCAATAAATAAAGGCAATATTTACAGGAAGTTCAAATGTCGTTAACGGAACCTCTTTGACAAGTCTGTTATAATCCATTTTTATGAGAATGCCACTGAATCCAGTCTGGTCTGAATTATAATGCTAAAGTTTGGGATGACTGCAGTGTGTCCCAGTGTTATATTTACTTTATCAATACAAAGACAGATTCCCATTGACCAATTAAAATATATGTCAAACAGGTTTTACAGAGTTAAAGGAAGCACTTAATGTCTACATTTAAATGAAATTAAACATTTAATGCTGTTTTCATTGACACCACGTATGTGCCATATTACCCCCATTCAACATGGCTAAGGTTAGATTTGAATTTGATTTCCATTACCAAGAGGAATGTATTGTTAGCCAGATAAATGTGTGTTAAAGACTTTTAACAGAAAACTGTTACTGAAAGAAGAGTCTGATTCAATCACTAAAGGATATATATAGACCAAGTTTTTTTAGTGCAAATAATATTAAGCATTAGGATTTAAAAAAATTGTATAGAAATATACATGTATAAGTATTTATACTCTTGTTATGATTATTTTTTACATGCATTAAAGAATCAAAGTTCCAGTTGTTTCAGAGTCTATGTAAACAAATTATTTATCTCGATCCTCATGGTATTCCATATCATTAATCTAAATGACTGTGTATAACATTATTTCTGTGGAAGTGACTGTTGACCTTGAAGTATATAACCTTGACCTACCTGGACATAAAATTGTCATAATGAAAGCAAGTCAAATATGATTTTTGACAATTCTTCCATTTTAAATGGGCATAAAAAAAATAGATATAAAAACAATACTTTTAAAAACAAATCAGAACTAGCAAATATATATGGTACAATTTGCTAAAAAGACTTGTAATTTTTATAGTCAATAGATTTTTGACCAGGATTTAGAGAGGGTAGAGACCTTCCATTACTCTTACTACAGATATACAGTGGACCTTCAGATATCCGGACGCCAGATATCCGGATGCTTCAGTATAATTTTTGACGATTCATTGGAACGAAATTTTAAAATGTTATTCTGTCTTGTTTAACTGGTGATTCAGATATCCGGATGCTTCACATATCCGGACAAATTGACTGGGAACCAAAGCGTCCGGATAAATGAGGGTCCACTGTACATTACTACTGTGGGATTTGCTGTATCATATAAATAAAACAACTTAGAATGGCATCAGGACTCGGTTGTGAGCGTACTCGGAGAACTGGATCACTCACTTGGTGACTGTAGGTGGCAGCCGTGAAGTGTTTACTACTAAGTGCTGGAAGAATTTGCAGTGAAGAAAGCGTGGAGTTAGTCTGCAAGATAAAAACACAGCTACAATGGATTAAATGGTCTACCACCAGGCTATAATGAAGTGTACTGGTGCTAAGCTATGCTTCAGAAACTCTGTCAGATGTTACAATAAACTACAGTACTATTATAAGGCCCTTTTCAACAAAAGAACTTATGACTAGGTCTAAAAGATACTGATTTAAAATCTAGAAAACTTAATAAATCAATTTCATAAAATTGTCTTTATTTCATTTATATAACTGAATTTTCTTCATTCTAATAAAGGTCACAATTTAATCACACAGAATACAAATAAATTGGCCAAGGTTCATAATTGCATTTAATATTAATTTCATTTTTTAGCCAACTGGCCTTTTACATCTGACAGAATTTCTTGGTGTATATACTAGATATACTATCTATATCACACTTACATTAAAAGAATAAAAGAAGAAATAAATATAAAGAAAGAATAAGTTGAAAAATAATTAGATTATAGTCATGTTGTTGCAATGTGTAGTAGTTTAATGATGATATATTCATGAATAATACTTAGAATCAGTAGATATTATATTTAAATAAATATAGTATTACATGAATATCAGATAAAGCTATGATTGTTACTTAAACAAACTACTTAGTAGTAAGTGCTATATTAGTTTTATTACACCTACTTGCTCAATGTATATTTTTTATAAAAGCAGAAATTCATACAGTTAATATCCTTGTTTAGCCATGATGCTTTTAATCATTATGTGATGTATTGTATATATGGGAGATGGCAAATACAGCTGGGCAGGTACATTATATACCAATGGTTGTTACAATAAACATAAAAACTTATCAATTTTTTTTAAAGTCTGAACTTTAAGTCTAATATGAAGCTTGAAACTATCCATCAATTATTTAGTTCACAGATGATGTCACAGAAATCAGACTGACTGAGAGTCTCAGATAAACAATGGTCCTTTTTAAGAAAAATGTAATTGATGATTATTTATAAGAATGAAAGACCAGGACTGATGGAAGTCTGTTCTATTCCACCAGTCACCAGTGTACATATTACAAACAGGTTTGTCCTGAGTTGCTGTCCTTATTTGCATTGATATGTCATGAGTGCTTAATTTGAAAATCACAGCCTATAATCTGCATATGAAGAACCCCGGGCCGACCTGCATCAACTGAGAATGGCATAATTAATATGATCTCAGTTTTTCTCATAACATACATTAAAATAATGTGAATTATAAAACTTATCCTCTAGGATAAATCAAAATTTAAATTCAGTACGTGTCAAGTCACTATGTTTCACTAAAAGATCAACATGATCAATACAAACATTCTACATATGACTATATACATCATTGAGTCTAGGGGTGTATGGAATAAAACCTAGGGTAAATCCTGTTACATTCTTGATCCAAACTGAATAGCTAATAATTTTTTTTTAAATATGACATAAAGTAAACTTTTTAAAAATATTAATACAAAAGCATATCCCCACAGAAAGGCCTATACGTTAACCCCCCCTTCTTGTTTTCGAAAAAAGTAAGTTTATGTATAACAAGATACACAATTCTTATACGCAACAGCAACACATGTTCATTGAAAAATAAAAAAAAATTGTTTACAATTGTAAATCTGTTATGTCACCAATGTGCAGACTCACAAACGAACAAGATACTCATCATACTGTGCATACCTCTTTCGTGAGAGTTAAACGACTTTTGGGTTTGTTGTACATATCTGACAACAAACTGACAATTTAAGCGGATATTTCACACAAAATTTCACTGTGCTATAAAAATCATGATACATTTTTGTGTAATAATGATCACAACAACATGAAAAATGCATGTTTTTAACCGTCGGTGCCCTTGGTTGCATAGGTTGCCGCCATTTTGAAACATAGGAAGCTGCACTTGCGCAAATATACCGGAACTTAGATTTAGAGGAAATTCGGCAAAAGACCAAGGTATCCGAGTGGGAGGCTGAATTACATGAAAATAAACGATAGATACTTAAAGGATTAAGAGCAGGGAACTTAAAACAAGCTTGGACTTTAGAATACAATGTCTTCATTTGATCCTAAAGGTAATTTATCGATGAATCAGAATATATGAACTTTCCTTTTTTTAGATGATCACTCCATAGATAGAATGTTCTTATTGTTCTATCGTTAAAATGATAAATGTCCTACGGACCAGTGAATCAAATAATACGAAATCAGAATCCTTGAGAATATACTCTGTTCTGTTCTTTCTAATTTATCCATAGTTTACAATTCTGCCTTTAATTCTGTTTTTACATGAAAAACAAACTTTTTTATAACCATCTTTATCCTAGTGCGATTTGCCGCAGCAGCTCTAATATGATATTCCATCCAAAACATTCAGCAAATGTAGCTTTGAAAAATACGAGAAAACACACATTTTTTGTTCACAAAGCAGCCATTTAATAGAGCTATTTATTCAATATTGTAGACCATCTTAATACGTTGACGGTGCGACCGTTACTTAGGGCGAGCGCAGATACTTATCCAGTTTTCATTTAGATCGGACTCGTCAAACTGCACGTGACATTCGGTGCGTTTAAGACTCTGACGTCACATGACATCGTTTGTTGCTTTACCAAACCGAAGCCTGAAAGGTCTGACTTCAATCAGCTAGTATGACTTTTTTCTGCAATAAACAGATAATTTCATTATTACCAAGGCAAGTTTATTATTCATTTAACTTTTGTCGTTATTTTCGCGAGAACATTGCTTTAACGTTAGTGCACGAAGTGATGCATTGTGGGTCAAAATTACTGCGGAAAAAATTCTATGGAATGAATGTGCAGTAGCCCAATTTTCTCTTTGCCCAGGTGTTGTCGTTAGAGCTCCCAGTTACGAGCGCGCTCGCTATTACGTTAAACAGGGATTATGTCAGCCTGGTCCCAGGTTCAAGGCCCACTCTGCCCGACATTTTCACCTGCCTGCTATATACTCTTATAGTGGTTAGGGCACTTCTGTATCTTAGCTGTTCCAATACATCAATCAGAGTGAGATTAACATACTGGCATAATTTAACTGACTGATGAACAGATGGGAGAGAGAGCTTGAATAAAATTTATCCAAATAAAGTCCGATTTAGAAACTTTCTGTTGAAGACGCTTACACAACTGCGTCATCAAGCTGGCTCTAATTTTTATACATTGTAACATAGTTATGTGAAATTTTTCTTTCTGTTTTTAAGAATCTTTTTTAAAAATCTAGAAACCATGGGTTTTTTTTTTTTTCCTCCTTTTTTGTTGAAGTTTGTTTTAGATCAGCTGTTTTAAGTACTGATATTTAAAGTGAGTATGTTTTTCTACCCCTTAGAGCACCCCCATATACGATACAATCCTCTGATGGAGGAGTGGGTCACAGTATCACCTCACCGCATGAAGAGGCCTTGGAAGGGGCAGGTGGAAAAACCAGAGGAAGAGGAGATCCCTAGTTATGACCCTAACAATTCTCTGTGCCCGGGAAACACTAGGTCCGGCGGAAAAGTACAGTGTAACTAATAACTTCTTAGATTTACCATGTTCCCAAACTCATTTTAAAATTTATTGTCATTTCAAAGCATTTATGTTGTTAATACATTGTACAAGTAAAAATACTGTGGAAATTTTTTTTATATCTTCCTATTAAGAAGAGCTGATTGACATTTAACTTCTTCAGATTTAAACATGATCATATAAGTAAGCTTTTGTTTTAATATTTCCAGGTGAATCCAGACTACACGGGCACCTTTCTGTTTGAGAATGATTTCCCCGCCCTTCTGAAGGACGGACCCGCACCACGTAAAAAGTTACAGTCAGATTATACTGCAAGAGGGATAATTATATATCAGCTGTTACAATTAGTCATAATTTTATAAATATAAACTCATTGGGAATTTATATCATTAAATAACACTTATCTGTATAAGAAAATGTTCAGAATCCAAGAAAATGCAATGCTATTAATCGTTGAAGAAGATGCTAAATTATGAATCAATGTAATGTTCCTTTTCAGCCCCGAGCCCTGACCCCCTGTTTCAGTCGTCCCCTGCCTACGGGACGTGTCAGGTGATGTGCTTCCACCCCCGGTCCGACCTGACCCTCCCCCTGATGTCCCAAACTGAAGTCAGAGAGGTCATTGATAAGTGGGCAGAAATCAACACAGACCTGGGAAAGAAATACACCTGGGTACAGGTGTGTGAACGTCTATGTAAATTTTGCATAGTTATGAGGATGGAATTTATCATTTGGAACCTCTGCTATTTTTTTATTTAATTCAATGGTCAAGTGTAAGAATTGAACTCATGTTAATATTTCAGATTTTTGAAAATAAAGGAAACATCATGGGCTGTTCTAATCCCCACCCACACTGTCAGGTAAGTGTTCAGGACATCTAATCACAAAAAATTGTAAGTTTACGACCACGACTTGAACTCATCCTAAGTTTTCAGTGAATTAATATCCCAATTTGTCAGGTGAGAGTTAAGGGCCATAAGCTCATCTGAGCCTAAACTCAAGTGAGGTTTTCTCAGTGAAGGATCTCTGGCTTCTGTCAATTCCTGTAAACTTATTTTACGTTTTGAACTTATTTCAGGTGTGGGCCAGTTCCTATTTTCCAAATGATCCCGCTAAAAAACACAGAACACAGAAAGACTATTATGACAAACACAAACTCCCAATGTTAGTGGACTACGTTAAAAAAGAACTCCAGAAACAGGTCAGTTAAGATTGGATGTAAACCTTTGGTTTGGACTGAATTGTCTAATCACAGTTATACTGTTATTCATGGTTTATAATAAAAAACATGGTGGTGACTGGTGATAGTCTTAGCCTTGACTGATATTTTGTTTTAAATGAATCACGTAATTATTTTATTCCCACATATTCAATATTTATTCATACTTTTGTCATGACTCAAAAGAAGATTTACTGACTGTTAATCCATTATCACAAATTCTCCATGATGAGTTTATGATTTTGTACCACTACCTATTAGAATTTTTTTTTTAATTTCTAAGTGACTTTTAATTTCTGTGTTTGTTTCTCCAGGAGAGGTTGGTCCTACAGAATGACCACTGGGTTTGGCTGGTTCCCTACTGGGCCGTCTGGCCGTACGAGACGATGCTCCTCCCCAAACGACACGTTCTACGAATCGAGGATCTGAATTCGGAGGAAAGGGACGGTAAGATCTTATTATCAAAGATTAAAGTGAAGGGACAGAAAATGTAAGAAATGATCAGGTGCAGATCCAGGAATTGAAGTTAGAGGGGGCACCAAAAATAGGCAGGGGGTTTGGGGGCCGCCTTGAGGCCTCCAGTGGGTCCAGGGCAAAGCCCTGGTGGGGGCCAAGGGGGCGAAGGTTCTGGATTCTAGAGATTTTGTAGGGTAAAAAAGAGGTCTACCAAGTAGACATATTTACATTTTCTAGACGAAAGTGTGATTTATGCTAACTTTGATAATTTTGGGGGGGGGGGGGGGGGGGCGCACCAGGGCACCCCCCCTTAAATCCGCCACTGATGATGAAAGTGAAAGTTAAGCACATAAACTGGTGCATTATTTTTAACTCAATTATTGTTAAGTTTTGAATTTTACAGAAAAATTATTAAATTTTGTGGAAATTCTTATCAGATGGATACAGCAGAGAATTGTATGCAATGATAAGCACCTGTAACATTAACTTTTGTAATTTTTCAGCATTAGCGGACATCATGAAAAAGCTCCTGACAAAGTATGACAACATATTCGAGGTCTCATTTCCTTACTCCATGGGCTGGCATGGTAAGGGATTTAGATTAAACCCAGCTATAAGATGTACATCTCCTGGACATTAATTATTTATATATACACACTACCCAACAAATAGCTATCCAAAGGACCAAGGCAATCTCAGTATTCAATTATAATACCTTAGGATCAGTAGGAATGGTTTTCACTATGTATTGATATACCGCTGTATAGAGTATTATTCACGTATTACTGGTTACAGGTGCCCCTACAGGGGAGTATCTCCAACAAGATAACAGCCACTGGCAGCTCCATGCTCTTTACTTCCCCCCTCTACTGAGATCAGCTACAGTCAAGAAATTCATGGTGGGCTATGAGATGTTGGCCCAGTCTCAGCGAGATTTAACAGCAGAACAGGTAATGAGACACAGAAGGTGAATTTTTAATGAAAAGGTAGTTTGGTGTAATGAAACTTAAACAGGATAAATATTAGAAAGATATTAAGGATATCAATACCAAATCAGATTTGCCTACCAGTCCATGTAATAATCATTCTGATGTTCTCCAAATTCCTTGATTTTGTAGAAACAGATTTTTCTTACACTATGATCCATGTATGTTAAATCACAGGAGTTCGCATACCTATCAATTTTACTGAAATTTTCAGTAAATAAAAAAAATATGTGTTATTATTATAGGTTTTTTTATTTACTGAAAATTTTGGTAAAATTGATAGGTAGGCAAACTCCTGTGGTCAAATGAAAAATGTTTTGTATCATGATTACAATGGAAACCAGATCAAACAAATTTTCCTAACAACCAATTGCATGTAGTTGTTAATTAAATTTAATATTTGACTTAAGTTTTATTTAATTTATATAAATTTTTAAATCAAAACACTAAAAACAAAATCATTATACAGATTCACCACTTAAAAAATACTATATATTTTTTCAGGCAGCAGAGAAGCTGAAAAGTTTACCAGATTTGCATTATAAATCAAAGAATTCTTAACGAATCCAGAGACTTAGTGCTTTCCAATTTACCAAATCTGCATTATACACCACAGAAACCTTACCCACAGACTTCGCGCTGGGGTAGTGCCAAACGTCAGGGTCCCTGCTGTGTTCTGATCATGTATAGTATTATAAATAAAATGTTTTATCTGCTGATGATGTTTTATTTATCTTTGAACATTGATTAGAATGATGATCATTTCACTTTGTGTCGCAGTGTTTTTCTGTGGAAGTTTACTATAGACTTTTTCTATGACACTTGCTCTATTTTTTATGGGCACAGTTCTGTTCATTTTTAGCTCTTCTGAGCCAAAGGCTCAAAGAGCTAATGCTATGGCGATTTGTGCAGTGTGCGTAAACTTTTTAGAATATGGGCCAAAACTCAAGAACCCCTTGGCCAATCAGTACCAAATTTGTCACAGGGTATCCTTGGCCCAAGGGCTACAATTTATACTAAAATAAGGGTTGGGACCCTTAAACAAGGGGAGATAATCAGGAAAACAAAACCAAAAGTACTGGTTGCTAAAAAATCTTCTTCATAACCACCAGACAGAATTCTTTCGAAGATTGTTGACCAAAAAGAGGTCAATGTGACCTACTTTTGACATTTTATGGCTATATTTAATTATATCTGGTACTTATTGGCTCGGAATTATCAAACTTTGTCAGTTGAGGCATCTTAGGGTTTCATTGAATGTCCAACAAAGAGTAGGTCATGGTGACCTAATTTTAAATATCTCAGGTACTTATTGGTTTAGAATCATCAAATTTTGTCAGTTTAGGCATTATGGGTTTTTAAATAACATCGACCAAAAAGTAGGTCACCATGACCTACTTTTGACATTTGATGGCTATATTTAATTGTCCCCCGCTTTCGCGAAAGCGAGGGGACATTAAATCTCATTCGTCTGTCTGTCTGTCCGTCAGTCTGTCAGTCGGTCAGTCTGTCAGTCTGTCCGTCACAAAAACTTTAACCTTGCCCATAACTTTTTATTTAGTGGAGCTATGACTTTCATATTTCACATGTGTATTCCTTGTGACAAGACCTTTCTTTGGGTACCACCAAATTTGACCTTTTGACCTTGACCTTGGAGTTTTACATACTTTTACACAAAAATTCCAAACTTTTACTTTGGCCATACCTTTTTAATAGTAGGTACTAGGACTTTCATATTTCACATATATATTGTTCGTGGCAAGACCTTTCATTGGATAACAACAACTTTGACCTTTTGACCTTGAGCTTGGAGATTTACGTACTTATGAAAAAACTTTAACCTTGACCATAACTTTTGAATGGTGAGGACTAAGGCTTTCGTACTTCACATATGTAATCCTTGTGAGAAGACCTTTGATTGGATACCAACAACTTTTACCCTTTGACCTTGACCTTGGAGTTTTAACTACTTTTTAAAAACTTTAACCTTGGTCACAACTTTTAAACAGTGGATACTAGGACTTTTATATTTCACATATGTATTTCTTGTGGCAAGACATTTCATTGGATACCAACAACCTTGACCTTTTGACCTTGACCTTGGAGATTTATGTACTTATGAAAAAACTTTAACCTTGACCATAACTTTTGAACGATGAGGGCTAGGGCTTTCGTACTTCACATATGTAATTATTTTGAGAAGACCTTTGATTGGATACCAACAACTTTTACCCTTTGACTTTGACATTGGAGTTTTTAACAACTTTTTAAAAAACTTTAACTTTGGTCACAAGTTTTGAACGGTAGATACTGGGATTTTTATATTTTACATATGTATTCTTTGTGGCAAGTCCTTTCATTGGATATCAACAACTTTGACCTTTTGACCTTGAACTTAAAGATTTACGTACTTATGAAAAAACTTTAACCTTGACCATAACTTTTGAACAGTAAGGGCTAGGGCTTTCATACTTCACATATGTTATTCTTGTGAGAAAACCTTTCATTAGATATCAACAACTTTGACCCTTTGATCTTGACCTTGAAGTTGACTTACTTTAAAAAATTTTTTTTTACTTCTCCATAACTTTTTAACGGTCAGGATTAGGGTTTTCATCCTTAAAAAAAATCAACTTCCATGTTACTTTCTAAATAAATGACATATGATAAGATGTTCATATTACACACAATATGTTATAAAAAATAACATCTCACCCACAAAGACACCGAAAGCGGGGGACCCCAATTCTTTGAATTTGCTTGTTATCTCTGGTACTAATTGGCTTAGAACTGTCAAACTTTTGATGATGCATCTTGGGTTTTCAGAGAATGTTGACCAAAAAAGTAGGTCATGGTGACATACTTTTGAATATCTCAGGTACTTATTTAATTAGAATCATCAGTCTTTATCAATTAATGTATCTTGAGTCCTCAGAAAATTTCAATCAAAAGGTAGGTCACTGTGACCTACTTATGGTATTTTATAATTACATTATAATATCTTCAGTCTTAACTGGCTATTTTGGATCTTATGATACTAATAGAGTTAATAGAAGTGATAGATTGCACAATTTATCAGAAGAGGATTCAAGGCCCTTGGGCCTCTTGTTCTACTTCAAAGTCCTCAACCATTTTTAGCACACATAGATAAAGTCAATTTCAATGACAAGGGCATTAATCCCGAGTAACTTTCTTTATTAGTGTTGGGGAAAGGGTGAATTCCCTCTCAAAAAATCTGACATGGCAATTTGTTTGACTGGCTTCTTAAGGAATGGGGTTAGAGGATTGGTTGGACAATTCTCATGTACAAGGTTAGGTCTTTCCTTCATATATTTATGAGTCTTATTAACAACTCACTAGGGAGCGACAAGAATTTTTAACGGTTGAAAAATTAATTCTTATTTCTGCTTCTTTACTCATTCTATTGCCAACTGTAAACAAATTCTGAGGTGCATTATTTTGCTGTTGCATGAAACACCCAATAACAAAACATAAAACTGATTTACTTCATTGAATTATTTTTATAGCTAGAATAACATGTGGAAAAGGAAACTAGAACAACAATTCCTTATAAATACAAATATATGAAAATTTAATCTATACTTCATGAATATTGATAGTTTTCATACAACTACCATAAACAGTAACAAGAGGCCCAGGGGCCACATCGCTCACCTGATTGGCTAGGAAAAAGCACATATCAGATCAGAACTGAAAGTTTACTGGGGGGGGGGGGGGGGGGGGGGGGGGGGAGGGGGCTTGAATTTTAACCCCCAGGGGATCATGATTTGAACAAACTAGAATCTACACTACCTGAGGATGATTCCCTATAAATATCACTAAGCATGGCTTTGAAGTACTTGAAAAGAAGATTCTAAAAGGTGTCCTTATATATTCCTATGTAAAACTTTTATCGGCCATTGTGGCCCCACCTTACCCCTGGGGGTCATGATTTGAACAAACTTGAATCTACACTACCTGGGACTGATTCCACATGAGTTTCATCTTTCCTGGCCCAGTGGTTCTTGAGAAGATTTTTAAAGATTTTTCCTAAATATTCCTATGTAAAACTTTGATCGGCCATTTTGGCCCCACCCTACCCCCAGGGGTCATGATTTGAACAAATTTGAATCTACACTACCTGAGGATGATTCCACATGAGTTTCATCTTTCCTGGCCCAGTGGTTCTTGAGAAGAAGATTTTTTAAAAATTCTCCTATATATTCCTATGTAAAACTTTGATCGGTCATTTTGGTCCCACCCTACCCCCAGGGGTCATGATTTGAACAAACTTTAACCTACACTACCTGAGGATGATTACATATAAGTTTCATATTTCCTTGCCCACTAGTTCTTGAGAAGAAGATTTTTAAAGATTTCTCCTATATATTCCTATGTATAACTTTGATCGGCCATTTTGGCCCCAACCTACCCCCGGGGGTCATGATTTGAACAAATTTGAATCTACAATACCTGAGGATGATTCCACATAAGTTTCATCTTTCCTGGCCCAGTGGTTCTTGAGAAGATTTTTTAAAATGCCATTAATTTTTCTCTAATTCATAATTATCTCCCCTTGGAAAAGGGTGTGGCCCTTCATTTGAACAAACTTGAATCTTCTTTACCCAATGATACTTTGTATCAAGTTTGGTTGAAATTGGCCCAGTGGTTCTTGAGAAAAAGATGAAAATGTGAAAAGTTTACAATAACAACAACGACGATGACAACGACAGACAAATTTTGATCAGAAAAGCTCACTTGAGCCTTTGGCTCAGGTGAGCTAAAAACGATGCTTCATTTTGATTGGATATTAACACAATTTATTAAGTTCCTTACATTTAAAACAACAGGAAATTAAAATAATTTTGTTGGAAGTGAAGCACAAGCATGTTCACTGAAACCATGTTATTTGGTTAGTCTTTTAATGACACTTTTTTTCCCCCTGAGAGATATATTAATCCATGTACTTTAATAGAGCAGTCTCAAATTTTCTACAAGATGTATTCAGAACTTCCTGTAGGATAGAACAATTTCTTTTTAAAAAAGTGGCATTTACATGATCTATCTTCATCAGATATTGTTCCCCTAAGACTTCACAGTTTTAATCTCGCTAAGATATAATACATGTAACAATCATGGTAGTAAAATCTATCCATTAGATTAACATGTATATAAGAGAATAAATCATTCATTTATTACAGTTAATTTCACCCTTTCTTGTTTTCTAAAATCCCCTTACATCTGTAAATCCACTACTTTTTATATTAAGTCATTGTTCCTCATTCAATGACATGAATTGATGATACTGAAGTAGAAAATCTAACTAAGCCACCTGAAGCACCTGATGCCACAGAGAGGATTGAGGGAGAGAATGTGACCTATCAGATCACTGACCAATCAGATTACTGACCAATCAGATCACTGACCAATTAGATTACTGACCAATCAGATCACTGACCAATTAGATTACTGACCAATCAGATCACTGACCAATCAGATTATTGACCAATCAGTAAGTGCCTTCATTTCGGTTCTAAAGCAATCTGAAATTCACAGAAGTATACAAAACACTGGTTATAGAAAGTTGCAGCCACATTAATCTTAAAATTGTTTCATTACATATAATAATCAGTTAAATCTTGCAAAATCAAAGGAAAATCTACAAAATACATAAGCAGTACTTTTCATCACGGTAGAAAAATTCTAATATTTCTTCATTTTGTTTGGATTGATTTAGCACTCAAATCTTCCATAAGATCAGAGAATTCTCTTGCACTTTACTTTTAGCATAGATTTGGGCAATGCATGGCTTCCATCTGAGTCCTCATCGACTTTAAATTAAGAAACAGTGTTTCATCCATCTTATATTATTAATAAAAAAAAAGCTGAATCTATGCTACAAAATAAAATTATTATCAGTATAAGGTGGACACCGTTTGCGCATATTTACACATATATACATGTATCTCTGGGTGCTGTATTAATACATTTGTTAGTACAGTTGAACTTCGGTATCTCGAACTCCAATATCTCGAATACCATGGATATGTCGAAATGATCTGGAAATCCCAAACACATATTCTTTTAGTATTTTACCTTTGATATCTTGAATCCTTGGATATCTCAAAGTTTTTTCTCAGTCCCATCAGGTTCGAGATAATGAAGTTTGACTGTATTTTAAACAAATCTTAACAAACACTGGAATTTACTCAGCAGCAAAGAAGTTGCATTTTATAGCCCTTTGGAAGCAAGTTTAACAGTAAAGAGCACCAGGTGTTTTTTTCACTGGAGGTTTTTTGGCACCAGGACTATGTCTCTCTCTAACATGTGAGTTGTCACCGGCACACACTTCATGAAGTTGAGACTGACATCGTTTGTGATCGACTCCATTGTCATGGCCATCAGGTAGTTGATTTTCGTCATGGCGGGGAGCATTCTGATCTTGTGTCCGTTATTCACGTGATTCATGTAAACTCTGTAGAGACACGTTATCAGCCAGCCTCCTGTATCCAGCTCTGACCACGCAGCCATACCTGTCATTAAAATAAATCTTACAGGGTTTTAATCCTTTACATTTGAATAACCCCTGGTCAGAAATTTAAAGCCTTATAGTAATATATGCCTGTTACAACAGACTTACAATTATTTTTTTTTTAACTTATCAAATTAAAGTGAGGTGAAGGTTAGGGATGGGTATCACTAAAAATTTCATATCGCGATATATCAGGATTTTTCCCCAAAATATCAAGATAATATCATGATATTTTTACAAGCAATTTTTACAATGATTTTAAATTAACTTTTCTTTGTTTTTCTTAAAAATATGCTAGAAAAATTAAATTTCACTTTTTTTGAAATTTTTATTTTATTAAATTAATCATGTTTGGATGGTAAGTTGCCGTTCCTTTCACTTTTTACAACATTTTTTAAAGACTTTCTGTAATTGTAATTGAAAGATTGAACAAATAAATATATAATTTCTGGACTTTCTAATATGTACCTAAATACCAGTATTTAGGTCTCTGTATCACGATATGTATACGCACCAAAAAATCGCGATATACCGGTATACTGATAAAATTGCACATCCCTAGTGAAGTTGAAGGGAAAAGTCAAGGTAAAAAAAATGTTGATGCTGTTTAAAAGTTTACATAATTATGTATCAGCATTTGAAGCTGGACAAAAAATAAAACAAGAGGCCCATGGGCCACATCGCTCACCTGAGAAGCTTTGACCATTCTGTTCTTTACCAGATTTCCTCCTTGTTATACATAATGCATCCCCACCCTAACCAGCTGATAATAATTTAGACAGTTTGAAATCTACACTATCCAAGGATCCTTCTACATAACTTTCAGCTTTTCTGGCCCAGTGGTTCTTGAGAAGAAGATTTTCAAAGATTTGTCCTATATATTTCTATGTAAAACTTTGATTCCCCATTGTTACCCCGCCCTTTCCCAGGGGGTCATGATTTGAACAATTTAGAATCTATACTACCCCAGGATACTTCCACATAAGTGTCAGCTTTTCTAGCCAAGTGGTTCTTGAGAAGAAGACTTTCAAAGATTTTTCCTATATATTTCTATGTAAAACTTTGATTCCCCATTGTAGCCCCGCCCTTCCCCCGGGGGTCATGATTTGATTAATTTAGAATCTACACTACCCCAGAATGCTTCCACATAAGTTTCAGCTTTTCTGGCCCAGTGGTTCTTGAGAAGAAGATTTTCAAAGATTTTCCCTATATATTTCTATGTAAAACTTTGATTCCCCATTGTGGCCCCACCCTTCCCCCGGGGGTCATGATTTGAACAATTTAAAATCTACACTACTCCAGGATGCTTCCACATAAGTTTCAGCTTTTCTGGCCCAGTGGTTCTTGAGAAGAAGATTTTCAAAGATTTTTCCTATATATTTCTATGTAAAACTTTGATTCCCCATTGTGGCCCCGCCCTTCCCCCGGGGGTCATGATTTGAACTATTTAAAATCTACACTACCCCAGAATGCTTCCACATAAGTTTCAGCTTTTCTGGCCCAGTAGTTCTTGAGAAGAAGATTTTCAAAGATTTTTCCTATATATTTCTATGTAAAACTTTGATTCCCCATTGTGGCCCCGCCCTTCCCCCGGGGGTCATGATTTGAACAATTTAGAATCTGCACTACCCCAGGATGATTCCACATAAGTTTCAGCTTTTCTGGCCCAGTGGTTCTTGAGAAGAAGATTTTTTAATGACCCCACCCTATTTTTGTCTTTTCTTGATTATCTCCCCTTGTGAGGGGACTTGGCCCTTTATTTTAGAAATTTAAATTCTCCTTCACCCAAGGATGCTTTGTACCAAGTTTGGTCAAAATTGGCTAAGTGGTTCTTGAGAAGAAGTCGAAAATGTGAAAAGTTTACAGACGGACAGACAGACGGACAGACAGACAGACGGACAGACGGACAGCTAGACAGACAGACGGACGACGGACAAAATGTGATCAGAAAAGCTCACTTGAGCCTTCGGCTCAGGTGAGCTAAAAAAGGTTTCTTTGAAACTGAGCTTTGAGCTGAGCTAAACAGAAGTCAAGGGAAGGACAGAAGTATGGAAGAAGGACATGACAAATTCTATATGCTCTGGCCATATTCACGGTAGGAAATAACAAGAGGCCCATGGGCCACATCGCTCACCTGAGAAGCTTTGAACATTCCGTTCTTTACCAGATTTCCCCCTTGTTATACATGTTGTGACCCCACCCTACCCAACTGATCATAATTTAAACAATTTGAAAGCTACACTACCATAGGATACTTTAATTCAACATAGTAAAACTTTGATTCCCATTGTGGCCCCACCCTACCCCCAGGGGTGACATGATTAGAACAATTTAGAATCTACACTATCCCAGGATGCTTCCACATAAGTTTCTGCTTTTCTGGCCCAGTGGTTCTTGCGAAGAAGATTTTTCCTATATATTTCTATGTAAAACTTTGATTCCCCATTGTGGCCCCGCCCAACCCCCGGGGATCATGATTTTTACAATTTAGAATCTACACTACCCCGGGATGCTTCCACATAAGTGTCAGCTTTTCTGGCTCAGTGGTTCTTGAGAAGATTTTCAAAATTTTTCCTATATATTGCTATGTAAAACTTTGATCCCCCATTATGGCCCTGCCCAACCCCCGGGGGTCATGACTTTAACAATTTGGAATCTACACTACCCTGGGATGCTTCCACATAAGTTTCAGCTTTTCTGGCTCAGTGGTTCTTGAGAAGAAGATTTTTAAAGATTTTTCCTATATATTTCTATGTAAAAGTTTGATTCCCCATTGTGGCCCTGCCCAACCCCCGGGGGTCATGACTTTAACAATTTAGAATCTACACTATCCCAGGATGCTTCCACATAAGTTTCAGCTTTTCTGGCTCAGTGGTTCATGAGAAGAAGATTTTTCCTATATATTTCTATGTAAAAGTTTGATTCCTCGTTGTGGCCCCGCCCTATCCCCGGGGGTCATGATTTTTACAATTTAGAATCTACACTTCCCCAAGATGCTTCCACTTAAGTTTCAGCTTTTCTGGCCCAGTGGTTCTTGAGAAGAAGAATTTTAAAGATTTTTCCTATATATTTCTATCTTAAAGTTTGATTCCCCATTGTGGCCCGCCCTATCCCCGGGGGTCATGATTTTAACAATTTAGAATCTGCACTATCTAAGAATGCTTCCACATAAGTTTCAGCTTTTCTGGCCCAGTGGTTCTTGAGAAGAAGAATTTTAAAGATTTTTCCTATATATTTCTATGTAAAAGTTTGGTTCCCCATTGTAGCCCACCCTATCCCGGGGGGTCATGATTTTAACAATTTAGAATCTGCACTACCTAAGGATGCTTCCAAATAAGTTTCAGCTTTTCTGGCCCAGTGGTTCTTGAGAAGAAGATTTTTAAAGATTTTTCCTATATATTTCTATGTAAAACTTTGATACCCCATTGTGGTCCCGCCCTATCCCCGGGGGTCATGATTTTTACAATTTAGAATCTACACTTCCCCAGGATGCTTCCACATAAGTTTCAGCTTTTCTGGCAGAGTTTTTCTTCATCAGAAGATTTTTAAAGATATTTTCTATATATTTCTATGTAAAAGTTTGATTCCCCATTGTGGCCCCGCCCTATCCCCGGGGGTCATGATTTTAACAATTTAGAATCTGCTCTACCTAAGGATGCTTCCACATAAGTTTCAGCTTTTCTGGCCCAGTGGTTCTTGAGAATAAGATTTTTAAAGATTTTTCCTATATATTTCTATGTAAAACTTTGATTCCCCATTATGGTCCCGCCCAATCCCCGGGGGTCATGATTTTTACAATTTAGAATCTACACTACCCCAGGATGATTCCACATAAGTTTCAGCTTCTCTGGCCCAGTGGTTCTTGAGAAGAAGATTTTTAAAGATTTTTCCTATATATTTCTATGTAAAACTTTGATTCCCCATTATGGCCCCGCCCAATCCCCGGGGGTCATGATTTTTACAATTTAGAATCTACACTACCCCAGGATGATTCCACATAAGTTTCAGCTTCTCTGGCCCAGTGGTTCTTGAGAAGAAGATTTTTTAATGACCCCACCCTATTTTTGTCTTTTCTTGATTATCTCCCCTTGTGAGGGGACTTGGCCCTTCATTTTCACAATTTAAATTCCCCTTTATATACGAATGCTTTGTACCAAGTTTGGTCAAAATTGGCCCAGTGGTTCTTGAGAAGAAGTCGAAAATGTGAAAAGTTTACAGACGGACAGACAGACGGACAGCTAGACAGACGGACGGACGACGGACAAAATGTGATCAGAAAAGCTCACTTGAGCCTTCGGCTCAGGTGAGCTAAAAAGTGGTAACAAAATACCAATGGGCCAGCATGTATGGTAAATGGTATACATGAACATTAATATCATAAATAATGTATTAAATGCAGGAAAACTGTGGAATCCTCATTGTTCATGGGTGACCAGAATTTGAGGATTTAGAATTTTTTGGGTCAACTTTTTAAACAACTACATGTATACCCAATCCAATGAAATGCTATGATCAAAAAGTTGTTTTAAATTACCACTGACCTGATGGACTTGCCATCACTATCATACAGTTGTGGAAACACGGTGGGGGCGCTATGGCAATCTCTTCCTCCATTGAGGCACGTAGACGACCAGATAAGTCAGAGAACAATTTGTTGTTTTTCCTGAAATTTTCTGCTCTTATTCCCTTGGCATCCATCCTAGAATGGGATTCCACTGTAAAAGTAAAGAATCATTTTTTATGTTTTATCTAATTATTCAACTCTGTCAAATCAATTCAATCTTTACTATAGTAAATAACATGAAGAACTTTTTCTTGTATGGTTTAATTTACAACAAACTATATACATGGTCACGCGGAAAACATGTGCCACCATACTTAATTAATATACATTAAAGGCATATAGTGGGAGTCTATGAAATCCATGTAATTTTCCACTCTTATTACTACAGATGAAACAGAAAAAGAGGTTCTGCAAAATTCTGACCCCGTGGGAAAAGAAAGTCTACAGTATGACAGCAGAATGCCAATTTTTACACCCGCTAAAGAAGTCCCCTATATGGTACTTTGTACCACTGGGTTTATCTTCATACCACTGATTCAAACTGCACTACTTCATACCACTGGAGTAGATCTTACTGTTTTGAACTACAGGGTTATTTTGAGATGACATAACAGGTTGTGCTGATGGGATTGGTTCTTCCCTGAATTCTGATTGGATCCTGATAGACACGCCTCCATCGACCATGTCACCTACGGTTTTTTCTTCACCAACCCTACTCCTACAAGCCTAGACAGAAAAAAAGACCAATGTTGAGCTCTGTATGATAACAAGGGTCCCATTCATATAGAATCAAACCGCACTATACCATATATATGACCTTTTTTCCTGTGTTCAATCATTGTTTTTTTTTTTAAATCAGTCTTGACCCTTTGTTTTACATATTAAACACTCGGGTACATGTATGTAACATTGGGTAAAATAAATATCACCTGACGTCTTTCTCATCAGTGCTACAGTATTTTATATGTATTTACTTGTATGAAGAAGACTTTCGGCTTCCCTTTCAAGGCCTGACACTTTTGGTCGTCAAACATATCGATGATTTCGCTGGTCTGAATGCTGCCGTCTGTCGTGGAAAATCGGTGTTGGTAAAACTTAATCTCCTGTCTCCTGAATTCTGGATTCATGATGTTGCTCTTCCCTACTTCTGCCTCCATGCCATGGGAACTTATCACCATGACAACGCACGAGATTCTTTGTAGAAGTTCAGTATTAGAGGTCACTGCAGAAAATAAGAGAAAAATTTTACAACTTGTTATAAAATGTTCCCTCAGGTCATGTTTCACGAAATCCTCTCTGAGTACAATTATAATGATATATTTTCACTCAGTGTTGTATCTAGTCCGAAAAACCTGACGTTTTCCTAGCTTTTTTACGATTTTGATATTTTACGTGCCAGGAAAATGTCAGAACCGGCGCCTTTATGAAAACTGGGAAATCACCACCTCCAACTGGAGCCGGCATTCTCGAGTTGATTTTAGACACATGCGAACCGAATTAAATTTCAAAGTCACAAGCTATCAACAGTACAATTCTTAAATTACTTACCAATATAGTTTTTATTGTTCATTTATAAAATATACAATCCATTGAAAAGATTTTATCACACTGTTGAGATTTGTCATCATTTTGTACATTTTAAAATCTTGCAAGTCCTGTAACGAAATGTGGAGAGGTATTTTCTTTTCATCGATATTGGTGAGTATTAAAGGCATTGTTCTTTTGATAAATTCTGATTTTGGCATTTAATTAAGTTCGCAAGTATCAGAAATGAACTCCGGTTTGAGAGGGTGAAATTTCCAGTTTTCATAATGGCGCCGGTTTTGACGTTTTCCTGGCCCGTAAAATATCAAAATCGTAAAAAAGCCAGGAAAACGTCAGATTTTTCGGACTATGTAGTATCCAATGGAGGGAATTTTCAAAATTGTTACCTTTATTTATTAAGTCATAATTTTTTTAATACCCCTCCCCTCCCCACCATACAACCCTTCCCACTCATCTCTCTAGCCCTCAGAAAACGACTCTTACAAATATTTTCTCAAGCACCCTGACCATTATCTCCCCTAGTTATTCTACTGAAATCCAGCTCACACGTGTAATTATCAAACTCCAATCCAGAGATGTATTCAAAATACTACCTTTCTTATTCCTAATTTTTAACATCTGTCTTATTCCAAGCTAAAAACTACTGCAAATATATTCTTTCAACCCAGTCAACAACTGTTACTAAACCTTACCTTTATTTTGTATGCATAACATGGTTGTAAATTGCCAATATGTTTGATGAATCAATAATTAAATTGATTTATCCACAAATTGACTTAACTTCACTCACCATCTTTGATCCACTTCATGCATTCTTCATCGGTCAAGTCTTTTCTCCATTGAACTTCAAAGCCTAGATGTTCATGGAACAACTCGTACATTTTTTCTAGATCTCTTTTGACCCCAGGTCTTGGTACTTCACCATTTTTAAAGGTTTCAAACCCTACAAGTAGGGCGAGCCCAGGTTTATTCGCGTCCACCACGACAAACTCTTCTTCCTTGACTTCGCAGTCCTCTGTCTGGACAGGGACCTTATCAACGTAGAGTTCCAGGCGAGGCCCTAACTCTGTCTCATGGACTTCATGTCTGTCTCCACTGCACTCACTGGAAATTACCAAATAGACACGTACATTTACAAGTAACAGGTACACTCTCAAGTTTATCTCTTACAGTTGTCTAAATGATAAAAGACTTTCAAAAAATCAAAACACAAACCTGTTGCTACCAGCGACAAGATTGGCATCTAGTCTACTGGACATAGTTCTTTCTCTTGCTGGGATTCTCAAATGAACATGACGAATGCTAAATAATATACATAAAATATTCCATTAAAACACAAGATCACATCAAAGTGAACCACTACTCTAACCTTGACTTAGTTGACTATTTATAATTTCATGGTTAATCAAAAGCACAACCCTGTCATTTACATTGCTCAAATACTGACATACTAGTACAGTATTCTATCTTAGTATCTAGAGACTTAAAACTTAAGGAAATGTTCAAAGACAAACCAATTTTGGCATATAAAAAACACAGGAATTTAGGATTTCAATCTAAAATGTTTGAAGTTTACTTGAGCCTTTGGCTTAGTTAATAATCCTCGAACCAAACAATCATGATGTCGGTCATGTCATCTGGTCATTACAAGCAACCACAGAACGTATCTAAATTTATTCAAAGTTATATATAATTACATTACATACTCACTGTCATGATATAAATAGAATAAAGATGAGTGATTAGATTAGTCTGTTTTCAACCACTTCCACGAACTCCGAACTGGGATAAACAAACCGAAAGTAGATGTAAAATACGGAGCGGAAAGGTCGTCATTCCGAAAAGATGTCATATTCCAGTCGATGAAAGATTGTGTTTCAATTCGCTATCGTAATAATCGGTATTTCGTCGGAAGAAAAAGAGGATGGGGTGTTACTTAGATGTTTTATCGGATCACTTTCTTTTATTTGTTCATCATAACAATGTACACTTGCAATACAGAAAAGAACCCCCCCCCCTGAGAAACATATGACATTTCGGCGCTTCATTCAAGCATTTATCAAAGAAAAATTTTAAAAAATGTTTTATAACATTATAGACAAAGTTCTGCTTATTAAAATCTTAAAGTTTGATTGTTCATTCAACATCAAACTTTCTCTGTTAAAAACATTCTGTTTTGACTTACGCTTTTTCTCAGTTTTTGATCTTGAAGCGGCGATGCTTGCAGTATGAGACACAATTAGTGCCCATGATATTTCCAACATATCGTTGGAAGGATTAAAACACTTTCTTAGATGATTGATACTGTCAAAGAAAGCCTCAGACGTCTTTTTATAGTAAGCTTCAGGGAACTTATCGTGTGTAGAATGTGTAGAATCATTAAACATGATTTCCTAAATTTTATTTAATACATTTGCTAAAAAATTGCAAATTGTTCGAGGCAATCTTTATAAAAATGTTTGGTTGCCCTATCCCGACCGACCGACTAAAATTGGCCCCTTTCAGAAACTTTTTTTAAATTCCAGGTCAATTTTTTTTATTCATCTTATTCGTCAACAACTATGTTGAAATTTTTCGGGTAAAAGATTGTCCTTAGACGTATATTACTACCGTCCCATTAAATTTACCCTGAGTGGGAGGGGTCAAGCAAACATTATTTTAAAGATGGCCTCATTTTCAAAATAATTTCAAAAGTTTAAATTAAGTCCGAGTTAATAGTTTTTTGGTCTAACATCCATCTATCACCAGTAAAATCACAAAGTCGACTTCTCAACAACCACTGGGCAAATTTCAATCTTGACGCAAAAAGACATCCTTGGGCAAAATGGAATTTACATTTGTTCAAACGAATGCTGAGCCCTCTTTCAAAGGCAGATAATACACAATCAGTGAAAATTTAATGGTATCTTTTAAAAGAAATCATCTTCTCAAGAACCAATGTGTCAGATCATATGAAACTTCGGTCAAAACTTCAATACATTGAACAGGTAAATTTTGTTCAAATCATGCCCCATGGGCTAGAGTGGGGTCACAAGTAAGAAGTATATCAAAGTTTTACATAGGAATACATACGGAAATTCTTTCATGAACAGCTAGCCTATGATTAGTCACATTTCAAAGAAAGCATCAATCCTCATGTGGTGAAGATTTAGGCTGGTCCATGATCCTGCCTCCTGAGATTAGGGTGGGGTCCCAATGACCAAACAAAAAAAAGTTTAACATAGAAGTGTACAGGGAAAATCTTACAAAAAATGAGTCCAGCTGTATAGGTGGAGTGGAATGGAGTGAAATTACAAAGAACAAAAACGTTACAACCATTTTATTTCTTTGTAAAATTTTTCATCCATTTTGTGAGTGCTGAGTCTACACGTAGTAGAAATATGAATATGACAATAGACAAAGCATAAACAGTGAAACTGGTCATTGCTTCAAACACAAAACGTGGAGCAAATATCTTCCACACCATTAAGTGTCTTCTGTGTAGAAAGGCAGCAAGGACAGATCCACAAATCTACAAATACAAAAACAGTTACTGTTAAAATCTAAATGTTGATTTTATTTTTTTTAGTTAATCAAAACATTGCATGAGCATAATTATTTACCTCAAAAATTGCATAACTTGCTGAATGGCTTGAATATTTACCCAATTTTGAATAAAGATATTAAAGGCTCTGGAATTTTGCAGCAGGGGAAGATAATTCATTCCCTATCATCCTTTACTCAGAAATTATTTTTGATTGATTGTCTGCCTGTTGTTTCTTGCAAGAATAAAACTTTTACTTGAAATTCAGGGCCATAAGCAGTGAGACATTTCTACTGTGAAAAACGATTCCATGAAAACCTGTACGTTTACATTTAGTGCTGGGAATTGGTAAAGCAACACAATCTGATTAAAATCCTGAAGTTCCCTTGATCTGCTTACATAGCCAGCTATGTGAGTGGATCAAGGGATCTGATTTTAATCTGATTCTAAAGCAACAGTAACAACTTATGTTGATGCAGCACTGGGGCCAATTGAAATCCACATAGGCCATGGATGTCGGACAACATTTGCTATACATGTATATAGAATATGACAAAAACAGACGGAGGATGATTGTATAAACTTGTACTGTACAATTTTAGTGTATTATGTGTTGCATGTCCTTAAAGTTTAATATTTCGATTCAGTTCAATAATTTATATATTAAAGCATATTCTACTAAAAATCTCACCTTAAATCCCTGATATAGAAAGACATATGAGTATATTCTGAATATCTGCATTCTGAAGTTTTCCTTGTTGTCATGGAAACAGAAATCTCCAATCCAGTCAGGGTTGTCCTTCCTGTTGACCCCTATGACCCATCGGGTTATCAGTCCACCTGTTTTAGGCCAGAATAGGATCAAAGGGCATATAACTGCTGCTAGCACATGAGAGGAAAATGTGTTGAGGTGAATGAGTATTGCTGGCAGAATGTTGTTGGTGAAATCTCCATGGAGACCAATAAATGCTGACTCCCAGCGAATGGTTGGGATGGTTGCCTGGTGACCAGTGGCGTAGAAGAAAACAGAGGCTAGCACACAGAGGAAGACTAGACTGGTCCACAGAGACACAGGCAAATCTAAAAAATATATTTACATTCATGTATATCAAACACATGCTTTAATTAAAAATTTCTCATTCCAGAATGCTTAGAGATAGTTGACACAATTGATCTACATCCAGGAAATATTTTAACACACAGCACTATTTTTTTTTTCAGTTTAGTATCAAAATGGTCTCTGTAGTTTGAAAAACTTTAAATAACTCATGTAATGCAAGATATTTCAGTGCTCATGTTCCCTTATAATGACAAACATACCCCAGTATTAATTCAATTCTTAACCTATGTTACATTAGTTAAAAATATTCAAAAATAATGAACACAACACTTTTAACCATTGGTGTTATTTATAATTACAGAGAATGCTTCACACTTACTTATTGTTTCTCTGATTGCGATGATTTCAAGAAGGCAATATACAGAAAAAATGACGAGCAACAAACTTGGCATCAGTCCATCACCTAGCAACAGGCCAAGAAGCACCAAGCCCACAGTTACCATAGCAACAGTGGCTGCTGTAAAGGAGGTGGCCAGTCCATAAACTAATGGAGGTTTATCTTCCTTCTCCTCCAAATTCTGTTTTAGCTGATGGTAAATATTGGGTATGAGTTGCTTATCGTCTTCCATAACCAGCTGTTTTGATCTCAGCACAACAAAAATACAGAGAGGGTCATAGATCAGAAGTAAAAGGAACAGAGCGACCAGAACATACATTACCCTGGGAAGGAGGACCTGCTGCCAGGGAGGAAGGCTGTCCAGAGATTTCTGAGGGAGTCCCTGTAATGCCCAGTGAAGGGAGCAAAACAGGGCAGACAAGGGGAGGAGGTAGGTTACCCCCAACACAGGGGGACGGAAACCATTCAGATTCCCGAAATGTTTCATCACCTGACGAATCACTAGCACCATGATGACTAAACAGACCAGAGTGAAGAAGTACCGGACATTCTTCACCCCTTCCTGACTGTTTAGATTTCCCAGAGGCTGCAGGAAGACGGAGGCTTCACATTGGTGCTGTTCTTCCCGACACACTCGGAACACCGCTGACAGTCTCAGGAACAGACTCCAGGCCAGGGTCAGGAAAATCAGGACCAGGGCGGGGTGGGTCAGGACTCTCATGATGTCAAAGTGTCGGGGCGGCTTCTGCTTTTTTGTTTTGGGATCTACTGGTGTGTCAGACAGTCGTAGGACATGTTTTAATGTGAAGAATGTGAGAATCCATGAGAGAGATTGAAGCAAGTACATAGTTATAGAGTCCTCATTGACAACAAAGCTGTTGGAGAAGTAAGTCACAAAAGTGAGAAAAGTTATAAAAACAGCGAAAACAAACTCCAGAGATTCAATTCCTAAATCATGTTCTTCTTTGGCATTCAGAATAAGGGGATTCTTGCTCTTGAAATTATAAATCAACAGCGAAACTCCAAAAATGAGACAACTTCCCATCAAAAACACCATCATTGCACTGTAGCTTTCACCGATAAAAAAAGACTGAAACACAGCGAATGCCAGATAAACCAGGGAAACCAAGAACACAACCAGAACTGTGGCGGGAATGTCCTTCTTCCACCAAAATGAGATCTTTATAAAGTAAACATTAACACTCAGGGCTAAAAACAGAGTCAGGACCCCAATGCACATAGACATAACATCAAACTGGGCCCAGACCCCCTCCGCTGTCCCCCCAACTTTGTCGATGTAGAACGTGTATTTGTCTCTGAGATTCCGCAGCTTCTCCTCCATTAGGGAACTTTCCCCGTCCTGGACTGACTCCGACAGCAGGGTGTTTAACTCGGACTCCGCCGTGTCGAGGACGCTCTTCAGCTGGTAGTACGTCTGGATGGGGAAGTCCGACGAATGCTGGAAGTACTCCTGTAGGTAAGTGTTGATCTGGTGAGCATTCAGTCTCAGGGCCTTCACACTGTGAAATAACTGGAGAAAAATAAAAAAAAGATATATAATCTTACTTAAACTTCAACCACACAAGTTAATCATTTTAAAGATATAACCTTACAGAAACATATATTGGTTAGGATGCTCAACCACACACAGATTTCAATTAATTTCCATTTCTTATTATACATCTCTAAGAAAAAAAAAAAATACACAAAAAAATTTGTCGCATATATAAAAATTGAAATATAATTTTTTTTTTTTCAATGAACTGTATAATTAGTTTTAATCATATTAAAAGTTTTAATCATACACTAGTCACTGTATCAATAAGATCTTTTTGATAAAGAGATAAATTAAGATAACAGCTGCATCAGTGAATTCTTTTGACAATAAACTCATTAATTTCTCTCTAATTTAAATTTAAATATTCAATATATTTATTAACATAAACATTTGTTACAGATTGCTGTAAAGTATATAATGAAAAATAAGTTTTTACAATATAACATTTTTAAATAAGTGGATTATGAAATTTAGAATTTAAAAGACATAGTTTTTTTTAAAAAATTCACTTTAATTAAAGGTCACAGTGACCTTGAAATTTTACTTTAGATGTATACTTTTGCCAAGTTTGAAAGCTCTAGGTCTAATAGTTTTCTAGTTATGAGCCTGACAGGATTTTTCCATATTTTGCAATAGCATCTTTGTTGCAAATATATAAAAATTGAAAATATAATTTTTTTTTTCAATGAACACATATATAATTAGTTTTAATCATATTATACAATACTAATTTAGTTTTAATCATACTCTAAAACATCAATTTGTTTTAATTACATTACATCAATTGAAAGATCTTTATCTGGACTAGCCATCAAGAACTCTTAATTAGCACAAGCAACTATGAGGCTCCCAAGAGATAAATTAAGATAACATCTGCATCAAATCTAGAGATGCTCTTAGCTCCTGACAATAAACTCATTAATTTCTCTCCAATTTGACATGCAAATTTCTGCTATCAAAGTTCTTCTTGACCAGTGCTTGATAATTATGAGAGAAACTGAGCATAAACATTTGTTACAGATTGCTGTAAAGTATATAATGAAAAAATAAGTTTTTACTTAATTTAACATTTTTAAATAAGCATACAACTATATTTTTACATTGTTTAGGATTATGAAATTTAGAATTTAAAAGACTTAGTTTTTTAAAAAAATTCACTTTAATTAAAGGTCACAGTGACCTCGAAATAGACCGCGACACACCTTCTACTTTAGATGTATACGTTTGCCAAGTTTGAAAGCTCTAGGTCTAATAGTTTTCTAGTTATGAGCAGGACAGGATTTTTCCACATCTTTATTAAAGGTAAAGTGCGCGACACACCGTCTACAAAGATTGTAATCCTAGGCCTAATAGTATTCAAGTTATGAGCCGGACAGGAATTAACGGACGGACGGACATGAAGCCTATAAGATAATATGTCCCGTCTTAAGACGGGCGTATAATAAACAAAAAAGAATATCTAGTGCATAAAAATGAGAATGGAATTTAAAAGAAATTGTCACTGTATTAATAAGATTGATAACACGAGTAACATGGTGAATTCTTTTATCTAACAACATGAACAATGTAAATTTATATAGAACATATTTATTAACACTTCTGATTTTTTTCACATGGAGGTTTTCCATCTGTGCAGTGAGTGAAGAGGTTAAAGGATCAGCAGGATCACGTCAGAAAAAAAAAACATGAAACCAAAATACTGAGAGAAAAGATTTAAAATGATTGTTAATGAACTTTATAAGTACATGTTTTTCAATAATAGAACAAAAATACTACATTAACTTTAAGGTAAATAATAACCTACATGATCAGGTACAGATGTTAGCTGGGAGGGGCTGTACATAAACAGACCAGCCTCCAGTTCATCCCTGCTGTCCCCTCCGTGGTCCCCCGTCCTTGTCATTCCGTGATCCCCAAAAACAAACAGCACAGTATCAGAGGCCATCTGTTTGGTCACATTTCTACAAAAGAAACCATTCTATTAGACATTATTCTACTTGATTACTGTACATGTAAGTGGCAAATGTTTATAACATTTTTATAAGAAGAATAGAACATCTGTCTTTCCTGTAAGTGCAAATTACTAATTTAATTAAAAAATAAACAAAATAATGAATCTTTTATTACACTATCATGTCATTCATCTGTGTCAGTTTTTCTGCCATGGCCGGATGGTCAGGACCGTATCTATGTCCACAGTGATCTACACCCAGAAAATGAGCAATGGCCACATCCCAGTCTGGCTTCTGTAGCTCTGGTAGAAGATTTCTCAGGATTCCATTATCGACTGTGTGCAGATCCTTAACATTGAATGATGGGAAAGGAAATGCTCTTTTGAATCGCCCAGGGTAGAGGCCCATCCAGGTGTCATCTCCCATAAATGTTATCGTCTTGCCCTGTTTAATCAGCTGATCGATGAAGTTATCCTCTGTAATTTCAGAACTAGCGAAATTAGCACCAGCATCAACAAAGGTGGGGAGACTCCCTGTTGTCAGTCCCTTTAATCTCTGTAACGTTGTTGTGGGAGGGTCTGCTAAGAATTTGTACAATTTTGAATTTAAAGGTTTGGTTGTCAATAAATCGTTTATCACAGACAACTTATTTTTGTATGGAATATTGTGTAGCGATTCGTTATCATAGCGCATGAACTCGTACTTCATTGCATCTATGACAATAATGATCGCCCGTTTGTAGCTTCTGTGCATCCAGCACCCTTCACCCCCATGTAGGTCATTTTGATGAGCGAAGTTCACAGCACATGTGCTATTCTTTTCTATCACAACACGCTTCAATAGAAATCCTTTTGCAAAAATAAACATTCCTATCACATAAACGGAAGACAAGAATAGAAGTAAACAAATACATTTCAGTCCTAGAGTCATGGTGCCTCGTATTGTCTGAAAATCATTGAAAGTTTCCTAGCCGGCATCGAGAAAATGAGTTTTTTTCTTAAACCGGAAACCTCAATGTCGGTAATAAATTGTAATAGGATGAAGGAAATGCAATTTCCGAAATGCGTCTAAGAGTTATCCTTCTTTGTACGATAGGTGATGATGATTTAAAAATATCTCCTTTTTTTCAAAAGAAAAGAAAAATCCAAAGCAAAATTTTTTTTAGACAAGATAACTTTAAATATTTTTATGTCCCCGTAAACAAAGATTCGGGGAGTAGTTTTAGCATTGTCCGTCCATCTGTCTGTCTGTCTAGCTGTGTGTGTTTGTCCACGAAAACTTTGCCCATAACTTTTGATTGCTTGAAACTATGATTTTCATATTTCACATGTGTACCGTGCTGATATATCCTGGTATTTGACCTTGAACTTTGAGTTTGACCCACATTTACCAAAATAATTATTCAAACTTTAACCTTGGTCATAGCTTAAAGTCATTTGCACAGTTGGCGCTATGACTTTCATACTTCAAAATTTGTGAAAAGTCAAAAGATCCTTTTAAGGATATAAGTATTTTTGATCTCTCGACCTTGGCATTTAAATTTTGACCCATTAAAAAACTTTAACCCTGGCCATAACTTTTGAATTGTTAGTACTAGGACCTTCATATTTCGAAGATGTTATATTCTTTGTGATAAGACCTTCCTTCGGATATCAACAGTTTTATTCTTTTGACCTGACCTTACAGTTTGACCTACTTTTGAAAAAAAAAAACTTAACCTTGGTCATAATTTTTGAATAGTTTGTGCTACAGCTTTAATATTTTCACAGGTATATTTTTTACGACAAGGCCTTTCCCTGGGTACATTATTTCGACCCTATGACCTTGGACTTTGACCCACATTTTAAAAAAGTTTAATCTGGCTATAACTTTTGAATGGTTTGTGTTTAATCTGTCATAGTAAGTTCACAAGCATAGCATTTTAGACACATTCATTTGGTAACCACATTTTTATCTTTTGATCTTGACCTTGGATTTTGGCTTGCATTTGTAAAACACTTATTGTTATCATTTAATTACTTCTGCCCTTAAAAAAATTATACCGGGTACTACGTATCTGCAGTGGACTAACATAAAGGCAGTTGACTGTTGCAATGCTGGAGGGCGTGGCATCATTATTCAGCGGGTAATACCGTTTTTTAACAAATGTTTCTCAACTAATCAGATTCAACCAATTTACTTGGAAGTATAATATATTTTAGCAACGATCATGTACGTTATAAACATGAAATAGAGGCCTACTCATATCTAGTTTCTCTGATTTAAGACTGCAGCTACTAACTGTTTGATGTTTTTTCACCTACTTCCTTCACGAGGGTATGTTTGCCGAATTACCCGGTATGTTGGAATCTCCCCTCATCAAAAGAGTGTCAAAATGAAGGTATTTTCTCGCGGACCCTGTTGTCCCCGATTCAACCTTATCCCCAGCAGAAGTCAACAGGGGAACAGTGGCGACATTTGATCCTCTAACCCCCGAATCAACAAACCTAGACATCGCTTAACGCGAGGCCCGATACACAGGAATTCAGCAAATAATCGTCAAGTTTTGAAAAGTGATCAGTAGGTGATTTAAGGTACTTTGGGATGAATTAAAGTTCGATTAGAGTTGTCGATCTTTAGACAAGTTGTTATTAATCGCACCTTGCTGTGAGGGTAATCAGGGAAACACACACTCTGGGCACCTGGCTACCCAGAAGTCGGGCCTGAATCAGCCGGATTATTTCATCAAATTTGTCAACGAGATTATCAATAGCCTGTCCAACTTTCTCCTGATTCCGTTTTTCAATTACCGAGCCGAGGGATTAATACCGAGGTCGATTTCACATTAATCACTTTCTAATAATTAGGCTGATTCATCGGTCTATCCTATAAATTGTGCGGCATACCCGTTTCATTGTTATGTTTTTGTTGTATATTTAGATCCAGATTAAAAATAAGATAATTTGGCCAAACAAAGCATGTTCTAGCTACGAACTTGTTCCTACTGTGCAACACAATATCACCCTCAAGAATCGTGTTCAGAATTCAGCATAGGAAATCTGTCCAAAAGAGAGAGAGAGAGAGAGAGTTCACGTTCAATGGTCAAATTAATTTATTCAAAGTTCAACATATCAAAGTTAGTGTACTTAAAGTAAACGAAAATTATTTCGAAAAAAATGCATATGCTATGAAGGTTTTCATATAAAAGTACAATGGACTCCGGACACATCCAGACTTTTTACTACCATTTCTAATTATAATGTCCAAAAGTAAATTAAAACAAACACCTTGATGGCGATATTACGTGGACGACTAAATGCCGAAAGCACTTGGTGAGTTTTGACAGCAACAGTAATTGAAGAGTTTGACAACAGCACTGCTTAGAGATATACAGTAGGAGCACTTGGAGAGTTTTAAAGACAAAAGTCTTAAAAGAGTATTGACGACAGTACTTGGAGAGATTTGAAGGATTTTGACAACAACAGTACTTTTAGAGTTTTGACGACAGAAGTACTATTGAAGAGCTTTGACGGCAAAAGTTCTTGAAAACATTTGTCGGCAAAAGTACTTGGGGAGTTTTGACGGCAGAAGTACTTGGAGAGTTTTGACGGCAGCAGCACTTTGAGAGTTTTGACAAGAAGAGTACTTGGAGAGTTTTGACAAGAAGAGTACTTGGAGAGTTTTGACAACAGTACTTGGGGAGTTTTGACGGCAGCAGTACATGGAGAGTCTTGACCGCAATAGTACTAATGACGAGATTTGAAGGCAGAAGTACTTGGAGAGTTTTGAAGGCAGTAATACTTGGAGAGTTTTGACAAAGAGTACTTGGAGAGTTTTGACAACAAGAGTACTTGAAGAGGTTTGACAACAAGGGTACTTGAAGAGGTTTGACAACAAGAGTACTTGAAGAGGTTTGACAACAAGAGTACTTGAAGAGGTTTGACAACAAGAGTACTTGGGGAGGTTTGACGGAATTTAACAATTAACAACAACAGTACTTTTAGAGTTTTGACAATAACAGCACACAGAGGGCTTTGATAGCAGTTTTTACTTTTGACGGCAACACTTCAGCGGATGTCTTGGCAATGGAATGTTAACGCTACTGTTTATAAACATTCTTCAATGAATACTTATTTTTTTGGATTTAGTGTGCACTTCTTTATAAAATCTGTTTATGTAAAACATTTGTCTTTGTAGTTTAGTACTTTGATTCTCTTATCCGAGTTTCATTCCTTTTCTAGGACGCATACTGTATATTGTGAATTCTTATAATCCCATGGTAAATTTTGTATGAATTGAATAGAAATATGCTCATTGATACCCGATGAGTGAATCTATCGGTTAGTCTGAATGACAGTCCACAGTTTTAATCAGATTCAATGACCTTTTATTCTGTGTTGCTCTATTCGCTATCAAACACTACACCGGAAGTTGTTTTCTGTTCCGGTGACCTAACACACTCACGTTATTGAGTTTCTTTTGACTCCCATTGTCCGAGATCTCGCCTGCCCTCAGTTATTGGGAGTTTTGATTTCAGAAGCTCAAGAACTTCGAGTTATTGCGTGAACCGGAAGTGCGCGTGAACTCTGGAAGAAGGAAAGGCAATATCAATGAATGAAAGTGGGAGAATTAATTAACCGATGGCTGACATAACAGATTCAAGATTTTTATTAAACAGTAGAAAGTTAACAGTTCTGATCCAAATAATAATGACTGAGCCCAAAATCGTAAGCATATGAGTGTCATTTTTTAATCTTTATAGTAGTTTTCTTCTCTTATACCCATTTTCTATAGTTTCTGATTGTATTTTATTCAAAATATTGATAAGCTGTAAAGCTGAAAGTGATAAAGCAGTAAGTAAAGAAGGCACTGAGGCCTTTGATACAAAGATGAGCAAATAAACGCACATCGCGTGATTTCGGGTGAAAGTTTACTTTTAAGCAAACTACGCATCTGATCATGTTTAAAACTAATTATTTCTGGTTTTATTTGAATTGCTTAACTTTGAAATTCTCCAGCATATCTCTCGTCAGAGTCGTATTGTGTAATATACGTATACAGCGCTAATTAGTGTCTTGTTCGAATGCTCACAACTCGTCATCCTGCTCTTCATGCATAAAGTTCTTTCATTTTTACTTCTTGTTAAAATAATTCCAATATTATCCCGCGTGTTTATCGATTTAATCACATTAAGAATTGGCGTTTTCGTCTTTACTTTTTAGTAATAAACTCAATGGCTCGGTTTTTCTTGGTTCATAAAGAGTCAAATCACTCTTTGTTGTTCATCTTCTAAAAGCTTACATTTCTTACAACTTGGTCCAAACACAGATCCGTAGTGTGCAGAAAGCAATTACAGTTGAACACAAAGGTTCCTCCCATTTGTTTATCAAATTGCAGCTTGTTAAATTTAAAATGAGCAGTCGTCACATTGTATGGCCATTTGTATTTCCCTCTTGTAATTTTCCATAGTATAAAAGAAACATCTGAGACAACAGAGGACAACCAACGTTAATGTAATCGGTAATGTAATCATTTCAGTAACTATGAAAGGGATTGCTATATTTCTGATTACAAAAGTCAGAAATCCTCAATATACTTTTCATTGAAAAACGCAAAAAAAATGATAAAATCCAGACTTAACTAAAACTCAACTATATTCATATGTATGTCCCGTATGAACGTAATATTAGCAGTAGTCCTTAATGTTCCTGTGTTTAATTTGAAGATGTATAATTATCACTAAAATTTTTTTATTGTAAAAATTACTTGCAATACTCCTTTTAATTGCCTGTTTTGATTCAGTCAGAATAAAGCCCTGCTGGACTTCATTATTAAAGAAAACGCCAGTAAGGCAAAAGCCACCGAAACTTTTAAGATAAAGTCACGATGGACGTCAGAAAGGGTAAAGTCACGCTAAACTTCAGTAAGTATTAAGTCACACTAGACATCGGTATGGATAAAGTCACGCTGGTATTCGGTAAAGATAAAGTTACTCTGGATGTCAGTAAAGATAAAGTC